CGTGGCCACAATAAGTAATTCTCTCAGAGGCCTGATCATACTCAACATAAATCGCACTTAATTATATTCAAATATAGCCATTAAGATGAATGAGAAATCTATTAAAGTAAACTGATTGTAAATGAGAAAAATATATTAATTAAGAAAATAGGAACAAACCCTTAAATCACGATCAAGTTTTCCAGCAAGTGCCAAAAGCAATGTTGTTTTCCCAGCACCTGGAGGACCCAAAAGGAGAGTCATCCTGAGATTACCACACCAAATAAAATAAGTCTAATGCCAGAAAATAAATCATAAAATTGGCAGTTAATTTTTGTCCATCAACAAATGAAAAAAATGTATCAACGTAATTTTCTTTTCTGCATAACTTTACTTAATACAAGACAAGCTAGATTCACCCATCTTTGAAACAGCTAATACTACATTTTTCTCTTAAGCTATTCTGGTGAAATGAAACCCTTGATAAACACCTTGATGGTTTGACTATTCCACTAACATCGTTAAGAATCTGAATTTTTCTCTTCTTGGATGGTGCAAGGCGAAACAACCCAAGAACACTCTGCCATTGTAAACAAAAGAATCAAACAAAACATTAGTAGAGTAGCACTACCACTCTCAAATTTTACTTAAAAACATATACACACACAAACCATCCTTGTTTTGAATCAGAAAAGATTCCTTATCCACTGGTTTGCAAGTTGAGAGAAACAAATAAATACCTCAAAAGCATTGAGAGTAAAATTAAGCAAAGAAGGAAGTGCTCTGCTCCCAACATACACATCTCCCTCCACAGATAAATTCTCATACCGCACTTCAATCTTCGGAATTTCAATCCCCACCCTATTCAAATCGAAACGCAGTTTAGTAGCAAAAAATAAACGTGTGTTCAGAAACACGTTGAAAATCTGTCCAAAGCAGAAGTTACAACTAAACATGGATCCATGTTGATTCAAACCTGAATCCAAACACGCAATAACATTGACCAATTAATATTAATAATGAGTTGACATGATAGATAAACATGAAACAAACACCTATCGATTCTGTCTCTAAGTCTGCTTAGGAATTTCTCGTTGTCTTCTTCGACAACCTTAAGTATGCTGTCCATTAAGACCTTCTTGTCATGAAAGCCAAGGTTGGTAACATCAATTTCATCACACACAACGTGACCATCATCACGCACGTGCTTCAGCACACTTTTTCTCATTCGTTCAAAAGTTGGCAACCGCTCTATGGCTGCCCATTTGAGTTCTTGCTCGTCATCCTCATGCGCGTGGCGACCACTTGCGTTGAACACGTCCGGCGCCGCCGTCCACACCTCCCTGAAACTCGACGACGTCCAGCTCCGGCGACTGCTCGCTGATAAGGCCAAGTCATCACCCGCCAATGCCGAAGCCATTTATTTTCTAAAACGGTGACTTATGATGAATAATAATATATTGCAACTTATGTGTTTAACATATGTGTCTGTGTAACATGCATTTGGCTTCTTAGCTCAAATCATTCACTTCGCACACTCTTTTGTGGAGTGCTTCAAAGAACTCAAGTTTGCAAGGAGAAGAGAATGTACCCCAAATTTTTGTGTGCTGAGAGGAAATATATGTATGTATGTATAAGGGTGTTTATGAAGATTGAATCAATTAATATCATACTCAGATGAGCTGACAATTTGTATTTGCCAGGTATTTGAAAATATAATGGTTGATCAACGTAGCTAAACAGGCCTTAATTTCCGTTTGATGAAATTTTAAAATTAATTTATCTTATTACGTCACGTTATTCAATAAGAGTTGTGATTAAAATTAATTTAGACATATATTTGAATTGCGTAAATAAATTAAAAAAATTATATTAAACCTCTGAATAGACAGAACTTTAATCGATCTGTCCCCTAATAAAAGATAAGTTTTGTTTATAGTTTGCGCGTCAATTCACCTGCTCCCACAGCCTGTACTTGTTTAGCATAATCAATTAATTATTAGTTATAGATTCGATACGTTAGTAGTAATAACCAATTAATAATCTCACAATGACAAGCATCGTACCTTCAGAAGATATTCCCCACTATATTATAAATTTTAAGGAGACAATATCTAACTCATCTAATTAAAATTATTAAAAATTACAAAAAAAGATAAATTTTACTTTTTTATTTTAAATTTTTTTTTTCATATTTTTACAATGTTTAATAAATTTTAATCACTTACAAAATATATTGAAAAGAATATGTTATTAATGGTAAGAATATATATTCCGATTATATTATAAGGTTATAAACTTAGAATAAGATATAACAGAGGATCATTTTGTAGGCTTGTTTGTTTCCCCTTTTGTTAATAGCTGATCACTTCTCACAAGAAGGCTTTATTTTACGATTATCGAAATGAATTTGGAATCTCAATCCATGTGTATCAGCCTTTTCTAAGTGTCATGATCTCTTTTTTTATTCATGAATATCTACATATTGATTACATACACACACATATCTTTTATTCAGAATTACAAGAAGAATTGTTAGTATAATAATAATTTATTTGCAAGCATTCTTAATTAAAGACGCTTTGTGGAGATTAATGATGCCAAAATCCACTCATTTTGAATCGGAAGATCATCAAAGTACAGAGCAGTCAAGTGTGTATATTGTTTTTAGTTTCACTTTTTTTCATCTTTCTTACATCAATGATTTATTATTTTTAAGCGTGTTTATTCTCATAATATTTATCACTCATGATATGCAATTAAGTCAATACAAATTTATTGATGAAGAGTTTGAATAATTAATCACATGAAGTCATATTATATCACAGTTGTAAAAAGAAATTCCAGTAGTAATTTTTCCTCCATAAATTTATTTGCGTATAGATAAGTCGAACAGTATAAAACTTTTTATTATAAAAATTTTGTGTATATCATAGTATTTTTAATAAACTTATTATAAACTTTTATTTTTAAGAAAATCCATGGTTTAATGGGATTTTCCTGATTAATCGTATTGGCATGCCGGATTGTAAATACTTGACGTAACGCTACGTCGCTTCGGCTAAGCGATGCAAGACTTTCGATTTGTTTGCATTATTATTATACATTAGAATGCAACTTACGTAAGACAAATGGTATGCAAATAGAACAGGTATTGGGTGAACCTCACACAAGTTAAGCAAAATTCAAAGCTCACATTTGTCTTTGTTCATGAGAGCGAGTGGATTGCAACTAATCAATCATTATCAGCTATCATCAATAAATTTTTCGTCCCCCTAATTAATTTATCATTACTTGTTTCCGTCGTTACATCACCGAGTGTATATATAATGAAAGTTTATTAATTCTAGTTACTTGTATTAGTTTTCATTGAGATATAATATAACTTTCTCCGTGACTCTCAATCGTGGATTGCCTTGATTTGTGAGAAAAAAATTGTTGAAAGATCTCTTTTTCAATTATTTAAAGTTGAGAGTTGCAACTTGGAAATGAAGCATGTATTTTGGGAAGAGAATCACTGGGCAAATTTAGAGTTTATCTGTGGATATCATGGGATATCAAGCTTTTGAATTCAGGTTGTTATTGCAGGACCACATTCCCCTGTCTAGTTTCTGTTAATTAGTATTGCTATTTTGTTTCTGCTCTCTTTTTAATATGAAAAAAGAACGTTCATATCATTTTCAGTATCACGTATAAAAGGATATGTTCTCCATGTGTTCATAAGATGTTTATAAGTAAAAACTGCTTACATAATTTTTACTGGATAATTTTGATACGCGTATTGGTAGGAGTTGAGGTCTTATATTTTGGTCCTAAATTAGCGGAGTGTGACCCACGGGTTCCCTATTCTTTATTAGAAGGTGGCCTCAGTTGAACCCACATAAATTATAAAATATGAAAACAGTCAATATCACCAGAGGATCGTGTGATGTCACTCTGCTGGAACTTCTTTTGAGGTCCAACGGAAAAAACCTTAATAAAGAAAAAATATTTTTTTATCTCTACTGGAACACAATTTGACGCTCATCTATTTGATAATTTAATATTTTTTACTGGATAATAATATAAAATTAACACATATTATGAATTTTTTTTAAAAGTAAACAATTTTTCTACATATAATAATTACTGCAATATAAAAAAATTATATATATAAATTATTGAGTTAAATAATTATATTTTTTTAATCCTTCTAAAATATTATACTTGATATTATTCTATCTTCTAAATATTTATAATACTAATTTGTTTAAATATTAAAAAATATAAAAATAACTTCTATTTGTGTTGGACACTTTACCAATTTAAGAATAGTTGAGTATTACAAACTCAAAAAACAAAAAAAATAAGATATTGATCATCTTTAAGGTAAAAACTGAATGTCCAGTTTTATACTTAATAATCTTGTTTCAACCTTTATAATCAACTTTCTTTTCCTTCTTATATTTAACTCTTTTCTTTCTCCACATCCACCCTATATCTTATACTTAATTTCTCTCTTTTCTTACCCTCACCCTCACCCTCATTTCTACTTCCATACCCACCTCCATTTTCTCCCTCGTGCTCAACTCAACTCCTCAACTCCTCAACTCATATATCGCTCTTCTCATCCTCGGCCACTTTTCCCCTCCACTCCCAGTTCCTCTTTCCTCTCTCTCATGAGTTTATTTTCATTAAATGAACGTCAAGTTTTCACAAGGGGATCCAAATATATAAAAGAAAGTTGAGTCTAGCATTTTACACACAAAAATAGAAGCTCGATTTAAAACGGAAATTGTGAAATTTTATCTGACAATCCTATGAAATCCAAATTATTGATGTGTTTTTGAGCTAGCTCGTGTAATGTTCTAAACCGATAAATAAAAGCTTACTGAAAACCTTTTTTTTTTAAATGTGATTTTTCACTAAAATAACAATGAAAAACAAACGCGCACGTAAAGCATTGTGAAGACGATTTGCTTAAAAGATAAATAAAAAATAAAAAAAGAGAGAGAGAGAGAGAGAGAAACAAAAACACGAATCATAATCGCAGTGCAAAACCGCTGACTTCTAAATAACTTGGCATCGTGTTGTCAGATGTTTCACTCCTTAATACAAAAGACCATCTTAATAACTAAGAATCTTACTTCCTGTCACCAAATTTCTTGTAAAACTAATCCATTATCATGAGCGGTGATGAGACCCCACAATTATCTAATTAATGCTCAGACATGTATTTACTAAAGCCTTTCCTTCACCACTGTTCTGATGAGATCTCTGCTGTTCCACACAAGCACCAAAGTTTCCACATGTACGGATCTTCTTTGAGCCCCTGGGAGATTAAAAGCACATCTTTGAGATTTGCATCTTGCTATCTTCACGGAACTCAGAGAGTATCTATCTGCAAACTGCAGCACACAAAAATATCAGAACAGCCCAGGGCTAAAACATATTCTTCATTCCATGTTGCCCTTGAATATGTGACGATCCTTAACGGATAACACTGGCTCAAACTTACCACACAATGCAAATTGTATCACAAAACTAAGTACGAAAGAATGAAACGTGAGTATGAATTATAACCACTAGACTTGCACCTTTATAACATTCCCCATAGATTGGGAGTACACTTAGCTGGTAAAATAACTAATTACAGAAGAGTAATGGTGCTGCACTGACTTACATTTGGAATGTCAAAATCACCTTCACTTGCATCGCATATATCCAGTGACAATTTTCGAAGCAATGGCATCTGTTAGTTATGACAGAAGATACAACATCTAATATCAAGTTTCCACCATTTTAGAGATTTTACAAAACCAAAAGGAAATAAATAAATAAAAGCAAAGTGCAACCTCAGAAGCGGCATGACAAATGAAGTTCCTGTGTAACCCAGGGCCCTGCATATGTATGGTAAAATCAATAGTAAATGACAGTTTCAATACATGTTTCAGAAATGCAGAGGGATCCACACAGAAAATGTTAGCTTCTCTTTTTATGCAAGGTGGGGAGAAAAATATAATTAGGATGTTAAACATACGATAGTATTATCTCATAGTCAAAGACGCATAGTATGCCTCATACTTCAGAGAGACAAGGGGTCTCTTAAAAGAGCAGAAAGAATGACATCTATGCTTTCAATTATATACTTTGATGATCAAAATCAAGAAGTTACCCCGCAATCATTCAAGGACATGTTTCGGTCTTCAAAACAAATAAATCAAAGAATGTTGCTGGAAAAAAAAAATGTGTACAGCAATCAACAAATTCATAACCGGCTCAAATACCATGTCTAGTACCAGGAGTCATCATGTGACATCAAGACGAGTAACAATCACATCAGATTATCTTTCTTTTTTATATAATAACAACAACAAAAACAATAACAATAACAATTAAATGATTAATGTTATATATGGTAATACACTTAGAAGAGTAATTCAAAAACTGCATTCTGGGTAGCAATGCAAGTATGCAACAAAAAGATGCTACATTAATTTAAAAGATGACTCGAAAATCTAAGACATGAAAATCAATTATCAAGTAAAAGAGTACTTTCTGACCCGAAAAAAGGCATGAATAACTTATCATCTGACCACCATTTGTAATTTCTATATGCATGCAAGATGCAATGAGTATTTTTTAAATAGAAAAAAAGGCAGATAGAAAGCTCACATTATGACGCAACAAGAGATCTTCAAGTGCTTTGCAATCATGAAGAGCAAAGACCCCATTAGCTGTTACTTCTCCGCAGTCCTAAACAATAGGCATCCTTGCTATCAAAATTTACATATAGAAACCTAGAGCATGGTACAATATAGCTTTATAACAAAAGAAGCTCATTGTCGAGTTATTAGCATTGGTTATTTTTATTGTTATTCCATATATAGGCCTAGTACAGTTGTAATATTATTTCCCTATTAGAAAGAAGACCTCCATGTCAGAGTGCAGTTACAAATGTTAGGATTATCTCTCCATGTCCCCTCTCTCAAGTTTATAATCCTGAATGATGTAACTATAACCATACACATCATCTAAACAACAGGCATTTGATGTATTAAAACAAATTAAAAAGAAATGAATTCCCACAGTCACATTATAAGCACTCCATCTCCACGTCAAGAAAATGAGCAGAACATTTTGAATTCCCAATACTGGAGACTGGTTTTTTTCCTCCTCTTCCTCAGCAAAAAAAAATTATACATTCTTATCAAATTTCTTAAGGCCAGAAGATGACAGCTGCAAAGCCACATATTCATATTTACACAAAAATTAACAGTTCTGTAAGACTATATATGATTATATATCAACATGTTATAACCATTCATGGGGTAATAAGTGTTTAAAAAGGGAGTAAGTTAGCAAACCTCTAAATGGATAGAGACCAAGCCTGGCCATCCACATGAAATTATCCAAAGAGAATCTGCAATGAAAAATAACAACAACTACAAACATGTAAATTATCACCAGTTGATTAAATTAGCAGTGACCAATCACTATGTTGTACTTGTACAAAAGAAATTTCACCATATTGATATTGTCCACTCTCCCCTTTAACTTTTTTTTTCCCTTTGTTGCTATTTGTTATTACTGAGGAATTCTAAATCTAAGTAGCAATAGGAAACAAAACAATTATTGAAATGGCATAGAGTGGCTGTTTGGTAATACTTTTATTATCTGGAGGGTTCAACTTGATCAAATTAGAGGCATGTGTTACAAAATCATATCCAATGAATGAAATCAAGTGCAGTTAATCATTTTTACAACTAATTAATCCTAACCTGAGTTAAGAAGAGGACATCCTAGCAATGAAAGCTCAACCAAATTTCTGCAATTTTGAGTTAGAACAACCAAGTCATCATTTGTCATCCATGGGGTTACTCTTTCAAGCCTCAACTTTCTAAGATTTTGCATGGGGAATTTGAAGCTTGACATGGATATATCACCAAAACAATAACACAGAGCTAATACTTGCAAGTTTATCAAGGATGTAACAAATTTTGTCACAGTAGTATCGGATATTACCTGTCAAAACCCAAAACAACAAAGAAAGCAACAAACAAAATTTTAGAAATGTGTTACAACAATTGAGAATCAAAAGCAGAAGCATAACATGAGAAACAAGCATTCATCCACAGATTCAAGAAGAATTGGAAAGACAAAACTTTAGCTATAATTGATGTGACTGATTCAAAGTATAACTTTGACTTGCCTGGTTGAATAATTGAAGGAAGTAATAATGATGGAACCTCATGGATTGTACATGTTGATTGGAAAAGTTTGACTACTAAATTAAGGAAAAATTTTCTCCATTGTTTTTCCATACTGTGAACCTCAAATCACAGGGAAAATAATTATTACCTGAAAATGAAGGATTATTGTTTCTAGCAAGGGACAGATTGCAGGTAATTGTCTCAAAGCATCTTCACCTAACATCGCACCTAAACCTATATTGATGGTCTTTAATGACATCAGTGCAGGTTCCAGAGCACTCAGATAGAAGGAAGAAAAGCCCCATCCAAATTCAATTTCTTCCAATCTACACATCTTTCCTAATTCAGTATGTAGTTCTTCATGCAAGAAGGAAAAGCTAGATTCTCTATTTTCAATACAACTGTCTCCTGGAAACAAATTTTGACAACTTCTTGCTTTCAGACACTTTAAACTTGGATTTCCATGAATAACAAACGCTAATGCAGCCCCAGAAATCTGCAATTTCACAAAATAAATATATATATATATATATATATAAATAAAATTGAAAATCCAAAGTAAACAATAGTTATCATGAAATTAATGACAGTATGGATGCAAAATACTAGATATATCACATATGTACTCCAAGGTGTTACAGTTATGCAAAATGTCTCTGTATATCAATCAAAATTTTTGGGGCAATGTTCTGTGATATAATGGTAGATTCTTGTACATTGATAAGCATAAAAGATATCAATTAAGCAGACAGGAGATATTTGCACACAAGGAGAATTTTTTTAACTAGAGACCATGAAATAGAACAACAATGAAAAAAGTACAAACCAACCAACTTTGACTTAGCTTGTATAATTAAAGCAAGCATGAAGGTTTATAATGTGTATTTAAGTAGTTAATGCTTCTAAAACAACAGATGGGATTCAAGGATATAACTTGTTTATTAGCCAATCTTCATGCAATTAAGGGAGACATATACATCATCCTTAATTATTTTAGGTGGAAAGTAACCCTGTAAGTCTTAACTAACATCTATCAGATCAAAAATAAACTTGCTGTTGTACATTAGAATGAAGCAAGCATTCCAACTACACTCCCTCAAGCTTCATCTCACTTTAAATTTTCAATAAAATTATAAGACATCAACAACTTCTACTGCCACTACAAAGATAAAGACAGAACATGCTGGATTCCACAAATTTGACAACAAACCTTGGTATTTGAAACATCAAGCATCTCCAAGGAACAACCTACAAAATTATAAAGTGCCTGATCAATCAGGTCAGTCTCTCTCAGGCATAAACTCCTCAAAGCTTTTGTTTGAGACATAAGCTCTACTAGAGATGATTCACAAATACCTACAAAACAACAATTCATCATATTTTTTTCAATGTAAAACTAAAAGCTTAGAAAAATGTAAAACATCCATCTCAAACCAACAGTACTTGGAGCTGTACAAGCTGTTTTCAATCATAAAGCATGATTTGGCCCCCTTTTATGCTTAAACAACAAATGATCAATAAGGCTGTCACTAAATTGAGTTCTTTCACCTCAAAAGTGAGGCAAAAGCTTGAAATAAAACGTAAAAATTGGTGGTCTGACGACAAACCAGAAGGCAGTAAAATGATAAATAACAAATGTATTAAGAACAGAAATATATTAGAGGTACTGTATTCTGCAATACTCACAGAGCTATGCTCCTATTCCACTACTAACAGAAAAGCAAAACTGACTCCCCACACTCTACTACCCATTCCCCTATAAAAGAGATACACGTGAGATTTCCAATTCTCACTTCTATTTCCCATTTAGCCCACTGCAACATCCCCCTCTTTTATTCCAAGCCCAAGGCGCATGACTAAGTTGGGTTGGACCAACTAATTCCTGAGGCCTTACAGCTGATCACCTATTTCCTCATGTAATGAAAGTTTTTAGGCCTGACATTTCAAGAGATCAGAAGAGTAATCCAGGCCCATACATCATTAGTACTTAACTAATGTATGCATAGTATCAAAAGCATATGTACAGCAAGGAAAATCTATATTTTTCACCATACCACATGAAAATAGGTAAGCCACACCATTTTCATTTATCAGTCATTTGATCTTTTTAAACCATCTTAAGATAAAACAAAGTCTAAGTGAGGTAAAAACGTTTACTATGAAATGCCCCAGTAACTTCTCAAAGTTAAAGACATATGCGGCCAGTAAAAGGTTTGAAAAACTTTTTTTTTTTTTTCAATTTATAGAACCCAAGTATTTACAGATTCATTTTGGCAGTTCAACCAAATAAACCAACTGAAAGAAACACAACTTACCCCGGCAGCCACCCATATGCAGTGTTTCAAAATTAGACACCACAGAATTTGAACGTTTATCTAAAGAATGTAGAGAGGGGAAGTTGCCACTATCTGAAATAGCTGAGCAAAGAGCTTGAACTGAATTTATCCCAAATGAAGTATCACAAACCACAATTGAGTTCAATTTTCTACATCTGCACATGAGATCTGATATGCCAATATCAGTGACAGAAATGCATCCTTTAATATTCAGGTGTTGTAATAAAACACAGAAATTTGAGATATAGTGGAGACCCAAATCTGGCAAAATAAAAAACAAATTATTGGATGTTAACAGACAAAAATATATAACCTAGAACAAAATTATTTATATCCAACATGAATTTTTTTCACCAGAAAAACCTCCTACCACTGACATCAGTTCTTCCTTCCAAGGTGAGTTTTGTGACATTAGAAAGCAAAAGTGGAGGTCCAAACTCATTAAACGACAGAGTTTCCACTGATTTATATTTAATGCTAGAGGTCTTCTCTGGTACCTGTGGTATCACAGCAGGACTAGATGATAGAACAGTAACTAATGCTGGTATCAGTGGGGTAATATCAACAGTCAGGTCAATTTCACAGACCAAAGGGCATTTCTCCAATAATTGTAGGAAACTGGTTGTTTCCATGTGCAAAAGATAAGTTGCTTTCAATATTCTTAAAGAAGGAAAGGACTTGCAGAAGCAATCAACAGCATGTTTAATAAGCAAATTTCGACACTTTGAGATATCCACCTCCTGCACTGCTTCGAAGGTAAGGGTTTCCAACATTTTTTGTGGGAACGCATATTTATCTCTTGCAGGATGTCCACAATTAATAAAGAACTGTTTTATAATCTTCTTTTGAACAGGATCTATCAGATATGATGGAGGGATGAGTGACAGAAGAAGTAATGTAGATGTTATTTGTGGACAATCAGATAGGTTCACTTTCTGCATACAATGGAAATTTATGTTACAAAAGCACAATAGCATTCTCAATAGATTATCATAGACTCCTTGCAGACAACTGAAATAAAGTTGGCAAATATATGAATACAAAACAATGTGTTTGACTAGCACAATTAGACAATGAAACCAAATGCCAGAAGGAACAAATAGATACTTTCAACGTAACATTGATCAATTAAGTGTCAAAAAATTGCCCCAAAGACATGGAAGTTAAGCAACTAGAAGAATTAAGAACCATATCATTAAAATGTTTTATGGATCCTTCCCTTGACATATTATATTTCTGTCCACGTCATCAAAAGAAATTAAAGATAGTATCATCTTTGTTCAAATATCCCTTGCACTTAAATTGGTATGGGCTAAGGATGGAGGGGAACTGCTGCTTCATTTTCTAATTTGGTGTAAAAATGTTCATATAGAGGCAATCTAAACCAATAATTAATAAAGCAAAATTCATGTAAGATAGTAATCAATTCTTTTTTTTATCCTGAGAAAATCAGGCAACATCGTAAATGCTAAGTATTAAAGGCTCCTTATCTCAAGCTAACATAGTCAACAAAGCCAAAATCATTTTGTGATTGTCAAGTATTAGAAATACCTTTGAATATTCTGTCAGCCGAATCCTGAGATGTTGCAAGTCACTATGCTCAAAAGTATCTAGCAAACCCATAGGTACAATATTTAGTAGTCTGAAAATTGAATCAAGGCTTTCCTCAGCCAGCTGCCTAAAATAAAGAGAGTTTCTTTTTCCTGTTAAACAAATAAAAAAATTACCTAACATTGTCTAGGAATTTCTGCATGAACAATAAACACTTTTCAAGGCTTCAGGTAAAAGCTTGAGAAAATGGTATACCTACAGCAAACCACAAAGGCAAAAGGCCCACACGAATCTGTTAAGAACCAAAAATAAAAAGTTATAAAAGGCTTAGTACTAATGGCACAATACTAGCATTTACCTAGATTATTAGTATTAATAGGAGAATTAGGGTTGTATTTTTCTAATCATGCCATCATAACATCTCACAATTATTCAGAGAACTATTTTTTTCCTTTCTATTTTTATCCTGTAATTTTAAAAAGAAACCTTGTCCATAAGTATCATATTGTTGACACTGACAACGTTCAGTAACAGAGTGAAGTTATATCCTTTTGTCTAGAAGATGGGGGAAAAAAATAGGATTTGCCAGCACCCTCTATGCCAGGAATTTTTCCAGAGACTGTATCGTTTATAGAATAGATTCAAGACCTGTATATCAATAATAAGGCATACAAACTCACTTGCTTTAGAATTTCATTGCAGTTGTCTTCAGTTTTGCTTGGCCTCTCCAAATTTTCCATGCTACTTTCAAGCCAGAGAAGAAGTGCATCAGATAGATGCATCTCACTGTCAAGATACTATAACATTAGAATCTTAAATTTACATAGTAAATTACATATATTGAATGAACCATTTTGTAAACAATCAACCAACCTGTCAACAGTCAAATGAGGGTGCTTCACTGAAGAGAACAGCAGGTCATATGGAAGTTTTCTAAAAAAATTGCTATACTTTGCCCACATCTGCAAAACAAGAAAATAAAAGAAAAATCATTGATAATGCCACATTTAATTTAATTTAAAAATAAAAAATTAAGAATAGCATAAAGCTTAAAAGAAATATTGCTGTTTGGTTTCCTGAAAAGTAACCCAAACCACTTTTAAAGCATAACCAAGCATCTAATGTATTTCAGATGACAGAAACAGGAAAAGAATTAAACCCAATTGATGTCCATAGATACAGGTTTCCAACAGTGGTATGAAAAGAAATGTCACTTGATGGCATCATATCATGCGGATGCAAAATAAACAAAACATACACACACAGACAAACAAATCCCTATAGAAAGGGCATGGGTGTGAGTTCATTTCTCAGTGATATCATATGTCTTTGGAATCCACATATCCTGAAAAGTCAACTCTAAGAAATAGTCACCAAAAGGATATCAATGTAACAATAATATAATAATGTCAGGACACTTGGAAAAATACTGCAGCAATAGTCCGATCAGTAGATCTGTAAAAGCAACTCATAAGATTCATTTTATGGGGAAACATAACAACGCATGATTAACAATTGAACAACCATTCGAAAGCATAAGGTTGTTGTTTATTGCCCAAGCCCTGGTGAAAGAGTTGAGTACATACAAAATTTCTTGCTAGGTAGCCCATACATAAGTGCAGGATAAAGTTGCTGGCTGCAAAAGCAATACATTAAAAAATTAGAATGAACCGTGCAATGCTATAGGAAAAAGTGAAAAAAATTGCTGAAGTTGAAAGTCAATCATTTTTTCCATAATAACAAAATTCTACCATGATCCAAGCCAAATTTCCAAATTTGGATCAAGTCCGCTATTTGTATTTGAGTAGATTGAAGTTCTTTGGGTGATAAAACCTCAGAAAGCCACGTCTCACACTTCAGGAGAAGTGTCTCCACTCCAAAATAAAGTGCACCCTGACACATACAAGATACAAAACACATTAGCCTATAATGATGAACAGACTAGATACAAATTTAACCTCCTCAAATAAAATAAAGAATCCAAACATTACAGCCACGGATTGCCTGATAAATGTGACAGCTTCTCTTGTACTAACACTATTAAACTAAAAAGAACGTTGATGAATAAGTTTTAAAAAAAAATGTACCTCATAAAGAGGTAGGACATTATCCATCGAAATATCCAATGCGCAGCCACACATATGCTTAAGAATTTGCAGAAATTCGCACACATTCCACTTGACAGTGATAGAGGCCAAGCACGATTCACTGTAGGAGTAATGAGAAGCGGAGTATACGCAAAAGCTCTTGAGATCGATTCAAAGATAACATGACGGGGAAAAGAAAAGAAGAATGTGAGATTCACATATTGTCTACCTGAAGCTCCCGCTGAGGAGGCCACGGAAATACAAAGATTGTTCAATGAGGCTGTTTGAAACAATAATCGCAGGCATGAGCGATGAATTAAGTTGAATTGTTTCATTTTATGGAGAAACAAAATGAAGGAAGTAACGAACCTATCGCGATGTGCCTGAACTTTGATCGTGTTGAAACTAAGAATGGTTGGGAAATCCCAAGCGAGGATATCTGTGGTCGACAGAAGAATCTCTTCGTTTAGGGTTTTAGTTGTTTCCATTTGATCAGTGTTAGTGCAAAGCAGGATAATGTGCTCGTCGTCCGAGACCTCCATGAAGGAGTCAATCACTACTCACTTCACCGGTGCCCGGAGCTGCTATGAATTTTATGCCGTTTGGAAAACTATCAAGAGAAGGGGTAAGGAAGCCCAAGTATTCTCACTCAAATTCAATGCCTAAAATTTGTGAAAAAAGATTTCTATTCACTTTTGGAAGAAGTTGATGAAGAAACTAGAATGATACATAATATGATGATGGGATACTGCTGTATACAAACGGCGATAACAAAATTTATTATCTAACAATTTTTAACTTTAGGAGGATAACAAACTAAAAAATGGAGAATTAAAATAAAATTTGATCATAATTATAATAATTAAAATATATATTTTATTAAATTAGATATATATTAAGTATTTTTTATACTTTTTTTTTATTAAAACATGATATAAATAAAGACTCATTAAATTCCATTATGTGAATCTCATATTAACTTTTAGGTATTATTTAAGTTTAATATTATATTTGAATTTTAATAAATATAATTATGTTAAATTAAAAAAAATTAATTTTGTATATTTTAACCTGTTAATAAAACCAAAAATTTAACTTTAACATGCTTATAAGTTATTAGGTACATATTTGTAATTTATTGAAAAAAATAAAAAATAATTAATATTAATATTTTGAGTGTAAATTGAAAATAAATACTAAGAGTAACGTTAACAATACATTTTTTAACATATTTTTTGTAACACATTTTTTATTCTTAATTATAATTTAGCAAAAACTAAAATTAAGTAAATTACATTTTTTTTATTTTTAAATTAATGTTTTTCTCTTTTTTTTAATTTTCAATAAATTTTAACTAATATTAAGAATTGAATTATATAAAGAAGTAATATGGAAAGTGTGTTTCGAGCGTTACTCTTAAAAAATTTTCTATATAAAAACCACACATCAAAATTTGATCGACGTGTTGATAATATCATTCTACTTGCTCTGTACAATAATAAACTTATATTTTGGTAAGCATTTGCATCTCAGGACTCATGTAATGCAATGGTGAGATCTAATTCCATCTCAATCCATTCAAGGCTGATGTTAATATGGCAGGACTGGTCTTGCCCTCTGGACATGAGCACGGAAAATTCAGATTGAGATCATTGACCGTCGAGTTGCCATATAACCTGAACCTCCTAATTAATAACTTCCAAATGCAAGACACTGATATATAAACAAAACTAATTTTCATGATAGACTATTAGGCTTACATATAAATAACAGCTCGCCGCAAAGAGCATGGAGCCATAAACATGGGAATCTAATACAGGAATGCCACTCTTGACAGAGTAGTGTCTTTAAAACAACTCGAATTCTACATGCTCTCCTGCTTTATACTCCAAGTACTTAGCACCTTTGACCTGCAAGTTCATCATGTCTGAAACTCCAAAATCACAATACTCGGGAATTTCTGGTGGGACAGAGCAGCGAATTAAGGCCCAGTTAAGGCCCTCGAAGAAGGGATGCTGTTTAATCTCAGCAGCTCCTTTCTCTGAACCCAAACGATTTTCAGGCTCTTTAACCAACAACCCTCTAATTAGATCTTTTGCTTGAAAACTAACAAAAGGGTCGTCAGGGAATCTAAGACTCTGCAACACCACGTTTGCCAATGTTTCTTCATTGTTAGAACCTTTGAAGGGTGTTCTACCGTATAAAAGCTCATAGAGAAAAACACCAAATGTCCACCAGTCAACGGCAGCTCCATGTCCCTCTTCTTTGATGATCTCAGGAGCCAGGTATTCATGTGTACCAACAAATGAGTTTGATCTTGCATCAGTGGGCTCGGCCACGAGCTGTGGCAATGATCTTACCTGGGCAGCATGATCAACTTTAAACTTCCTTGCTTTTGCAGCAGCAGGTAAGAATCTAGGGCTGAAGCATGGAACTTGACAGGATGGTTCAATGCAGAACGGCTCAATGCAACTTGATTGTGCACTTAGACCAGAAATTTTTGCAGGATCAACATCAGAAGATGATTTCAGAAGCGTTGGGCTGACAGCACACCTCAGTGACAGATCAAAATCAGTGAGCATAATGTGGCCATCTTCTCGAACAAGAATGTTTTCAGGTTTCAAATCTCGGTAAATAACTCCGAGCATGTGCAGGTACTCCAAAGCAAGGAGCACTTCAGCAACATAAAATCTGCAGAATACATGTATGGAAGTTTCAGAAACAGCCAATAGATGCTTCCAGTATATGGTATACAAAGAAATTATTATCAAAATGAATCATCAAGTAATTCAATCAATATTTCCTCCAACAACATAAAATCTGCAGAATACATGTATGGAAGTTTCAGAAACAGCCAATAGATGCTTCCAGTATATGGTATACAAAGAAATTATCATCAAAATGAATCATCAAGTAATTCAATCAATATTTGCTCCAACACCAAACAAAGGGCATCAAGAACAGAGATCCGACTAGTGGAGGACTGCCAGGTTTAGAAATACAGAGCGCAGTAGCATGGGAAGCTGGAGATTAAGTAGGTGGATACAGGAGGAAGATTACATTGCTGGCTGAATCATGGGCAAAGGAAACATGGTGCAACCAAGTTGCATCACAGCTGTAAATGTTTCATTGATCAGTAACCCGAGTCATGGACAGGATTTTATTATCTATCTGTTTCAAATCTATCAAATTTATAGAAAGAACAAAGTTTGAATACACAAACAATAGATAATTCCAAAGTAATTATGAAGCACAATCAAAGTGAAACAAACTACTGTGCTGACTTCATTTCATAACTTCTGAGATTTATAGAATCATATTTAATGAAGTGTATATATTATACAGAAGAAACATCTCAAAAACCTGTTGAATACACCAGATATGACATATATGCATGACAAAAATGAGAATGAGCACAAGAACACAACAACAATTGTGCAAATTATATATATATTTTTTTTACTAGGAAATATTTGAGCAGTTGAGAAATGGTATCGTTTATTGCCCTTTGCATATAACTTCAGACAAAATGCGAACTAAAATGCTAATATATTACTGGACATTTGCTCTTAGCATCTTACCTTGCTGCTGGCTCTGAGAAACTTCTACCAAGCTGCTTCTGACGCAGAACATGAAGATCTCCACCTGGACAATATTCCATGACCAGACATGATAGATTGTCTGATGTAAATTGCATATACAGTGTGGGAAGAAATGGATGATCCAGCATCCTTAATATTTCTCTTTCAGTTTGAGCTCTAGGAGTCTTCTTCCTTCTTTCCAAAAATTCATTGTCCATGACCTTAATAGCAAACAAACAACTTGTGCCAATTAGTTCGGCAAGATATACAGTTCCGATGTCTCCACAACCAAGTTTCTTTAAAAGATTGAAGTGTCTCAAGCCCAAGACTCCATGCTGCACTTGAGCATGTCGTATGGCTGCCCATCTAACATCCTTTGACATGTGAGGCCTGGTGCCACGACTTGAGCCACTTAAATTGCTCTCATCACTGGTACTGGTACTACTACTGTACTCACCCTGACTACTTTTTGAACTTTGTGAAAACTCAAGTTGCTCTTTCAACTTGGTGCTCTTCTTCACTTTTGCAGCTGTTTTGCTTTTATTACCACTTGTTGAAACCAAACCATTTGAACCAGATTGCACATTACTCAAGTTTACTCCATTTCCAGGACTAGTAGAGTCCGATGCCATAATATCTTGGTTTTTTTCATCACTTGTATTTTCTAAAGCACACCTACATCTCTCACAAACCAGCCGAGGTGTACCAGCAACTGGCTTATTAACTTCAATAAATGTAGGACCACTTAAATCTGAATCTGAATCCTCCTTTAGTTTCTTCTTACTCATGTTCTTGATGACTGATTTAACTGTACGGGGAGCATGGCGTGGCAGCTTGTTAACTCTGTTGCCATTTACAGAAGTAGATGGAGAAGAAGATGCTGTTTGCAACCTACCTTTCCGCCCTGTATTTGACACAAGCGCTTTATTTCCTAACTTTTTAGGGGAAGATACATTTTTGGGCAGCTCTAATTTGCTTCCGAGAGTATTATAAAGAGATGGAGAAGAAGCAGAAGCGTGTTCTACTGTTTGAACAGGTACCACTCGTGGTGATTGAACCCCGATTTTACTTGATGAGCATGCCAAACCACTTCGGATCAATGAAATCCCAGAATCATTTTGAGTAGTTGCAACCGCAATATCACAAGACGAATGAATGTTTTGGCTCAACGATGTGACTTGTGCAGTTTGATGAGACGGGGAGATTTTCTTCAAGGAAAATGATTTGCTTTCTTCTGGCACCTGAGATATTTCAATTTGACACCATTTGCTCTCAACAGAGGAAGACCCAGATCGACTGGTTTCTGCTACAACTGAATTGTACAATGTCTGTATCTTTCCAACCTCTGATATTCTCGGAGAAGCTGTTGATTTTGATAATCGTTTCGTAGCAGCCATTTCTGATGCCTTAGATATACACAGGTCTCTTAATGCTTGTTTCAAATTAACAGGCTCAGCAGCTCCAACTCTTGGGGACCGAGAAACGCCCATTGTCATAGGCTTTTTTAATGCATTTTTCAGTTTAGGGCTTGTACCATCTTGTAAAAGGCCCAAATCCCTTGATGAAGATTTAAGAGAAATTGATTCAAACAGTTTATTAATATCATCATCTAGATCATTCTTGTATCCCAGTTTCAGCATTGAAAGTTTCTGATTTTTCTCAGATGTGCTACATTCAGAATTGGACTGATAAATCCCAGGAGCTTTCCGTGTATTTAGCTCCTCCCTTGCTTCAACTATTTCACAAGTGCCAGAGTATGAACCCATTACAAGACCAATTGCTTAGCTAACTTAACTCTTTCATCGTGGATGCAACTCAAAACTCGATGCCTCAAGTCTCTACTCACTACTACACTTCACATAGAGGGTATCAGACACCATAAAATCACAACTCAAGGAAAAAGAACCCAGAATCCAACGTCCAGAATCCAAACCATTCTTTGGTCAAATCAAATTGAAGTCTGAATGGTACATCAACTCAGTCTACCAGCTAAATGGCATTTGAAACCTGATATAATGCCAAACATTTGAAAGCATTAGCAAACCAAAACATAATATGAAAAATGTAATTTAAGCAAGAACAAGGGAAGGAAGTTGAGTTGACAGATAATGTGAGATACAAACAAGTGTAAGGAAACTTGTAAATTAACCTCCCACAACCACATTCTTTTCCCCTTCCCCTTCATTTTCCTTTCAATCCTTCCCCTCTCAACTCCCAAAACTATCCAAATCAAGGCCCTCCATTATCTTATCTTTCTAAAAGCGTTCAGAAACCAATCAATTAGCAGCAGATCGGAACAAATGCTGAGCCAGGCGAAGCTATAAGGCAGTTCTTCTTCATATTTAGCACCACATTATCCTATTAACAAAGGAAGGCGAAGTCCTATGAATTCAGGATCGGTTCGTTTCCCAAAAAATTGACCCCAACCAAAAACTCGCTTAAAAATTAAATATAAATAAATATACACACACAAACACACACACACGAAGATGAAATACAAATCCAGTATCATCCAGAATGTGCAACCCAGCAACAACTACTCCGTTTTCATATCCAAAACAGTTTTAAAGTAAAACAACTCAAACCACAGAAGAAAAAGTCGAAATCCGAGTAAACAGGTGCTGAGGTGTACCGTATAAACGAACGGTGTTGACCACAGTGAAACAATGTTCTACATAGGCATACATATTGGGACAATGAGTTAGCATTAAAGCAAAAAAGGTATGATTAGAGGGTGTAATCGGAATCGAAGAATTACCAGCAAGTGGAAGCAAAGGATAAAAGAGAGGGGTACATTGACGACGCTGCAGCTTCAATTCAGCGAATCCGTAGAAACAAGAATGAAGAAAAAAACCCTAGACTCGAAACGAAGCAATGGAGGAAAGCTCGGGTAAAGAGAGAGAGAGGAGCAGAACGTAGTATGTTTCTGTTCCGTTTTCAGCAATGCCACTGATTGTTTGTGCAGACACGACCCCACCCATGCCACTCAGAATGCAATATATTAAAATCAAAATTCGAATATGTAAATTAAATACATTCTTCACGTAAGAATTAAATAAAATAAATGTTGAAAAGATTGTACATAGGAGAATGTATCATCTAATGTGGAAGGGTATGGAGGGAATTAAATAAAAGATTGTTTGTCCTGTATTGACTATTCATGATGGTTTCCCATGCACGCGGTCTTTTATTTAATAATGTCTCCCATTTGAAAATTGAGATATTTTTATCTTTACTTTTTATAATTTTTTTATTTATCAAATAAAAAAAACATTACTCCCTGTGACATTAGAAAAGGTCAAGTTTTTGGTTATTGGCTTCTTGTAAGATTTAAATGATGCTTCGTTTTGATTTGATTTACGTAAATTTAAATAAATTCATTATTTTGGAAAGCCGTAATTTGAAAGCAATGATGAGAAGGCAATTAGTAGTCAAATGAGAAATGAAAAGCTGCAAGGAATCCCATTTTTACTTTTCCCAACGCAAAACTTAATCATCTTGTTAATCATTCTTCTCCCCATTGCTTTTCTTTTTTTCTTTTTAACTCTTACTTCTACCCAAAAATTGTGTTTCTTTTTTATTTGTATAAACCCTTCCCTCAACAAGTCGTCATCTTGAAGCAACCATGAATGTTGTCAAATGAGACCTCCAACTAATATATCACAATCATGCTTCTTCACTCAAACGTCCAACCACTCCGTTGGAGATAGTCAAATTTGAAGAGAGAAATTTGAGTTTCTCTTGTTGGAGTGAAACTTGAGAAAAGTGGGAGAGATTTAAATAAATAAATTTAGTTCACTACGACAGTTTGATCTATTTCATTGGTCTTATGAATTAATCCCCATGAAATTTATTCAGCTTAATTTGTAAATTTAAGTTTTAGAGATAATAAATACAATTGTATTAAATAGAATTATTCAATAAAGGATATCTATGTTTAATTAAATTTTGATTTAGTTTAAGTTAATTTAATTTCATTCGATCAAATTTAATCATTTAAGTTATAGTGTATTAATAATAGCAAAAAAAAATTAAACTCATAAACTAATATCATTCTATTATTTGTCTTAATAACAAAACTAAAGAAAAAAAAACATGTTTAATGTATATAAAATTCTTGCTAATGATTGGCTTTTGAAACCAAACAATTTTTACAACCCTTAAACAAATAGAAAAATTAGTGACAGAGGAGTCAAGTTGAATAAAAGGTGGATTGATTTTGGTGACTAATCAGAATCTCACCTAATGGTAGTTCACCTGATTATATAGAACATGTCTCAAAATCTAAAAGTATATAAACCAACAGATCAAAGATTTTGTTTTTTTCTCTTATGTTATGTTATGTAACAGTACTGAGACCATTTGACATAACGGAACAGAATCAGGACATAGAGATTATATGAGCAATCATGCGAGCCTCTGGAGAAGATATTATACAAATAAAGATTTTTCTTTACCTTCCCTCAATAATTGCTCAAAACATTGAAAGCGAAAGCAGGATTTCTGTCAAAAATAATTTAATTGTTGTGATCCTACGCAATTCTTGTCCCAACCACACACTACAATTCAAATCGAAATTATCAATGGAATCACTGTGCCCCCTTCTTCCGTGCAAATGGTTAATTGGTTATATAGTAATTGGTAAAAAAATTTGCTCATCTTCAAGTTTAACTTCTAGACTTTAAACATTTAAGTTATACTCTTTCAAGGGGATAAAAATGTTATTATTTTCTTATCACTGATTATTTGTTAAAAGAAAATGTTCCATATAGTCTTGAGTCTATGTTAGTTGAAGTGGGCGATACCAAATTGCCCCAAGGTATTTTAGTTAGTCGGCACTCCTACTAATCATAATCCACTCACAACTTTTGTTTTTGGTCAAACACTAACAACTAAGATGGGGTTTTTCATGAATGTCCAATAAGTGATATTGATATTAGAGCCCAAAATGTTTTCGAGGTCCATGATCTAAGGGAAAAAATCTGGAACCTTGGACGAGGAGATCATACAAAACGAAAGTAAGATAGGTGAGAGAAAGTTAGTAACACACATTTTATCATAATTTTTTTATATACTTTTAATTTTTATGAGTAAAAAATAGTGATGCTTACCTAATTTTTATATTTTTAATAAATTTTAATTAATAGTTAAAAGTATTTTAATTTTTTTTATATTATCTCTTTCCTCTCTCGTTATTATTTAATGACAACATACTTTTTATTATTATATATCAATTTTTCTAACAGAGTCTAAAAATACATAATAAAAAAATTGTATTTTTTCATAATTAATATTACAAAATTTAATACAATGTTAGTAAGTCTCTTAGCTCAGTTTTACATATTTAAGGCTTCATTTTGTGAAATGCTAAAAAAAAATTATTCTTAAAATTATGTTTAAGCTCTAATGAAACATTTAGGTAACGTTTGGTTTAGAGAAACAAATAATGAGACAGAAACATGGAGGCACGCGTCTTGCTAGAAAAATAGAGATACAAAAGGACACGTAAGACACAAATTCGAAACACATCAATGTATCTTATAGAATAACAGACATTGGTGTCCTAACGCTAGGGTCATATAGGCTATATTTTTTAAAATCAAAATACTCTTGATAATTTTACAAAATTACAGACACTATTTTTAATATGTTTTGTCTCTTACATCTAAACATAATACAAAACGCAATACATAACATTTTATCTTCATTTCTAAACATAATTCACAAGCATAAACATTAGTATCTCTATTCTTCATTGTTTAGGGACAATATCCAAATACTACCTTATATATGCATGTTTTAAGTTTAAAAATACACACACATGTATATATATATATATATATATATAGAGAGAGAGAAAAAAAAAATTTCAAGTGAAAGGAGTTTGTTATTATGAGAAGTGAAAGACATTAATAATGACCATTAGATCAAAATAAAGAGTTTAGATTTGATGATACTATCTCACTATTCACTTTCTTATCTCTCTTACTAATGACCATTATTAATATATCTCACTTAAAATGATCCATATATATATATATATATATATATATATATATATATATGTGTGTGTGTGTGTGGAGAATAATCTTTTTATACCAATGTAAGTCTAAAAATTCTTATACTAAATCTGAACCTTTCATTTAAATTACATCTAACGGTAAGTGAAGTAATAAATTATAACTCGTTAAATATAAATTAAATGAAATATTCAGATTTAGTATAAGAGTTTTTAGACTTACTTAAAAAGATCTTGCCCCTATATATATATATACACGCGCATGCATATAAATTTAAAACCATTATAGGATGCATTATTTTATTCTTTTACATCTATTATACACATTTAAAGTTATTTTAATCAATATAATTCAAATAAGTAATTTTTTAAAAAATATATCATTTAAAACAAAAACATTCAACCATAAATCACATATATAATATTTTTTTCAAATTAAATTAATTTAAAATCAAATTTAAACATTCAAAATTTTATTTTATCAATTACATTACATCTGGTGTATATTTAAAAGGCTAATAATAAATTGATGAAACAACGAAAACGGTACAAGATATATTCAAAGAAATGGAATAAGAACAAATGTAAGTATGATTTGCACATGGGTGTGTTGGGTAACCTTTACTTTGGTTGAAAGGGACGGTTGCAAGATTTGTCTTCGAAGGCGAAGGTACACACAACTTGAGAGTGGGAAAGCAACGCTACTTCCTCTCTCCAGAAGAAACAAGGACTAGAACTACGCTGCAAGCCCTTCAACTCTCACCTTTTTAGTTTTGGACCTTTGCTTTTAAGTTTCAAATAATGTTGTCTCCAGTTCGTAGTAAAAGCTGACTCCAAAATAAAACTATAGTAATGGGATGGTCCTTCACAGTATCCCCTGCCCCCGCACACGGTTGATTGCTTCTTTCACTCATGTTACTTATTTAAAAAAAAGTATAAATATATTTTATTAAGTTTTTTTAGTCTATATTATGGATAATTTTAGTTTCTTAATTATTTTGAGTCAATAAAAATTTTATATTTTTAAAATTAAATAAGTTTGATTTAGTCATGTATCTTTTTTATTTAGAACCTTTAATTTTTCTTGTCAATTAAAAGCTTCAAAAATTAGAAAAACATAAATAAATTGTTAATGATCTGTTTTGTTATTTTATTTTTTTGGCAATCGATAAATAAATTGCAATACAGAAGGTAGCAACCCCACAATATCAGCAAGAGGCCTCATGTCGGCCTGGCCTAAGAAGTTTGGACCGGACTCGGTTCTTCGGCCGATGCAAACTTATTTAAAATTGCAATCCACGAGAACATACCGGTTACCCAATAAAATGACTACACAAGCCTTGTTCATTTGTTTATTATAAACTTTTATAGCTTATCTAGTAATTTAAAATTTTGACATTATCATAGATGTTGCAGTGCCACGAAATTTTACATCTGCTATTAGCTGCATTCTACGTGGGAAACTATGCAAATAAGGGTGGTATCTTTATCTTTATACATATAAAAGTAAATAAATTTTGGGGAGAAGTTTGTCTTCTTGTATTAATTTTCTACAATTAATATATTTACCTTTCTTTTGTAACTTTAATATTAATATATTACTGCATTTATTCTAAATTTTTAGGAAGGTTTATCTTTATAATTAGATTAATTTAGTGCAATTAACATATTTATCTGTTTTTCTAACTCTATTATTAACATATTAATGTATTTATTTTTGTAAATTAATAATTTTATATATTTGAAAGGTCAAGCATGTTATATTTTAATATGTTATATATAATGAAATGCTTTTAATATAGACAGATGTAAATCAATAATAAAGAAAAATAAATTATATTTTATTTAGTATATATAAAGGTGAGTACAAATTATTTATTTAAAATAATAATTTTACAAAATGTCACCTACAACTTCAACGCTTTCTAAAATATGATTTAAAATAATATTTTTACAAATTTCAATATTTGATATTTGATTAATGAGAAATAATAGAATGAATAATAAGAATTAATGAGTTTATATATTCGAAAGGACATGCAACAATGAAATGAATAAAAATTAATATTAATTTAGTGCAATTAACATACTTACTTTTTTTTTAACTTTAATATTGACATATTAATGAATTTATTCTTAAAAAGTTTACAATAATTTTGAATTTTAATATTAATAATTTACTTTAAATTTTATTATTAGAAACTAATAATTGGTATTTGAATAATGAAGAATAGTGGAATGAATGAATAAGAATTAAATAGTTTATAAATTTGAAAAGTCATAGAACAATAGAATGAATAAGAATTAATATTAATTTAATGTAATTAGTATATTTATTCATTTTTTAACTCTAAAATTAACATATTAATGTATTTATTCTTATAAAATTTAAAACATTTTCAAATTTTATTATTAATAGTTTACTCTAAATTTTAATTTAGTGCGATTAACATATTTACGCATTTTTTAAACTTTAATATTAACATATATTTGATTAATCAGGAATAATAGAATGAATAATGAGAATTAATGAGTTTATATATTCGAAAGGTCATGTAACAATAAAATGAATAAAAATTAATATTAATTTAGTACAATTAATATATTTACCTATTTTTTTAACTTTAATATTGACATATTAATGAATTTATTCTTGAAAAGTTTACAAAGAGTTTATAAATTTGAAAAATCATAGAATAATAGTTTACTCTAAATTTAATACAATTAGTATATTTATTCATTTTTTTATAACTTTAAAATTAACATATTAATATATTTATTCTTGCAAAGTTTAAAAATATTTTCAAATTTTATTATTAATAGTTTACTCTAAATTTTAATTTAGTACAATTAATATATTTATATATTTTTTAAACTTTAATATTAACATATTAATACATTTATTCTTACAACATTTAAGGCAGAACAATAATCAGTTATAAATAATCAATTTTTATTAATAATAATTAATATGTACAAATTAATTTCAAACTTTAAAATAACTTAAATATTATCATAAATAGTTTATAAAATTATTTTTTATAATTAATAATTATAATATTATATTATGACATAATAACACATCTGTATATCGCCCGGGTCATCTTACTAGTAAGTCATTAAAGGAAACGTTGCTGTTAAATTCACAGCTAATTATGATGGAGAGGAATGGTTGCAACTCGCAGGTGATCTCTAAACTCCACGGATGGGATGCCATTTTAAGTTGCTAGCCAAACTTTAGCATGATTTCCTACCCCCATTCAGGCAAAAGAGAAGGGTGAAATCAAGGTCAGTGAGACCACATCCAGTGGTTTCGTAGTCTACAAATATTACCCAAGAAAGTAATTAATGAATCATGTAAACGTTTACCATGACGCCATTAATTGTATTGCTTGCAGACTGATTCCTTCTCCAAAACAAGCATATTGATGTATACACCATGGGTGATATTGCTATTTTCCCTTTGAAATTGTATGGTGAGCTGAGAAGAGTTGAACAAGTTGATCACGATCGCAAATCAGCTGAATGGAACAGCAGTTTTTCTCAAATTTCTGTTTCTCCATTTATGCTAAAAAACTTGAACATACCATTTACACGCTAAAGGCCCTTTTGACCGTGGCATTCATTTTCCTAAAAGTGACTACTAATCATATTTATCCTTTGAAATGTTAAAAAAAAGAAAAAGATTTATCCCTTCATGAGAGTCTCTTGTTAAGCATCATGCTTGCTGATGTCATCACATTTTGTGCGTGTTTTGTTCATCGTAGACCATCAAAGCAACTGAAAATGGGAAAATAGTTGAGTATGATAGCCTTCCATACCTTTATTCCAGTGCATTTGTACTGCCTGGACAATTATGGCGACAATGTCCGTGAGACAGTGCTATTTGGAGGCAAACAACAATCCAGAATTTACCAAAGCCTAAGTTTTGGACATTGTGACTGAAAATAGGGGAAACTTGTGCAGGTGTTTTGGGGGTGGAACCAAAGTTGCTAGCTCCAGCCTCGGGCAAAGAATTTGGACTTTCCTTTGCTAGTTGAATAATATACGTCTTCTTGTGCCCTTGGCCCATAAAATACGAAAGAATCTCTTTCGGAAGGACACAAATTTTTTGTGGTTATATGGCAAGCGGAAAATTTCTTTAAAAATTTTATATCCGACTTCAAGGAATACATGCCTAGTAGTTTATCTACACCTCTCTCTCAACCTTTTTCACCATACTTACTCCTGTTATTAAACAACCATGTGTAAGTAGCTTCGTTACGCGTAGTTTCATCTGTGTGCATTCTTGTTTTCATACTACTAAACATGAAATAATCATTCATCTGGACATACTATAGCCATTACTTCCTATATTTCAAGTAGGATCTCACAGCCAAATCTTTTATTTTTTGTACCGCATGATTTGTTTCACCAATACTAGCCAAAGTAGTCTTCAATATCATCCACCATTCAGTGACACTGAAAAATTTTGATCGTGTGAATTTCAATTGAATAAATAACCCCTATTAACTCCAATCGATAGACACATACACTGAATTCCAATAAAGAAAGTGTCTAGCATTAAAGTAAACATGAATTCCATAACATCACGAAACTTCCATAACATCACGAACGTAAACAATATTAAGCCGAATTCTTTCACACAGTTCTCTGGCATGAATACTACTTTAACAAAAAAAAAATATAAAATGCAAAACTAAAGTACCCTAAATTGGTAATATGTTCTGAACCAAGGGTGAACAGCTTACCAATTAATCAAATAGACTGAAACCCATATCCTGCATCACAAAAAGAAATAAAAACGAAACAATAAGACACTGCTCAAATAATCCAAGCCATTACCGTATACTATATGACATAACTTCAAAAATAAACAAAACGACAATAAACGGAATTGACATATTTGCGTTTAATCCAAATCCAACCAACTAGAACTGTTAAATACATTAAAAACAAAAAGGAAAAAGCTTACGTCATCTGATTCCTCCTTCTCCTCCACCTTTTCCTCTTTCTTCGATTCGGCAGCGGCCGGAGCACTACCACCACCTCCTCCGGGAGCAGGGGCCACGGCAACGGCGGCTCCACCGCCAGAAGGCACGGAGGCTAATTGTTCCCTACCGGCGGCAATAACCTCTGCAATATCTTTGCCCTTCACTTCGGACAAGAAGTTACTGATATTGTCATCATTCGCTTCTGCTCCAACTGAACATCGAAAATTCACAGTCAAACCAAATGATATTGAAATTAAGTTCGCGATTGTGAACAAATGAAGCACTTGAAATAAATCTGAACGGTGATTGAAAATACGAAAACGTTGCAATAGAGAAGAGTGTACCAGCGCCAAGGATGTCCCTTAGGTCATCGGCGGAAGGGGCAGTGTTGCCTCCCAAGACAGCGAGCAAATACGCAGCGATGACTTTCATTTTGCAGAAGAATGGGCGATTTGAGAGTGAAGTTGTGAAGGTGAAGGAAGAACCGATGTGTCTGTAATTTTATAAATAGGGTTAGGGTTCGTTTTGGCACAAAAACACCGATAATTGGGTTCTAGGGTTTTTGGTTTTATTACCCGTATCCTCGTATGGTCTATTGGATCGGATCCGAAAAATTTTGCGTCACATACAAGTCGGCCTTGATAAGCCCATTATGGAATGGGCCTTCTTCACTAAAAGAATTTGGGAAATCTTTTTTGTTTACTACTTTTAGAATTTAATTTTTGAAATTATGTTTAATGTATTTTAAGAAATTTATTTAATTTATAAATTTTTTTATGAAAGTGAATTTTTACGTTTTAAAAATTAAATTTAGGATTTATTTTTAAAATATTATTCCTTAAATTTAGTAAATCCTAAATTAGTCAGCTGATAGTACTTTTTTTCATATCAGTTTTAAAAGTATTATTATTTTAATTTATTTTTATATAATACTCGTATTACATAAGAGATGTGCTGGTGCAAAAAAATATTTTCAAACAAAATTAACAATCGAGAAAAATGTTATTAATTGTTAATTAAGGAAACTTTGTTTTAATTAGAAGAAAAAAAGTAAAGAAGCAATACAGGATTAATGATTTAAAACTTAACATATTATAATATAATGTTGTTACGAAAGGATTAATGTTAGCTACATTAATGTTAAAAATTATTTATTATTTTAAAATATAAATATATGATCAATATTATATTATTTATAAAAGCTTAAACTTAATTCTTAAAATTGAGGTTCAGAAAATCAAATTTTTTTTTTTAGAGTAACATTGTTTATTTTATTTATTATTATCATATTATTGGTTTCATAATTTGTTTATTTTGAAAATGTAATAAATATTGTGAAAGAAGAGAGTAGTACTTCTGATTTTTATGACACGATCATGATATACATCCTTTTTTTATATAAAGAAAAAAGCTATAATCCAATGATTTGAATGGTTAGAAAACGAAGTGCCCTATTCCTGTGTCCCTTTGAACTTTCAACCCAAAAAAAAAGTGTCCCTGGAACAGCTTCGTAGGAGATCATGTCATGTCCTCTTAAGTGCAGCACTCACTCTCACACACTGAAACTGAAACAGAAACAAACTAATGAACTATTGTGAGTTAGAGAATTTCTGATCTCACTCTCTCCCATGGAGGTTCAAACTCACTCTCTCTCCCCAACCTTTGACTTTGACTTTGACCTTCACCTTCACTCCCAATACCCCGTTTCTTCCCCCACCGACACCTACTTCCCGCCCAATGGCGCCAACCAACCTTCTCTTGGACACGCCACTGCGGCGCTCAAACTCCAGAAGGTCTACCGGAGTTACCGTACCCGCCGCAGGTTGGCGGACTCCGCCGTTGTAGCTGAGGAGCTATGGTCTGCATGCACGTAAATTATATCCTACTATGAATCAAAGTGATTATGATCATTAATACATATAATTTTTTTAATTTGAAGGTGGCAAGCCATAGATTATGTAAGACTGAACCACAGCACCATTTCCTTCTTTAATTTGCCTCAAACTGCCGCATCACGCTGGAATAGAATTAAATTGAACGCGGCCAAGGTATCGCTTCGAGTGTTTCTACGTATATCTTTGTGTTTTTAACTTTAAGTAAATAAATAACTGTATCCTCGTTTCTTATGGTGAATAATCTTCGCACAACTTACGTTTTTAGCTTCGATTGTTTGCACAGGTGGGTAAAGGTTTGTCCAAGGACGCCAAAGCACAAAAGTTGGCTTTCCAGCATTGGATCGAAGCTGTGAGTGTATATACAATATAATACTATTATTGTACTTTAATATTAATATTAATATATATATATATATAAGTTATATATGTGTCTGAATTTGATTAGTGTCACTAAAAATTGTAGATTGATCCACGACATCGTTATGGGCATAATTTACAATACTACTATAAAGAATGGTGTAAAACGGATTCTGGTCAGCCATTTTTTTATTGGTAAGATTATTTTATTTGAATTAAAGAAAGGGTATTGCTTTTTGTAACCTTGGGTTAAAATTGAACTGGGTTGATTGTGATTTAAGTTAGCAAATGAAGCAATCACTCAGAAATCAGAATCCCCTCAAGTATGGTTTTTCAGTACAGATATTTTAATTTGCGTATGTTGTTTCAGTACAAATACTTGGAGCACTTACAAGCTTTTTATGGACCAACAACGTCATGAACAAGATTTTTCTGATTGATAATTATTTTGTTATTTGATGTTTCCACTGTGGGAACAACGGAATCACCTTTTTACCGTACACTTGTACGGTTCAGCATGGAATCCCCAAAAAATATCTCCATCCCATACTATCACTAAATTTGCTTTTGTGATACTTCATTTACAAGTTAGTAGTAATGGGGAATTGGAAATTTGAAATAGATACACGTATTTAGTTCATGATAAAATAAGGTTTATAACTTTATTTCTTGTCTCTTATCTTAACAAACGGCTTATCATATAAAGGGATTCAGGTGCTGAGTAGGATGCAAAGGGGGAGAACCAGAGGGCACGGTTTGGTTTGTTTTGCTGAAATTTTGTTTTTCTCCTTCTGCAGGTTGGATTTAGGAAATGGGAAGAATCTTGATCTTGAACAGTGCCCTCGATCAAAGCTTCAAAAACAATGTATTAAGTATCTGGGACCTGTATGTGCTTCTCTGTTTGGATTTATATATGCAAATGTAGTTAAGTTTGACTGTCTTGACTTGTATCACTTCATTTTCCTGCTTTTCTAATTTGTTGCTCCATGTTCTACTTGTTCTTATTTGCCTGAATTAGCAAGAGAGAGAACAGAATGAATACATTGTCTGCGAGGGCAAAATTTTCCACAAGCAAAATGGGGACTTGCTTCATACAATTGAAGACTCTCAAGATGCAAAATGGATATTTGTAATGAGCACTTCCAAGAAACTTTATGCCGGCAAGGTAACAATTAAAGCTCAATTAAATTTAGAAGTTTAGTATTTTCTTTTAAGGACAACTTGGCATGTCCTTCCCGTACACTAATACATTGTTGCATTAAACTTCCAGAAAAAGAAGGGATTATTTCATCATTCTAGTTTTTTGGCTGGAGGAGCTACGTTAGCTGCTGGAAGGCTTGAGGCTGAGCATGGGATTCTTAAGGTGAATTAATTTCATAAATTGCATAATTAAATTATAGATTTTGTTAAGAGATAAGGATAAGTAGTTAATAATAGTAAAATTTTATTAAAAAGAGAAATATTTATTGTATTTTTATAATTTCAATACAATAACAGTTTATTTTTTTTATAAAAATTTTCTACCCGTATATGCTTAAACTGAGAAAACAAAACCTTTAAATTATTGTTTCTAATGGAACTTCTGAGTATTGCTTGCCAGCCTTTATATATTTTAATGATAAGGAGATAGTGGGGCTGCTATCTTGTTTGCCTAATATGGACTCGTTGACTAACAAATCTGAGCTCCAACATTAGTGCGTTGCTAAATTGCTAATGTCTAGTTCTTACTTGGACTGTGCCTTTGACTTTTCAGTCCATCTCTGCTTATAGTGGACACTACCGGCCAACAGATGACACTCTTGACTGTTTCTTATCATATCTCAGGGAAAATGGCGTCAAGCTCGATGAAGTTGAGGTAATTGTCATAGATTTTGTCAAAATGCCATTTGTAGAAAAATTTTAATTTGAAAGGTGGCTATTCAATTCCTTGATCATTTATGAGCATTTTCTGTTGTTGATTTGGATTTTATCATGATGGTCTTTTTGTTTCAGTTAATAAGATTGCATCTTGCATTTGTGGATGATGTTTATGGTTATGGTTATGCAAGGTCTAAACATTTAATAATCAAGGTGAAGACTAGGTGGCAATCCCTCTTGTATATATATAATAATAATAATAATAATTCTGATTCATGGTTTCAGTTGCGCAAGGCGAATGAAGACTCTGATATCTACGAGGATACCAATCTCAGTGAAAGAGCAGCAACAACTGAAGTGTCAAGCACTACTACGATGAATTTGTCTGAAATATCCCAGGAAGCTGCCAATACTCCATCTTCAGTTGAGAAGGATCCTCAACCTGAACCTGTCTCTACTTATAAAAGGACTCTATCAGGTGGTCTTCAGAGTCCAAGAGCTGTGGTGCCTAAGACTGCAATATTGCAGAGAATCAATTCCAAGAAGGCTTCAAAATCCTACCAATTAGGACATAGACTTTCCCTTAAATGGTCAACAGGCGCTGGACCTAGAATTGGATGTGTTGCTGACTACCCTGTGGAGCTTAGAACATGTGCCTTGGAGATGCTCAACCTTTCTCCAAAGGTTCCCCCTACCCCTTCATCATACTCACGGATGGTTGAACTTCTATCACCTCCTGCTTGTTCAACATCTAATAGCTCTTCTTGTGGTAATAGTAATGGAACTTGTGTTGATTGATCTATACTTAAATGACCTTAGTATACTTAAATGACTTTAGGCGAATGCTTCCTGCTTAATGATGCTTTAGGTTGTTAAAGCCAAGCCTATAGGTGCTTTACTTAGTGTTGAAAATACCTGTTCCATATATCATCTAAACTTTTTGAGGACTTGTGTGTTATCTTGTAAGGTCCAATCGTTGTTATGATCTCGCCTCTTGCTTTTTTTCCCACTAAATGTGAAGAGATGTTTGATATGACCACCAATAGTGGAACCCTTATGCTAGACTAATGTGACATTTCGAGGAGTTTATTTATATTAATAAAAGTAATTTATAACTTTTTTTTTTATGTATATCTTTTAGATTTTTTTCAATAATTTTCTTTATTGGACTTGTGAATAAACTCTTATTTCATCAAAATTCATTGAATGACTTCATGGTTAGTGGCTAGAAGTCATATATCACCACTGTTTTTAATTTGCTCTTCACCTCAATGCAAAAATTTGTATTGTATATCAACTAGTTGCAATGAGTGACTATAGTATATTAATTTTGTTATTTAAATCACTAAATAATTAATATAGTATGTAATATTGTATATATTATGTTTATCTTTCGCTTATTTTTTTAATATACATATATTAAAGATACATCTTAAATATAAAGGAGATATCTAAAGTCTGAAGGTATTCTTTTCATTGGTACAAAAAATACTTTTAGTAATATATAGTAAAAAAAATTGACTTTGCCACTATAGTTCCATTAGTAATATATGGTACAAAAAAATCTTTTGCATTGCCTGCATGTAAAAAATAGCCTTCTCCAGCTGCATCATAATGGGCAAAAAATAATTATGAATAGAAAAAATGGTTAGAAAAGATTTTTGGTGCAATAGGAATAATAACTCGACGAAACGGCGTAACCATGAAACAAGGGTGTATAGAGGACCTCCTTGTAAATGAAAGTTCATGTATTTCCTTCTTATTCAGCAGGAGTTAGTCTTGGTCACTAAATCTCAAAAATAGGTAAGAAAAGGGATGGGATAAGGGGAAATAAAGAAAAGAAAAGAAGGGACTTAAAAGTAGAACGACAAAGAAATAAAAAAAAAATATTGTTTTTATTAACTTACAAAGTCTTCACAAGTCAATAATGGCCAAGAAGATGGTGTTTCTCGTGACTACTTTTGTGCCACCAGCAGCACTAATAGGTAGATGGTTTCTGTTAAAAGACAAAAGTCTGTGTGATGATTGCTGTCAAAGGTTTTTCTCATAAGATGTGTTGAATAAATTCCATTTGGGAGTTATATACAATGCAGCATGAAGAATGCTTTGCAGAAAACGGTATTGCTATTCAAATACGATTCTATGGAAAAAAAAAACTCTTTTTAAAAATGCAATCAAACATATGCGTAGTTGAAAGGATTAGTGAATGCTGCGAAATTCTAAATTTTGTTGGGGTCTATAGTTGAGGAGAATATTGAAATGTTGACGGATTAACACCAAGAATTTGCTGGTTAAATAGATACATTTAATTAATTTTTCTAATGATGAAGGACACTTATAGTAAGTTTTTATTAACTATAATATATTACAGATACATCTAATACGTATACATGAATGTTATAGTTTTTTGCTATAAGAATGTTATAATTTTTAACGTGTAGGTCATCTCTTGTATGCATCTCGCAGGGCTTGAATTGGACAAATTTAGATTCGGTGTAGTTAAAAAATAACGCAGTTGGTGTATTTAAAAAATTGTGTCTATAGTTCGTTTAATAACTTATATTAAACTACATTTTATTTATAAACGCTAAGTGTCATTACTTTGCATTAGATTAGACGCAAAGTGTTATTTTTAATGTATATTGATAGTGTCAAAATTTTCGATTAACAAAAATTTTGCAAATATAATTAAAATGATGTAAATTTTTATTTAAGAGTAATTTTTGAACGAAATTATATAATAAAAATCAACTCATGAAAGTGATCGGTATCGCTTAAGTTATATGCAAAAAAAAATTTCTAGATCTAAATACGCAACCTGAAACGAATCTGGATTAAACCAAATAAAAAACAAAATAATAATAATAATAATAAGTAATTAAATGATATAAAAATAACTTTATTTTATACTAATATAAATTTAGAATAAGACGATTTAAATTTTTTTTTTATCTAACTTGCACTTTATATTTCTTCTCCTGTTTCGCCTCCATGCATTCTTTTCTTTCCTCTCACTTGTCTCGAGTGATTATTTTCTTTGTTCCTCTATTGACTATGCTCCCTTGCAGACTATACTTTATATCTATTGGCCCATCTCACGGTTGAGTTACTCGAGTAGAATTGAGGCACCGATAGAGCTGGTTAGACAAAAGATGAAAAAAAGGATACGATTTTCTAAGTATTCTGATAATCTCTGACAATAACATGATATATACGGTATATGTCATTAAGATTGCTGTTCACCACGTCTCTTAATTATTTCGTATTTTATTATTAATTACCAATTACATGGTAATTAAAAGTATTATTTTTAGGTGATTATATCTACAATATTTTAAAAGTTTAAATAAATATATAAATTAAATATATTTATTTAATTATTTTTTGTTATTGATGATATATATTTCAGAGATACATTAGTCTTATGTAATCTGTTCGCTTATTTATTAATATGACGTTTTTGTAAAATATTCTGAATTTCTTTATATTATGACGTAAAGAGTATCTACAAAAGCAAAACACTATTATGATAAAGTCAGAAGTAAATATAAGTTAATAAAAGTTATTTAATATTTAGAAGTTAATCTTTTATTTATATATTTTTTCTTTTTTTTTATAGACAATATTTGGGTTAATGGGTTTTATGATTCAACTCTAATTTATTAGGTAATTAGTCATAATTTTTTTATTATTAACTATTAATCTTTTAATTATTTTAATTAGGTTGAAATGGTGTTCAATTTCTTTTTACTATAACAATGACTAAAGTGTCTTAGTATAATATGTATTTAAAAGATTTATTAAAAAATATTATTTAATTATCATAATTAGATAAATAATCTTATAAGAATTATTTTTTAAAATTTAAAGTTAAATTTAATAATTATATTTTAATACTTTTTTTTTTTTTGCATTCTTTCTATTTTTTAAATGAAAAAAATGAAAGTAACAAATAAGTGAAACATTATAAAAAAAATTGATCTGTTGTCGAAATTAATAGTAATTCACAATTAAAATTTTTGAATGAAAATTGAATTTCTGTTTATTTGAATGTCTAATCAAAAGAATTTTAAACAAAAATAATCTTTTTCCTTTATTAAATCAATGATTCGAGGAAAGTTTATAAAAAAATAACAAATAAATCAATGATTCGAGGAAAGTTTATAAAAAAATAATCTTTGTTATTTTCAATTTTTAAACACATACACTTTATATTGACTTTATTATATTGTCTTAATGTGAAATAAAAAAATATGACCCAAAAATCATATCTCCTTCAAGAATCAAATATTTTAATATTGTTACATTAAGTTGTTTTACTTTGTGCAAAATAAAAAATAATGAAGAGTTCTAACATGTAACTCATTTTGTACATTGATAAAAATTATTATATAGGTAGGAGAGTTTCAAAACTTATTACTTTAATTCATTTTTCAATAAGAAAGTGTCAACTATTGTTCTTTTAGCATAATTAAACTTTCAACTATTGTACATTGATAATCTTGTTATATTTAAAATTATTATATAATTTTAAATTTACAAAAAAATACTTTAGAAATAATAGAGAAAAAAACACATGTCATGTAATTGAATGGAATATAAATTTACATGCATTAATTTATCATTAATTCGTCTATTAAATGCATCTAAACCTATCAAAATTTTGAGACACTACAATGTTTTTTTTGAATATTTAACTTAACTGTGTTCAAAACATCAATATATAATTTATTCAAAAACTATTACACTTAAATTTTCCTTTTTTTTTCTCATAAAAAATTTCAGATGAACTTTTAAATTTTAAAAATATGTTAATATTTGAAATTAACCAATATTTAAATTTTATTTATTTAAAGTTTTTAAAACAATAGAAGTTACGTATTTTGAATCTCTATATTAAGAAGGACTAAATCAACTGTGTTAAGTGTGTAAATTAAAAATAAATTTTTTATAGAGATTTTAAAAATCATATTTTGGATAAAAATATATTTACGAACAAAATTATTTAAAAGAAGATGGTAAAGGAAGATATATGGGAGTAATTTTTTCAATTAAGTGGCCGGATCCAGGTATTGATGTCATATCGAATCAAGTTTATTGTTTTAAATTTTCAAATGGCATATATGATATAGTAAATTTTATGTGGTTATTTTTTTAAAGGTCAAACATGATGAAATGTTGTCAAGTTCAAAGCTCCAAGGATTAGATTGATTATGATTTGTTACTGTTGTTCGTTTAATAAAATTTGATGAACAGAACTTTCTATTAAATATATCAACTGTGCAAACACAATAAAAAAACCGTATAAATTAAGTAAGAATAAAAATATTTAATTTTCATTAAAAAGTATCAAATAAAAATAAAGTTTATTAAAAATATGAATTTTTTTTATTATTTAATGAAACTATATAGATTGTAATTTATTGTATTAAATATGCATTTGTGAGAATCTTTTGATTGCACTTCTTTTTATTCTTTTGTAACAATGATCCTCTTTTTATATTTAAATTATGTAGATAAATTGATCACAGTTTTAAAAATTTTGGGATCTATGAAGTTTTTAATTAATATTTTTTGAGAGGGTGGTTGGCACGAAAAAGAAATTGGGATTTGATTAGGCGCATGTATAGTTAATTAATAAGAGTATAGGGGCCGACTTTTGCAGTGCGGCAAATCGCCTACGTGGTCAAATTCAAGAAACGTGGCAAGCGAAGATACATGGCTGCTTATTATCAAAGATGTCCACTTGTGAGCTGGCATGACACGTGGCACTCATCTACGATCTTTCTGCTTCCCCTGCTAACCAGTGACTGAGATGATACCCTCTCTCTCTCTCTCTCTCTCTCTCTGTGTTCGGTTCCCTCTGCTACCTCTTCCCACCGTTACACTAATTTCTCTCTCTTTCCTCTGTGATTGTGCCATCGACAACACCATCATGGATGCGGAATCCGAGAAGCTCTCTGCATCCACCTCTTCTGCTTCGTCTTCTTTTTCGTCTTCGTCCGCCTCGGAGGAGCGCGTGGATCGGCTACTCCACACGCAGGAGATTGAAGCGGCGGAGACTCTCGCGCACTTGGCAATGCGCGACTCTCACTCCGCCGATAAATGGCGCGGCAAACGAGCCACGAGTCGATTCACTCGCGAGTCACCGACTCCTGACTCGGATCTCTCTCACTCTCCTCTTGGGCCTGGGGTTAGTTTTCTTTAACTATTCTTCTCTTATTTAATCGCATAATTTCAGCCCAAATTCAACGCACTTGATTTGACTATGAGAAATATTAGTTACACTATTGAATTGTATTTTTATATGAAACACTAGTCCACAATTATCCATAACAGTGTATGTGTATATATATATATTTTATATCGGTGGGGTGAGGAAGAAGCGAGTCAAATAACTGTTTCGATTTCAACGTAGATATAGGACCCGTAAGATCAATTTTCCACAATTAATCAAAAGCGTGAACAAAATAATAATGATTCTTCCGCAATTCTGAACGAGAGCTTAGGAGTAGAGACCGGTGTCATTCTGTTTGAGTCAAGACTCAGTGATCGTCTGGGTTGCATTTTCGTATCCTTTTTCGGAAATAATGAAAGCAAGTCCCACATTTTGTGCCCCGCTTTCTTTTGTCATGACCGGTTTGGTTTATCGGTTAATATCAGCCACTAAAATTTAAGTGACAAAAAAATAATTAAACTGTATGTAAATATTTTGGTCCTCTGCTAATTGGATATTCCTATGATAAAAATCACACCATTCCCGCCATAACAATTTTATCGTAATGCTACGTCTAATATTAGTTGCTTGAATTTATTTCCATTTTGTATAATCAGGTAATATTCAGAATTCCTAGTGTGTGACCTTGTTAATGGAACATCCGTGCATATATTTTGTTCGTTTTGATTTTCTCACTTTGCTTACTATTGACGAACATCTATGCTCCTGCACTTTTTGGAGAAAAATATAAACTTCAATTAACATGTTCAGCTCTTGTTTTTTCCTCTTGGTATAAAGTTGAACTAGTCAATTGACTAAAGCTTGCATCCAATACTTAAGAGTATCACCAAGTTGTAACATTTTATGCAGGAATTTAGAAATGATTTAATTTATGGCAGGGAAAAGCTGTTGCAGGTCAGCATCTACATGAGAAAATATCCACCACTGCATCTGTAGAAACAGAAAGGATTCCGCAAGATGACAGCTCGAGACACATGAAGGTGGAGCAGGATGCTGGATTATTACCTAAGACTACAAGTTACTCTATAGTTCGATGTAGCAAATCAAGGAGAAATTTAACTGAGGTATAGTAGAGTGTGTGCAATTTCCTCTACAGGAATTTCTGGGTGTAGTTGGCACTTGTAATTTACTGGGCTTTCTGTTCAGGAAGAAAAAGAAGCAAGGAGGATCCGCAGGGTATTGGCAAATAGAGAGTCAGCAAGGCAGACAATTCGCCGTAGGCAGGTATTACATAGGAAAATCAATTCACCGTTGCTAAATTTGCTTGCTTATGTTGCCCAAAATGTAAACCAAACACACATGTAGCACATGCTTGGTGTGTTTTGCAAAATAGCCAGTGTTGACTTCATCTTTCTGCAATTGACAACATGGTTTGTTTGTCTGGCACTCTTGTTGTTTGTGCCTTTTAATCATGAATGTATATGAAGAGGTCATTGCAGATTTCAATTCCATATTATTTATGTGAATGAGGGAATATAAAATAAACCTTGATTTAACCAAAGAAGAGATATAGATTACGTTCATCTCTCATAAAGATGTTCCTTTTCACTGCTAAATGAAAGCGAAACTAAACAACAATAAGATAACTCCTAGCGCAAAAGACTAGTCGCTGCCATGCCTGAATGCCTTTGAGCTCTTGTTTGAGTGAGCGGGTAAGCAAGCAGCCAGAGTTATGTAAGAGAACTACTAATAAGTCTTCTCATCTCTAAGCCAGCTAATTTCTAACAAGCTAGACACTTTCTTGTACTTCCAGCCAAGTACAGTAGCTATTGTTGAGTTAAACAAACGGTAGTCAGATAATAGGCAGATGGAGGGCCTATTCTGGACCAATTAGAAACCGAAATCCCGATGCGCTGACATTGTTATAAAACACAAAAAAGACCTCAGATTCTTTTTAAGCCGTCTATTGTTCTAGCTGATTGATTACTCATTAAAATATTGAGAATTTTCCCTTTTCTTTTTTCTCTCTAAAAAAATTGTTTCAGGCTCTATGTGAAGAGTTAACCAGAAAAGCTGCCACTTTGGTGTTGGAGAATGAAAACCTGAAGAAGGTATGGTACTATTCCTTATTTGATATCTTCTCATCAAGCCACCTTTTATGTCCTCCTTTTCCACTTTCTTCCTCTGTATACAGTTGTCGTGCTTAGCTGTACGAAGCATCTATTTAAGATATTATCATTTCTCAATTCTTTTTATCCTCTTTAATGTTTATGTAATCATTTGCTCTTTCACAATTTGACATCTCTGGTGAAAAGGAGAAGGAGTTGGCTTTGAAAGAGTATCAGTCTTTGGAGACTACAAATAAGCATTTAAAGGCACAAGTAAGATGTTTATGCTGCAGTAGAAATATTTAAGCATAGTATAACTCCTTGTGTTTCCATGATATCTATATAAATACAGTAAAATTGATATTTGCTTCCATTTGCAGATAGCCAAGTCAGTAAACGCTGAGGTGGAGAAAACACCTGTTGAGCCCAAATCATCTGTGACTGCGGTTACACCTCTGTCTGGTAACAGTCCATGGTTCCTTTATAACCATTTTCCAGTTACACAGATATTTTGGCCTTCCATCCTTCAATCTTCTAATCCAGCTCAATTACAACAGACACCATTTAATTCCATCGCTGTTCCACCTAATTCCAACATGCCATGTTCTTCTGAGTCTGTTTCATGTTTCCAGCAAAATAACCTTGTAAATGATAATCGACCTCAAAATCCGTTGTATATGTTTCCATGTCCATGGTTGTTCCCCCTTCCAGTGTTTGGAAATGGACAACCATCACCTTCCAGTAGCGTAAAAGATAAACAAGATAAGCTTTCTCTAGGTAAACAATGTAGTTCTAGTTCATCTTTGAAGACACTGGCAAATGTGGATTATCAAGCTGCTCTACCTGTCAAACTTAAAACAGAAGCTTCTGGCTGGACAGAGGCCCTACCTATTAATGACACTGGTTGTGCCACTCCAAGATTTTCTTTGGATGGAGGTGAGAAGAAAATAGGATGTCACATTATAGAAAAGTTCCATGGACCTGCATTTTGCTGTAATGGTCATGTTTCTACTGTTAAACAAGAACATGAGCTTCAATTACATTTTGCCCCTAACACTAAGGTACCTTCAACAGCTTCTTACAATGCAACTTCTTCACTGGAAAAGAAACAAGAACAGTGCATATGCCAGGGTAAAAATCTAGTAGATGCAGTTGCTGCAGCAGAAGCAAGAAAGAGGAGAAAGGAGCTAACAAAGCAGAAAAGCATCCATCACCGTCAGTCTCGAATGCACTGTTGACTTGTCAATATACCATATTTTAATTTCAAAAGGGAGCATAAATTCATCCTTTACCAGCTTTTGCACCCGATTATGGCTTGATGGAAAAGTAAGGTATTGGAAGTTGAGGAGAGGACAAGTCAACTATATCCATTGAGGGCCTTTGAAAGAAGAACTGAAGTCCAAATCATGTATAGCACTGACATCCTTAAAGGTTTAAGTTTTTCTCAAATCATCTTACTTGCTTCTTTTTTTATTTACTCCCGATCTTCCCACTGAAGAAAAAGGGGTGGGGGGAAGTTGGCTTCTTAAAATGATGAGGCTTATCAAATTTTTTATTGGTAGTTATTATGATCCGGATTTTTGAACTTTCAATTTCTGAAGAGTTAATCCCAGAAATTGTGTGCGCAATGCCATATCAGGAGGGACACAGGAGAGAAATTTAAGCCTTGTATGTTTTATACTTTTATAACTTTACTTGACAACTGAGATAATCTTTCAGAGGAAGTAGATTGTTTTTAATGCTGAGCTCAAAATGCAGTTAACCTAGTTTTTCAGTACATGCAGACAAGGGCTTTTATACCTTGTGTGTGGATCTTATTACATGTCATAGCCTGAATATCTGCCTGTTGTTTATCGGGATATATTGATCTAACTGGAAAATTTTGGCCCTATAGTTTTTTAGGTTATATTATTCATGCTTCACTTATTTATGTAACACATTTGTAACTTATACCTTTTTTCGAGATGAGATAATTCTGTGTGTGTATCTGTCACATCACGTATCTTATCGCCTTTTTGTCTCTTCTCTTTCTATCTATCTCTAATTTATTAAAAAAAAAAACTTGTACAAGTAGCATTTCTCAGGTGATCTCTCTTCTGTATTACACATATTTCTTCTCTTCTGTCTCTAAAAAAATAATTGTGCAAAAATTACACACAAATGCAGTTAGTCAATTCTTCTTTATGGTCCAAAAGTGAATGGTATATGAATTCCTTAAGAAGTTTGAAAGGTAAGAGAGGAAGAGAAAGAGATAAGGAACAAGAGTTAACATGTAATTAGGAGAATTTTTAAGTGTTTATAAATCATCTCCCTTTCATTTAAAAAGTCCTAAACATGAATAAACATTGCATAAATCTTTCTCTTTTCTTTATGAAATCAACTTCCAAACAGAGCATTCTTTTTTCCAGTCCTCTCTTTGCCCTCTCTTTCTCACACAAGCACATAACAAATACAATTTTTTTTAGTGGAATACTTCTAGTTTCTAACAGATTTGAAATTGGTGACATAAGTCTTGATGAAAATTACCATTTTCGCCTTTGGAAGATGAAAATATCAATTAATTTAGACCTTCTCATCAACTAAATTGATCGAATTTTTATCCCTTGATAAAAATGGCGATTTTCATTACAAGTCCATCCCCAACTCTTTTAAGGATCAAAGCCGTGATTGCTAATTTTTTTTTTTTTGTGGGAACACGAAGTTATACAATAACTTTTGACATAGTTTAGTGTTTTAATTTAAAAAAGTATTCTTTAACCGTCCTTTCCTATTGTCAATTATAAGTGGCAGCATAGGTTCGGTGGAGTGCTTGCTCTTGCATCATGTTGATTGTCGGATCTGTCTCTAAACTTGACAACTCTGCTGTTACCGTTGCAGCAGTCCATTTTAAGAGTGATTTTCATCCACGAAATCTTATGACACGTACCGTTAAATGGGTATTTTCCCTTCTCCCTAAACTCAATTCATTTTCTAGACATGATAGAGCAGTGTTGGCGATGTAGCTCATAAGCGATTGTGACTTGAGTTGAGACAGTGCTTAATTCTACATCTTAATACGAAGGTAGTGTGATTTTTTAATAGGGAGAAAAAAGTTGCTAAGATTATTAGATACAGGTAATGCATGAATTGTGTTGGTCATTACCGTTGATTGAACTAATCATTCGTGCAGCTAAACTCTTCTTTAAGCTAAAGCGAATAACTAACTAAAATGTACATAATATAGGGGATAAGTAAAAACCACTGAACTATTTTTTTGTCGTCAAATAAACTCCTGAACTCGAATTCCTAGATTATGCAATGTATCCACTAGTACGTTTGCTTAACGACAAGTATTGGACTTCTAACAGTGTGTTTAGAGTCATTCCATTCAAGTGATGCAGACAATAACACTGTATACGAAGACATTGGAGGTCCCTTCAGGACAACCTTGAATGACTGTTCTTCGTGCAATTGACTAAACTTCAAGGTATCTGGGATGATCTTCACCGAAAGACCCTTGGGTGCCGTAACTTTAGCCTTGTACGTTGATTTTGCATATCCTACATTAGTTACAGTACGATGAAAAACTGCAGAAATTTTAGAACTGGCGTTCAACAGCGAGATATGCATGCTAGGGTAGTTGATTCCATCAGTGCCTGGTGCAGGCTTATTGCTTGCGCAATTGAAACTTTTGCCTCCAAATAGTATACCAATGTTGGTGCTGTTATAGCCGTGCTTACATAGGAAGGCAATATAGGAGTTCATTCTAATATCGTAAACCAGGCCAGGATGCAATGCTCTTACTGGATCAATCTGTCCTGACCCAGCTCCCAGCTCCGTGAAGTTGTCACCGATTTTCAAAGGTGTGGCTGAATAGTAGAGACGAAAATATTAGATTTGAAAATGAAAATTTTCTTCTCTACTAACAACCTCATGACCACTTAATATTCTAATTACCAAAATGGTGGGAATATGGAAAATGATTTTGTTCATATATAATCAGCACTTGACTAGAAATAGGGGAATTTTCATTAATGGGGGTTCTCACCGGTGGTCATGAGAGCAGATTTAATAGCAGCAGGACTCCAGTCAGGGTGGAAGGATTTGACATAGGCAGCAGCTGCCGTAGCATGTGGGCATGCCATAGATGTTCCTGACATAATGTTAAATACGTCGTAACGGTCGTCTTCGTTGTACCCTGTTAGGGTTGACAGTTTGGAATAAGCAGCTACTATGTCCACTCCCGGGGCAACCAAGTCAGGCTTCGCAAACAATGTACAAGTTTAGAAGCTAAGCCAAGGGGAGAAAAAGAGAGAAAGAGAGAGATCACCTTGAGGATATTCGGGGTGACAAATTGAGGACCTCTGGCTGAAAAAGAAGCAAGATATGGAGCAGGAACTTTTGTGGTGGTTGTCTTGTATATAACCGCTTTAGCATTCCTGAATTCCAATTTTCCATAATTTTGTTTTGGTTAATTCACTTGAAAAAGTTAAGACATTACCCACTTGGACATGACAAAGGAAAAGAAAATGTACTTGGTGGAATTGATGTAGAGATCAATAGTATTGCCCACAGTGCTGGCCTCAACAAAGGCCCCTGGAATAAGTGTGGTGTAGGAGGTGTCTATTGTCTCGTCTACGCCTATGATGGTCCCTGCTCCTCCTAATTCTTTGATGGTTAAATCCTGAGCGCCTGAGCCCCCAGTGCAGTACACTATCCTGCCCCTCACCTTGTCCTTGCGTAGTGTCCCATAATCACAAGCACTGCTTCATAATTATCATTATTTGCTCAAACTAATCATAAACTTTTTTTTTACTAAATGAAATTCCGTAATTAAGCACATCAAGGTCAAGTAAGAATAACAATACCTAGCACTGCCGTAGAGATCTCGACTAAGATTCGCAGCAAGGATTCCATTAGTCAACGGATACATCTTTTTCTTGGGGGAAAATGTATTAATAGACAGTCCCTACCAAGTATAAACCAAATAAGCCAGTCACGTACGTATTCTTGTAATACCACAATTCACGAGGAGTACTTTGTTTCATGTTTCAAGTTAAAAGTTTCAACCACTTACTGTAATGTTCTTTCCATCGCCGAAGGCAATAAGTGTAGTGAACTGGCGGTCAACGGCGGAAGCGGCGACGGTCAAAATCCAGGGAGCGACATTCTCAACAGACATAGGGCGAGGGCCATTATTTCCAGCAGAGCAAGAGGTGAGAATCCCTCTCCTCATAGCATGGAATGCTCCAATGGCTATTGGGTCAGTGAAGAAGTCACGGGAGGGTCCTCCTATGGAGACGGATATGAAGTTGACGCCGTCGGCGATGGCCTCGTCGAAGCCGGCGAGCATGTCCATGTCGCTGCAACCAGTGCTCCAGCAAACCTTGTACATGGCCACGCGTGCAGATGGGACCCCACCCCTTGCTGTGCCCTTGCCAATGCCGTAGAGACTTGCACCCTTCACCGCCGCGCCCGCCGCCGTCGACGCTGTGTGAGTACCGTGCCCCATGTCATCCGCCGGACTCAGATTGTCGCTCGTTGTATTGCTATCGGCCAGATTGAAGTATTTTGCTCCGATCACCTTGCTGCCATTTTCATATTATGAAATCCAATCACCCTTGCATGCATATAGTGTATATAAATTTTTCTAATATACTCTATTTTCGAGAAGAATAATGTTAGCTAAATAAGTATAATTTTGAATTTGTAAAAATATTTTCAAACACGTACTTTGTCAACATAATTTTCTTTAATTTGCTGTTATTAATTTATCATACTTTCTTTAACCAAAAAAAATTATTATACTTTCACTCGTTATTTTTTAAAAAATGCATGTTAATAAAATATAACTTAATTTATTAAATTACTTTTGAGGGTGCTCCTTTCAAAATTCTCTTATATATACATATGTGATATGTGCGCTGAGTGTAACCAAAATTTTAGAAACATCATGTAAAGTAACATGCACTTTTCGGTTAAGAACATTTAAATTATGTTAGTCATCATTTATTTCTAACATATATTCGCTTTACAGAAGTGATTTTTAAGAAATATTTTTGAAAAATTGAAGAGTTAAATGAAGTTTTTGGTTCTTTAAAATATTATTTTTTTTAGTCTCCTATTTTTACAATTTTTTTCATGTAATTCGTGTAGTAGTAATTTGTTAGTTTTGCCTGTTAAATATATTTCGTTATAGTTCTTGTAAATATCACATTTTTTATTTGAATTTTTTAAATACCATGGATTTAATTTTATTTTATTTTACCTCTCAACAGTTTAGAATCATGCAAACATTTAATAAATAAAATAAATGGAAGCCTACTAGAAAGATTATATAAGAATGAAAAAAAAAGGATTACTGAATAACAAGTTATTAAAAATAGAGTACTAAATGAGAAAATTATAGTACTTTGAAAGATCAAAACCACGCAAACACGTACATAGGAGAATGATATATATCATGTGATATATTATTTAAAATAGAAATTAATATTTTTAATAAATAAGTAATTATTATTTAATTATATATCCACAGATGTTTATCATATAAAATTTTATATTATACATTTCACAATTCAAAATTTGAATAGGTAAAATATATTTTGAATAAAAAGTTTTAAATATATTATTTTACTAAATTAGTCTTTTTATCAGAAAAGTGAATTGTTTATTTGCAGTGCTTGTACAGATAACAGAGAATGCATATAAAAGAATACTTATTGCAGGCAGTGAAGTTGGCTCCGGTCATGCATTTGCCCTTCCATCTTCGTGGGGGAGGTCCATAACCCTTATCATTGAAACTAGGGCAATCAACCCAAATACCTGTTTAAATACAATATTTTATTATCCGTTCTTACTACTATTATTATTATTGGAAAAATGTTTTTTCTTAATACCTGTATCTAACACGCCCACAATGATATGACTTTCTACGTTGGAATTTCTCTTCACATTTAGGGGCATTCCTAGAAAATCCCATGACCTTGTTGTGTGCAGTTTGCGGTGTGTATTTGGAAACACAGATACCACATTGTCCTCCTCTGCATAAAATTAAAAATCAAAGCATAATTATTAGAGAAAATTTGTGTCTTTATAGATCATTTCACAGTTAAAAGCCTTACTTTTTCCTCCAAGTAAAATGTAATTGTACCTCGCAGTTTCTCTGCCTCATGAGGCAAAAGTCGGGCAACGAATCCGTTGAAGCTCTTTCCATAGCTATGTATTCTGGACTCTCTGGCCAACTGGGTGCTATTGTAAAAAGAAAAAAGAAAAAGGCATTAATGAAGAAATGTTGATGATTTATATAATCAAATGCATTTCTATATTTGAGAATAGCGATCATTACTCTCCAATCGCAGCCGCCAACAAGTTGTGATGGTGGTTTTCCACGGCATAGGTTCTTCCCATTGGTAGTTCTCCCATGTATACAATATATGGCTGTTTTATTTATTTTTTCAAAAAATTCATATCAATTAAGAAGAGGGCAATAGAGAATAAGCATAAATTAATCTTAGAGCAAAAATATTCTTCATTGGGAGTAGTGATCAGTCTCTTAAAAAATATGGGTAACTGAAACTCCCCAACTAGGTATACCTTTCTTTCATGTTGATTTGAACCTTGAACGGGAAAAGGATGAAGACAGAAGACGTGTAGGAGTATTAATAGTAGCAAATTGTGTAACATCTTTATGGCTTTATTCATTCTCCAACAGACAGTATTTTGTGTAAGAGAAAAATGATGTTTGATACTACGAAATGAGTGTAGTTTATAAATTGATGATTTGTTCTTGCATGTATACTCCAACGGCATTAAGGCGCAGATTATGCTGGAACGTGAAAAAAATGACATTTTGAAGAAGGAGCAAAAGGGCAGCGAAAGACAGTGTAGGACTCAGCATTTGTTGGCTTGGATTTTGGATCTTAGTCAAGTAACGACCATAACTAACATCGATCTGCATAGTTACTTAGCAATGAAAGAAAGGCTGGTGTCATTCATTCAGCCCAACAATAACTTTGGATCAAGACTAAATCAAAGCCCAAAATCTAGGCCTTGTTCCACACTGCATGACAAAAAAGAGACTCAATAATAATGATAATAATAATAATTTGCCATAGTGAAACTTCGCCTGCACCAACAACTCACCAGACTTGGGCATCATCAATCAACATGATTCCATGCATGCGGATAAATTTATATTTTATTCTTTTAAAACACGAGGAGAGACTTTAGGCTATTATTACATTGATAATGTCTTTTCAGCGTGAACAATACGATTTTGTTTGTATATTCTCTTCAATTTTTTAAAGCCATTTTGTTTCACTCTTTCAGGGTCAAAACATTTTCATCCACTTTTTTCTCCCCCACATATATATCCACTTAAACTTGTCCCCTTAAGTGTGATATCATAATGCACTGCGTACAGCATCGGATTCGTTTTACAATTTTAATAATCTCAGGCATTATAGCATCGATCCACACAGAAACATGAACAATTTAAATTGGAGAGGTTATCAAATTCACATCATAGTTAAAAATAAATAAATTCAATTTGCTTTAGAATTTCCTCGATACAGTGTCAAATTATATGTATAAAAAATTCGTAACTGACGAATTAACAATGATCAATGCACACACGAAATTGCAGCAACTTCAATTCTATTTTTAATTAATATAAGTTGTAATTTGATAATATTTTTTTAAATAAACGGGATTATGGTAACATTCATGGGTATTAATATATTTTCATTTACTATTTTAAAGAAATACACTAACAATAATATGTATATATATATATATGAAAATTTTAATTGGTATTTTTGTCACGATCATGAAAATGATCTTAATTTCATGATCTTAATATTTGACACCATTTGTAAATTTATAAATTGCATAATACTACTAGGACTTATGGATTTACACCATTGACAATCATATCATATTTGAATATAAGTTTTTAGAACGTGTCTTTCTAAAGTGCCGACTGGTAACCCAATAATTGTATCGAGTTTATTAGAAGATTAGTTTATAGCGATTAATTTTTACTTTTTTAAACTTTAATAGTTTGAGTTTTAATTAATTTGTTAAAAACCTGATCAGGTAGGTTTAAATTGAGGCATTAGGTAGACATATATTTTATATTAAAAAAATCATAAAAAATATGAAAAATTAGTGAGTTATAAAATAAATGGTAAAGTTTTTATACAATTCTGTTGCTCTAAGTCTTCTCAATACTTAAAATAAATAGATCAACGGGCAAAAGTTGTCAAGTTTAACTTGCTTTATCGCTTATAGCGGTTTTCCCTATCTCGAATTGTTTCTGATAGATTATATTTACAATTTAAACTAAAATTTATTCTTGTTTTTTTGGTAGTGTATTCTTACTTATTTTGAATATAATTATCTTAAAAAAATCGATTTAGATAAAAAAAAATATCCGTTATGATATTTTTAAACTCTAAAAAAATATTTTATATTCTCTTTAAATAGTAGGTTATAATTTTTTTAATATTTTAAAAATTAAAAAATATTTATATTTTTTAAAAATAAATCATTAATTTTACTGTCTATGTTAACTATTAATATAAAATTAACAGTCATAATTGTTTTGCATATAAAAAAGTATATAATAGGATTATAAACCTCGTTTAATAAAAAAAAATTATAAAATATCTTTTCATTTTACATAATATCTTAGAATTTATAAAAAATAAATAAAATTAGTACTATTTCTTTAATTTATCATGATAATGCTTACATGCTTTCATTTTCTGTGTCGTGGAAATCTAATTTAGAATTTTGTATTGAAATAAAAATATATTTATGATATAAGTTTCTAGAAGCAAAATTTATATTTTTTGAGAATAAGACTAAAGTTTTGTTTTTTATTTTTCTTCATATTGTGAATTTTAAACGTGCTTTTTAATTAGTTATTTGTTTAAAAACTATAAACAAACAAATATTGTGACCACAATCCACAGCAAACAAACAAGCCCTTGGTGTGAAAAGCAGCATGTATTGGTGGGTTGGCACAAGGATTGGGATGAAGATATAGAAAATGGAAGGTGCAGCTCTCGAGGGAAAAGGAAGTAACATGGCATCTGAGTTTCCCTAATCTTTTTAGGGGATGCTATTGGCACTCAACTCAACACTCAAAGTGAAGTTATAGCTTCAGTTTTCAGAATCAAATCAAATATATTATGAATCGTAACTTGAGAACAATTTACACACACGCATGCACGTGAATGTGAATATATATGACGACGCAGATAACAATCTTTGTAGTTTGTACCTCTTTTTATAGCTGTGGACTCATACTCTTTCTTCTGTCTTTGCTATCTCTTAAGATAATGTGTATAGGCATCCCAGCTACGTACAATCACACTTTTTGCCAGACAAGTTACACATTTATTTTATTTTTAATTTATCTGTGTATGTTATAACTTTTCTTATCATTAACTATAAACAAATTATGTTAAATTTGTCATTAATTATATTTTATCATTTTTAATTACAATAATTATTCAAAATCTCTTTTTTTAACTATCGGTTAAAAGTTAATTTAAAAATAATGTTATATTATTTTTAACTCAAACAACATTATATCTCTTAAAAACATATATGATTATAGACAAAAGAAAAAAAAGTAAGATGTGTATAATCACTACAAAATATCATATAATGGTAAAAATCTAAAAAAAGGCTAAAATTATCTTTGTTCATACATATGCTAGTATAAATATTGTCGAACAAAGTTAATATGATGTGTACGACCTATTGATAATATATTATTGTTTATTCTTTATACCATACAAAGATTTGTTTTCACAATATATCATTTATTTAATATAGAATCACAATATTCATATTTATAATTTAATTTGTTAAATAAAGGCTATAACGACGTAGATTATCCAACACTAACCATTATGTGACTTGTTTTGTTTGCAATGAGTAATTTTTATTTAATATATAAAATAATTAATTAAAGAGATAGTAATGATAAGTAGGAGTGTAAATGAGTTCATTCGGGCATATTTAAAACTCAAACTTAGCTCATGAAAAAAAAAACTCAAACTTGTCACTTTTAGTAAAATGAACTAAATTTAGAATTTAAGTTTGATTTGATTAATAATTTTTAAATTTGAACTTAACTCCTTAACTTGCTTATAATTTTGTAATATTTTTTTAATTGAATTTTTAATAAATATTTTTATGCTAAAAAGTAAAGTAAAATAGTAACAAAATATATTTTTATTTACATAAAAATGATCTAAAGTTAAAATGAAACTTTTTATTATAAAAATAATATATTTCTTTAAAAAATATTACTTATTTAAAATAGAACTCTTAAAATTTAAAATTAGATTAATAATACACATTGTAATAACAAAATATAAATTTTAAAACTTGAATTCGGTGAAGTTTAGAGTTTAACTTAGTGTGTATATGTCTTTGTAATTTAGTTTCCTTTCTCCTTCGGTCTAAGAACATAAGTAGTCAATTCCTGTCAAGATTTATGGGCATAGCCAACGATTATAAAATGAAAAAAAAATAAAAATCCGTCCAAGTTCAAATACTAACTAAGATTTGATTAATAACATGAAAGATCCGTCCATTACCTTAATTTCAATAAATTTGAATCTTCTTGACTATTGGATAAAAATATAATATTTTTATATTTTCAAAATTTAAATATATACATTTAAATACAATGTTTTATATTCTGTGTTAAGAATAAATCGAAGATAATATAATATAATAATTAATTGACTTACACTTTGTCTTACCTTAAAATAATTAAAATTATATAATTTTAAATACATTTGATTTCCAATGGTAACATTTTTTTCTCTCACATTAGACATTTGATATATATTTGTTTGTTTCTTTTGTTTAATTTCTTAGTCTCTTACGTTAGTCACATGTTACTTGTAAGAAAACAACTCTACGTCTTTGGTTAGTAGCAAATTTTGTGGCGCACTGATCTACCGTTGAACTCACAAAGAGTTATCCAAATGCACAGTAGAAAGCAAAAAAGGTAAAACGACTTCTTAGAGGTAAATCAACGTTAATTACTGCAAGGTTCGTTGATTACATCGCATTCATTTTCCTCATCAATCCCTCACATAATGCTCATCGCAACATACCTTGCACTACGTACAGAAGAGAAGAAAAAAACGGCGTCTCTTTCTTTTCCCGATTGACACCAACCATACGCGAAACAATAAGATCCAGATTTAGTGCAGTTCCCGCAGAAACTGCATCGTGCATTTAAACAAAAATTTATATTTTCACTTAAACAAAAATATATGGACGTAAACAAAAATACAAAAACACGTAAATTTTTTTTGCCGAGAACGGCACTGAATCCAAATCCAAAACAATAATAGTCAACAGAGAAATGATTGCTTACATCCCTTTCTTAAATGTGAAACGGGTAAAAGAAGAGAGAAGTTTAGAGAGTGGGAGAAAAAAATACATAAAAGAGATTAAAAAACAACGATGTGACAACAAGAAAATATTAAAAGAATACAAACTAATATAATTATGTTCACACTTCCTGAAATGGAATGTAGTTTAACTAAAAGAAGAAAGAGATCAGAATTAAAAAAAAAAACAAACCAGAGAGTTTAAGTTGCAATATCTTGCGTATTAATATAAGCTTTAAACAATCTCAAGCAAAGGATGTAGTCCATATACATAGGAATTTTAGGTGTAAATAAACGAGCTAGTGATTTTATATTAACACTTAATTAACATGCCTTTTATACAAGATCAATAAACAAGAACGGAGTTCTATATAATTTAATCAGGAATATTCTGCTATCATCTAATTTTCTGAATAATTCACACTGTAAAGACACAAATTATTTTACAAGTTTTGTCCCAGGTGGAATAAAGATAAGTAATTCATACTTATGATAGAAGAGGTGGGGGAGGGTGTTGGATAACTCGTTTTTCTCGTACCTTTATGGGAAGTCCGGCACTAAAAGTGGCTGTGAGGCCAGGAGAGAAACGCGGGGTACGATGATGTGGTTCCACTAGTTGGATGTGGAACCGTCTAAGCAATGAAAGAGCCACACTTTTCAGCTCCAAAAGAGCCATTTCTTTGCCCAAACACACCCTAACCCCCGCTTGAAAGACCGGGTACTTAAACGGATTTTGAGGGCAAAACACCCCTTCCTTCAACCACCTTTCAGGCTTGAATTCAAAACAATCCGAACCCCATATTTCCTCCAAACGACCCATTGCATGTGGATGATAAGTAACCCTAGTCCCTCTCTTCACCAATGTCCCATCAGGCAACACATCATCCTCTAAGCAAAACTTGGAATCAAATTGAATTGGGGGGTACAGTCTCATGCTCTCATATGTTGCCGCTTGTAAATAGTGCAATTGTTGAAGCTGTTCAAAGCTTGTTAACTCCTTGTCTTGTCCAATTACTTCCTCTGCTTCTAGAAGAATCGCTGACTCCACTTCTGGGTGCTTTGCCAATAGCCAGAAAAAACTAGTTAGAGCCGAAGCCACAGTGTCACGGCCAGCTAGTAAGAAACTTATGATAATGTCTTTCAAGTACGTGTCATCATTGACACTATTCATGAAACGAGACAATAAGTCTTTGTGATTAGAAAACCCCATTTTTCTTCTTTGTCTTATGACCTCTTTGGCTAAGATATTGATCATTGTAACCGCTTCTTGTAGCCTTTTCTCGCTACCCACATTGAGCAACTTCTTGATCTTCCAAATTAGAGGGGACACCGACATGGCTCTTTCCGCGGACAATTTTGAAGCCACGTCAAAGGAAATAGCAAAATCTGATATAGGCAAAGACAACTCTAGGCACATAGGGTCCAACCCGAAAGACAATTTACAAATGCTGTCGAATGAAAATCTCCTAAAAACATCTTGCAAATCCAAAACATGGTTTTGCTTTGAAAATAGAAGAGGAACAAGTCGATGCTGGATTTCGAACATGACAACCTCAAAGGCAAAGGATCTTATCGAATTCTTGCTGAGTTCCAAACTTGCCATCTTCTTCTGAAAGCTCCACAATTCACCATCAACGTTGAAAATCCCTCGCCCTAGAAAATCACCCAAGATTGTGGAAAAGGCTTTGCCTTTTGGGAAATTCTCGAACCTTGTTTTGAGCATGTACTCTACGTTTTCGGGGTTGGCGGTGATGGTGTTTCCAAGCACGTGTATGTGGATGGTTTTGCTTGGTGAGTTTCGGAGAAGGTGAGAATACCAATCACAAAGATTGTCGAAGTTTATGGACCAATTCGAAGTGAGATAAGTTTGGCATATTTCACAGCTACAAAAGAACATGTTCATCTTGGGCAAAAAAGATGTGAGAGATGAAAAAGTAATGAGAATCATGATGGTCATAATGGCGAGGGAAAAACAGAGTGTTTCAAAGGAGATACTAGTGAAGAACTGCATCAACGAGCACATAGCAAAAGGTTGAAGCTCCATTTTTAGTTAATGGATAAAGACACAACAGATAGCAGCGAAAGAATGATATAGAAGAACATATAGCAGCTTGATATACATGTGTAAGTGTGAGAGGGAGAGTGTGAGGTGCTTATGTATTTCCACTATTGTGTGTTACTTTATATAAACGAATTTAAATTTTTTTGCGTTATTAAATGATAATATAGTTATATAAAAATATTAGCAACATATTTTTTAAAATTAAATTATTTTATGAATTATTTATTTTATAAAAATTATTTTAACTTTTAAAAAATAAAATCACTCATAATAAAGGCATAAGATTTTGAAAAATTCTACAAGGCTTCCAAAAAAAAGTATAAGTTTAGGTGTATTTAATGGATAAATTAACAGAAAATCAAACATGTATAAATTTATTTTCACATTATTGTGTAAAAAATTATGCTGAAAAAATATTATGTAGCACAATTTTGAAACTTAATTATGCTAAAAATTTAAACAATAATAGTTGTCAGTGTCTTATTTTGGAATAAATTAAAACAAGTTTTAAAAACTCTTTTGTAAGAATAATTTTTATCAGTGTACAAGGTGAGTTACCTATAAGAATTATTTTGATCATTTTTTCATTTTATACAAAGTAAAACATTTAATATCATTTAATATAGAAATACATATATACAATATAATAATTAATTTTGACAAGAACCAAAACAAGCTTACTTAATGTGGTCATGTTAGACTAGATGTAATTTTTTTGTGGATAAGTGAAGTTTTTATTTAATATTAAGAAAAAAATAAATATGGATTATGAGTTCTTCTCAAATTCTTGATGGTAGCAATACTTTTTAATAAAAAATTATTTTTATATAAACTTTTTTTGACACTCTTATAAATAAAGGATTTCTTTTATGCAAAATTATAATAACAGAGTTGAGAGTTGTACTATTAATCTTAGCAACAAAACAAATATTTTCATTTAGTTCACTTTTCATTTTTTTTAGTAAAAGAAATAGTAAGAGGATAGAAAAAATCCATAATAAAAAAAAATTAAAATGTAATTATCAAATTTAAATTTTAAATTAAAAAAATAAAAATAATTATCATCAGATCATTTTTCTAATTACAGAAATTGAATTTTTTTTAAAAAAATATTTAAAAATATATCATTAATGACATAAAATAATTTAATATACATTTATTTTTTATCCACTTAATACTTCAAAATGATATGAAACAATCAATTTTTTTTTTACCTTTCCCGTAAAAAGTGGTAGGTATAGGAAGTAGGCGAACAAATAATGCATCGAATATATATATTCGAGAAAAATATTCAACGCGATATTTTCTACCCTTTAGTTATACATCTCTTTTTATAAGGAAAAAGGAAAAAAATCTATTTTTTTTGCTATAGAAAGAAGTTAATTAAGTTGAAAAAAGATTATTTCATAATCTATTTTTAGATATGAATTAGGTAGAGAGAAAAGATAATAACAGGAAAGAGAGAGAGAAAAGAAAAAGACAGATGGTATGAAATATTTTTTTTTAAAAAAAAAGTGGATATAGAAAAAAATGGAATAACAATATAGAAATTATCAAATTAAAATATATAAATCAAGGTGTAAAAATAATATTGTTATTTACAAACTGCCAAGTTCATATGTATTCGATTAGGGATTTGAATCTTTTCAGTTTTGGTATACACAAAGCAATTTAAATTCATTTAAATAAATTTAAGAAAAAATAGTTTTTTTAAATTAAAATAATTTGTTTAAGTGAATTTAATAAAAAAATAAAAATTCCGTTTCAGTTAAAATTATAGAAAATTTTAAAACTTCATTTTTTTTTCTAAACTCTAAAAAAATTAAAGAACTTTTATTTATCATATATAACTATCTAGTTTGCCAAAAATCTTTACATGTGTATCATGTCACTAAATATTTTAAATATATTATTTAGTGCACTATTTATACTAAGTATTATTAAAATAAAATTATTTAAAATTAAGTTAAATTTTTGAGAATAATGATAAAGATTATAAAAATAATAACTTTAAAAAATTGTTGCATATTACATATTTTTAACTCTTAACTTTTTGTAACATGATCATAAAATGTGACTATATGATTTTATAAATAAAAAATTTGTAGTTTAAAAAGAAAAAAATATGAAGTTTTGAAAATTTTTACAATTTTAACTTAAATAAATTTTTTATTTAAAAAATTATCTTTTTAATAAATTTGCTTAAACGAATTTAGATTATAAGTTCAATTCCTGCTTAAACTACATAAAATCTATATCTATTTGATTGATAGGATAAACTCTGGCAAAGAAAAAAAGAAAATGATATTTGTATGTTAATAATTTTACACCATTTTTAGCTCATAAAATAAGAAAATACACATTTTATTTTTTTCAATAAAATAAGTGAAAATATAACGTGAAATAAAATTTTAAAAATAAAATGATTCAACACAAACCTTTAAACTACGGACATGAAGAATCCAGGCTCTTCCTATAAAACAAGAAGGCATCTACGTCCTGAATATAATATAATTCTGTCGGTACCTATATATAAAATCACGTGTTCTATTTTTAGTTTTTTTTTTAAGGGAAAAAAATCTTTACAGACCCAATATCTTTTTTTTTTTTTAATTTATTGGGCGATTGGCCCTTATCCAGTTCAATACTATAATAAATTAGGGCAATATCATGGCAAAAACTTTATATCTTAATTTTTATACTACTTTCTTATTGTATTCTTAGGAGTATTTTTTTTAATCGTACAACTTATTTTTTTCGTTTTACTTGACTGAGAGAAGAGAATTGAAGGGCACAAAAAATAAGAAAAAGGAGGTAATCTTTTGTGTTTGAATGTAAGAAAATAATTTATAAAGTTTTGAAAAGTGTCATTCATAATTTTCTATTGATTTTATTTTAAAATATATTTTATTAAAATCATAGATATTAGCACAACTTAAATGTAAGATTGATTTTGTTAATAAATTATGCTTTCGGCAAATTGATTTTATATATTTTAAGGAAATTGTGATTCTTGAGTTTTAGTCTAACATCCTTATTGAATTCATTTGTTGTTAAAATTATATATATATATATATATATATATATATATTTCATATCACTTGTTATATAAATATTAAATTTTTGAAAATATTTACAAATATTTAAATTATATAAAAGAAAATTTATTTTTTATTTATATTTTCAAAATTAACAAATAAAATAGAAATTCATAAGTAACGTTAATTTTTTTTAATTAAAATATGACATTTAATTAAAAAAACATAATTTTTAAATTAAAAAAATAGTAAGTCCTTAACTATTATCTTGAAGATAATGGTTACTAAAGTCGTTTTAAGAAAATAATTTTAAATCTTCCTACTCTTTATTTCTACACATCTTCTTAATTATTAAATAAAGAACAGGGTTAATGAGTTTTATGTTTTTAACACATTAACAAATAAATATTTTTATTTAATATTTACTTTATAAAATAGTCGAAAAATTATTTAGAAGGATTATTAAGATAACATAACAAAGCTCTTAAAAAAAATTAAAATGTAAATATCCTGCACTTGAAATCATTATTGAAAAATACTCTGTTGAGCATAATATAAGAAATTGGAAGTTTTTTGGTGAATAGAACTTGGAAGTTGGAAATTACATGGAGGATTACAAAAGCTTTGGGCGTGTAGGGTACCACGCAGTATCACCTTACATGCACCAATTATTAATAAACTTTCGAAAAGCAGTGCATCAGTTACTCATTCGCTTACATTACTTTTTATCACAATCTTTAGGCTATCTTTGAAGGTAGGGTTTGATCTTTTCAAGAAGAGATTAGGTCAGATAATGAAACCCATGTTACAGCGACAATTAAGCTTCTAACTAATACTAAAAGGCTCTTTAATATTAAAAATCTTTGTATATTACCCATGTTTTGGGTTACATAGGGAGTTAGAATTCCCATTCAAACGGACACATTTCTCAAGCTGAGAGCTGTTTCCTCCATTCATCATCAGTTATTGTATTGATAAAAGTGATTATTTTACTTTATCTGTCATTTTATATTATTGATAAAAAAAGAGTATTTTTTTTTCATTTTCAATAAAAACGTTTATATTTTATAATTAAGGCAATCGTTAATAGTAAATTTTAAATATTAATCTTCATTATTTTATAAATATTCTATAATTCTCCTAATTTTGAAAAAATGTTGGTCTACCTATTCTTTTTCTTCCAAAATCTAATATCCAAATGTACCATATTATATTATCTTGTATTTGAATTGTAAAATCAGTAAAGACATAAAGGATATGCTTGTGCATCAGAATACCTCGTCCCATGCAGGTAAATTAAAGATGCTATTCTTATTCTCGCGACAATATGGTGCACATGATTTATGATTTGGTGTGGGTCTCGTTCGGTCGTTTCTCACGCTCTTTTAAGATGAATAAAAACGCCTGAGAAAAAAGCAAAAGCAAAGCATGAAAGCATGGAAACGTCATTCATGATCTCATCACAGGCTTGGAGAGGAGCCAAATTATTAAGGTAAGTGTTTTCTGAGTATAAATAACATTTTGGTTTGACGTAAAATAGCGATGCACCATGTTATAGGGCCACGAAGATTGGCAGTGGATTGCATGATGGGTCATGCCATCTTCCATATACCCATGTTCTTGGCCCCATCATCTTCATCCCTTGTCTCCTCTGCCAGTGGGAAATTGGGAATCAGTCACAAGCTGATCGAGTACTGCAACAAAGTCTACGTTATCATCTTCCTTTGAACAGCTTATTCATATTATATTATAAATTACATGACAAAACCACGCAATTTTTTAATCCAAGTTGCTAATTATGTAGTTTGATATCATTTCCAGAAATAGTATTGAAAGTGCGCATGTAACTTGGGATGAGTATATTTTCATTAATATTGTTGCTTATTCTATGTTTTTCATTATAAATATATAGACAATTTATCAGTGACACGTAGTTTGGGGCGGGGGATAATTCAGTATATTTATTTGAAAAATATAAGTATTATATTTTTTAACACACTTTTAATTATTAACTAAAATTTAATTAAAAAATATAAAAGTATAAAAATTATTAATTTAGAAATGAAACAAATAAAATATATGTGATTTTTATAATTTTTAATACATTTTAGAGAATAATTAAAAAAGTTAAGAAAAGTGAATTAAAAAATTATGTTACTAACATTCCTCTATTTATTTTATGAAATTTGATAAAGAAAATGATATTTTGTTATTTGGCATAAATTTTAAACTATTTAATATTAATTTCGGTTCAAGGATTAGTTCAATTTGTATATACATTCTAGCATATGTGAGTTTGCTCAAATATTTTTTTTAAGCATATGTTATTTGTCAGTTGACTTTCTGAAAATTTAAGCTACTCAAGTTTTTAAAAATGATTTTGGTTAATTATCAATTTATATTTCTACCTAAAATCGTTGCAAATTGATTTGTTAATATAAATTGTTGATATGCATCAGATTTGATTTACTTTATGTAGTTTCCTTTAGAATATAAGATATTTTTTTATTGTATTATAAAAATATTTAAATAATAAAATAATTATTTAATTTTATTCAACACTAAATATCCAAAGATAACGTGTAAGATAACAACTAAAATGTGGCTAGGGAATGGACTGCTTTGACGCTTTGATGCCATGGGTGATGTATATTGCGACATTAAAATGAATGCACGATTTAATTAATTTATTTTTTTATCATTGGTTTTTCTATCTTTTAAATTTGGATTTTTGTGATTTTGGTTTTTAAGTTAATTATGTGCTTTTATGGTAGATCTTAAGTAAATTGTTCTAGAAATTATTATTATTTATTTTAAAAGTATTATTTTTATGTAAATATTTTTCAATTTATGAAATATTTAAAATATTAAATAATTAAAAATTTTAAAGTAATAAAATTGATAATTTATTTAAAAAATTATAGGTTTTGAGATAATGATTTTAAGAAATAAAAGTTTAAAATCATTCTTAATGAAATTTGATCTTTCAGATTAATAATTTTTTCAGTAGAAATTTTTTTAAAATAATTCAATCAATTCAATTTTTAAATATTTTAAATAAAAATTGCCATTTGAATATTTTAAGCAAAAAAAAATTATAATAAGACCAAATTTAATTAATTTTAAAAATAAAAAATTAATAAATTTAAAATTATATATAATTCAAATTAAAAAATTAAAGATATATTTGAGCCATAAATTTCACGTGTCTTGCAAGATCGATATCACGTCATCTCATCCAAAAGATGTAAGCATGAATTATTACACCTAAAAAAGATGAAGAATAATGTTTTCTAATAGTGGAATGCGATAAGTTTCATTATATTAATTATTTTGTTCTATGATTTTCTTTTTGTTCGATTCATCTTTCTATTCTTTTGTCTCTATCGTACAAATAATTATATAAATTTTTAGGTTGCGGTGCAACTTGTAAGATCATAGTTTACTTACTTAGAAAGGAAAAAAGCCCAAGACCTCAGTATACATATATGACAGCAACCCTAATTAATTGGGATTTCTTAGAGACTACGATGCAGAGCCAATGCATGGATTGTGTTATCACGTAATGGCAATGTGTTAACCATTATCATAAGTTCATAAATGATCGATTGAGTTGAGCTTAATAACCAGTGTTAACCAATATCTTGAAAATATAATCTTAAAGAAGTTTGTCATAAAATTTTATATTCTTTAAATTATAAGTTTGGAATTTTTTTTTTTTATCTTCTTATAAAGTGAAATGAATACAATTCTTTAGTTAGTAACTTGTTTGAGCTGGATTTTCTTGTCTTAAAGCGGGTCAACATTTTCATAAATTATATTAAAAAATCATTAAAAATATTAATAAATAAGAAAATATAAGTGAATTTAAAATTTGTGTTAAAAATATTTATTTATAATATATGATAAGAATTAAGGACTTAGTTTGTATTGCTTTAAGAGAACGCCTATGATTTCTTAGATAATATGGTTGGAATTAAATACATTAGATCTTGATGCACTACTAATGGCATGAAGCGCATCGTGAAAAAAAAATTTGAAAAATCTCACCTTGGCCCAATCAATTTTGCCCCTTTACAAAATGGAGTCTTGGTGCTTTTTTAATTTTCTAAAAACTCTATTTTTACATTTTTTAAGTAATTATGTGAAAAGCTAATTTCTATTATTAGTGTATAAATTACTTAAAAAACAATCGTTAATATAATAAGTCATGACTTCATACATTGATTATACAATTTAAGTGAAAAATGTCAGTTATAAATAATTGATTTAAAAAATGTTCTATCTTGTTAATGTTTTTCAATAATGTTAATATTTCTCAATGTTTATTAATATTTATTAAAAATTTTATTTTTGTTAAGTATATAAATAAAAAGTATAAATACAAAATACCTTTTACATCAATTATTTTAATAATTAATTTTAAAAAATTTCTATTATTTTCAATAATATCATTGTAATCTTTAATATATTGGTTGATTATAAAATGTCACTGCATGACTAGACATACTTTGGTTTGATCCAAAATTCAAAAAAAAATATTAATGAGAGGTTATCATTGGTATATTCTTATTATATTATGAGTAAAATTTTAATAAAAATATGCGTAAGATATTGTTAAAAAAAAAAAAGCATGCGAGGGATTTCCTTTCAATTGAAAATTAAGAAAAACATAAATATTGTCTTAAGAAGAAATGGTTATCAAATGAATTTTGTGTATTAGTATACTTGGATATTTGTCAGATTTTTTTTTTTTGTGATGAACAGATTTCACTCAAATCTTAAAGAGGGAGAGGGTGATGAGAATTAGAGGTATTAAATAGAGAGATCATCGATTTCGTAACAATATAAGGATACAGTGATGAGATAACTATAAGACAAAGTATTAACAATGTTCACACTTCACATACTATCCGTGATCTTATTTTAACAATGGAGATTACTGTTTTCATTTCTGAACAAAAACATATTGGGTTAAGCTATGTTTTTAATTATCAAAAGCAGAAAAGAGGACATGATATTCCTTATCATATAATGCTGCTAAAAAACATCATTTTAATCAAATTTGGTTGGAGCAAATACGCTGTAGCATCGGCGAAAAGAGAATATTCTATTTGCACATTGCACCCATAATCCGAAAAAGCAGTTAGAATAATTACAAACAAAACGCTAATTGAGCGACAATTTAACAAACAAAAACGTGTATTATTTAATTGAACAAAAACAAAAAAGAACAAGCCAATAAGCTTAATTAAGAGACATCTAATTAACTAGTCAACAATGGCAAGCACTTTCTGGGAGCTAGTAACGAATGAGTTGAAGGTTATTCATTGTTCGCAACTTGTTATACACGGCGTGCCACCCAGCCTGTGTTGGGTGCACAAGATCCCAAAAGAAAGCCGATTTGGGATCATCACAAACTCGATATTTCTTAACCATGTTGTTGTCCACACTCCCACACGAGTACTCATTGCTTACCCCAACGCAGCATGGCGTCAAATTGTTATGAATGTTGTGGGTTGATGGGTGGTTCAGCACTGACATGAAGCTGTCGTAAAGGTTAAGGACCAGGAAGGTGGAATGGTCCTTCGTTTCTTGGTTCAATTTGGTCACGGCTTGGTTCAAGAGGTTGTTATGGAGAAGAACGAAGGCGTTTGAGGTGGCGTTGCAATGTTGGAATGAGGTCGAGGCTGTGATCTGAGGAAGACATCCAAGGGGTTGTAGACCACCCACAACAATTTTCTTCACTCCCAACCCTTTGATGCGAATCAGATTATTTGTTGTTTGATTAACCACCGAGGCCACAAAATATGGTAAACCCTACATGCATGCAAATGTTTTTAGTTAAATGTGTTCCTTTCATTAATATCATGAAAGTGAGAATGTTTTAATATCACAGTTATGATTGATTGTTTCAATACAAAGAAATGATAGAATTTAGTGCAGTATCATAATAAATAATACATGATGCTCATGGTCAATTTGAATGGAGCCCAATGTACCTATTAACTTACAATTTTTATATTGAACAAACTTATTTCTGTCCATTTCCTCCTAGAGACTGGATAAGCATCTACCAAACCCACCTAAAAGTGCATTGGGCCCATAAGTAAGCCTACTAAAAGACAAATAGTATTAAAAATGTGAGGCACGGTGTCCCTTATGACTTTTGATGAGTATTTTTATTTGTTAATGACTAAAAAAAATAAAAGTTTTTTCTGAAGGTTCCTTAGTTTCAAAATTTTAACTAAATTTCATTTAATTACATCCATCCATTATAATTCCTATACATGGTTGTCTTAATTAAATAGTTAGGTTCTTGCGTAACTAGGATCCACTAGTGTCAACTTAACAAACATAAGTCCCACAAGTAGTTATACAATAAATTATGTTAGATGCTAATGGGTATCATATTTAAAGCACTCAATAATCTAATTCGAGACGACTATTGTCAATGAATCTCATATTTACTACTTAATACATAGGATGCGATTGGACATACTTTTTAAAAAAGTTCTTTTATAATTAATTTCGTTTCAAACTTTTTTCAAATAATCTTTCTCACTTTTAAAAAAGTTATGAAACTGTTTTTTATGCATACTTTTTGTTCTGTTAACATACTTAATTGTCATAAAATCTATTAAAGGTGTTTTTAATTTTATTAAAAAACAACAAACAAACTTGCCCATAATCAAATATTAGCTACACAAGTGCTTTCAAATCTTAATTTAACGGCAAATGAGAAGTTATATTGAACACAAACAATAAATTAAATTTCATCAAAAGTTGAAATAAAGAGTCTAAATGGAAATGGTGTTAAGAATATAGTAACTAAGAATTTAATAATTATACCAATTATTTACCGAGATTCATTTTCTAAAAACAAGAAATAGAAAACTCCAAAGTGAAAAGTAAATGAATTAACTCCTTAACTAGAATAGATGATTGAAATGAAATTACCTGAGCAGAGCCATTTGTGACCAAGTAATTACTGTAGTCATTTCCAGCGACAGAGACAAAGGCCACAGAGTTGCTGAGATCTGAGGCAGAATACACTTTGTATTTGATGACCTGATGGAACAAATCAATTTGCGCCGTCATGTTTGGGCCCGGAGTGGACGTGTTAAAGACACCAGTACCCCCAAATGCAAAGTTCATCCCATATTTCACATGCTCTGGTATCAGTTTCCTCAATTTATAAGGGATTGGCGATTTCACTTTCAAATACTTTGCTGCATCACACCCACAGGTAATTTTAGTAATCAGGTACTAAACCTGTGAGGGGTGGTAACCAATCAAGTTTTTTTTAAAAAGTGACAAGATTTAATTAATTTTTTAAAACTTTTCTCCTCTAAAAGCTAGAAAAATAATTATTTTTTTAAATGACTTTAACTAAACAGATCTTAACATGCTTTTTCTATTAATTAGTTATTAAACGAGGACCTGATGAAGTAGAAAGGCGGTTATATATTGATTTGGCATGTAATTCTGGGATAATGTAATCTGCAAGTAATAATTCGCAAGGTATTCTTATTAAGGAATGAAATTTATATACTGTATTACAGGTACTTTTAGTATTGTTTTCTAATTAAAATTAGACTTCTATTGTGATAATTTATACGATAAAAATAACATTAAAGATCCATACGTATTAATTTTAATTAAAAAAACTATACTTAAGTTTATCCTCTTCATAATTCGATGAACCAAAGAACTATGCCAGATAATTAAACAAAGGAGAACAATGTTAACAGATATTCTTAAAACATTGATTAAGAATTTAAAAATAAAAAATTATTAGAAAATGCTATTAACTCACATTTGTTATAATTTTTAATGCATTTATGCTGCATTTTTTAATACAATTTTTTTTAATATTCTGGCAAAACCAATAAAAAAATGAAAGAAAATAGAGAAGGATCTGGTTAATTAGTATTTCAGCGCCAAATACTTTAATTTCTGGATTTGGGGTTGTAAATTAACTGCAAAAGGAAGACAACCCTTTTACTTTTACTGACAAAGCTGCAGAGGTCTAGAACAGACCACTGATGATAAAGTTCGATTTTTGGGATAAGAAAAATAAGGCTATCCCAAAGGCAAAGACACCTTGGTAAGTAATTTGACCGTAGAAAATATGAAATATGTAGGACAATTATCTGCTAAACAATACGAATTCAATTTTAGTGGCATGAGATTAGCTAATTAGATCCATTTTGGCATAATTATTAGTCCAGTTGAAAGTTTAAAACATACCATGAAGTGCAATTTCTATGCTTCAAACATCATGGCCCTAATTGTGAAAGGGGAGGTCAAGGAGGAAACGATAGTGGACAAACACAATTAAGTGATCACTAAAGAGAAGCACTGAATGTTAAAGCAATGATTACTAATGGAATGATAAGGACAAAAGTGGCTACATCGATCGCATGATGCCACGCGAGAGAGTAAAGAAGATGCCACTAATAATAATTCGATGTGATGAAAAAGAGAGATACAATTCAGTTCCAACGTGACAAACAAACCAAAACAGAGTTAAAAAAAAGAAGGGAAAAAAGTGACACTAACAAAAACACAATAATGCAACATTTCAATAGCAAAAGAGAACATCACACGTCAGAATCAATGGTCAATAGAATTAGCACGAGAAAAAGGAAAAGTGGCAAGCCAGCGGAGAAATGAACCCCACCAATTCAACTTCTACAAACAACACTAGTTTAGTATATACTAGTGTTGCAATAATATAACATATAATAATTTTATATGAAAGGAACTAAAGCAGGTCGAAAAGCAAAACTTTTGTTGAGAAAGAAAAGCTAAAGATAAAAAAAAAGGTAGCACTTGACGAAGTGTTCAAGTTGCACATACCAATGTAGTCGGTGAGGACTCTACCGTCGGAAAATCGACCGGCGGGTTTGCCGGGAAAGGTGACGCCATAAGGGTCTTTCCATGAATTTGATATCCCTTTCTTAACGTTGCCTGTGTCAGCATATGAATCCCCAAAAACGAACAGTTTTGTTGGGAGATATTGAGAGTGAGCCTCAGCTTGCAACACCCTTTGTCCTATAATACAAGACCCATGAGTTAAATTTTGAACTTGTCATAAATTTGTTAAGACTTAAAGAGACCCCATAAGAAAAAAGAACAAAAATATATTAGAATGGGCATATATTTATTGAAGTTTAAAACTACCTGAGAGATGTAGAATTAGGAAAAGGGAGAGAAGGGGGAAGAGGTGCTTGTGAGAGTCCATGATGAGAAGCTTTGGAGCCTAAGGATGGAAAATATGTAATACAAGACAAAAGCTTTGTTTGGAGGGAGGGTATGGTGAGAGGCACTTGTTATTTGCCTGAGGAAAGTGATTGTGATTGTGAAGGGAAAAAACGATTTGTGTTTTATTTTTATAGGGAGTGAGACTGGCTGTGAAAGTCAATTGGTCTCCCATGTTTTGAAAAACTCCATAGGTCCGTTTATTTTAAAAGATTTACTTTATCCTCCAATAAATTTTTTTAATAATCTTTCTATGATTTTTTAAAGTAAATATTAAATACAAAAAGTATGTAATTATTATCTACAAATATGGGCAGTATTTAATATTTTATTTATTGTACATTTTATTTAACCCCATCATAAAATAAAATTTACACTAAAAAATAAAATAGGATAATGTTTAGGATATACTAATAGTATATGTTGGCTAAATAAATAATAAAAAAACATACATATAAATACAAAGAAATATTAGCAATAATTTTATATAATACATTAATATTCTTTTTAAGTGCAAGCAGCTTGCCTTCAAGGAAAACAAAGAAAAAAAATATAAAATAATTAAGTCTCTAGTGTATGAATAATAATTTGATACTAAAAGGATAATTTTAATATATAAGAAAAATGTTAAATTAAAGTAGTTAAAGTTGAGATTTAAGAATTTAAAATCTTAGCATAAGAAGCATAAAAACCTAACACAAATAATAAATATCAACAGGAAATTGCGAAAAGTTTTGGAAACGATTAATTCTAGACTATATAAAACATGAATTTGAAAATTTAACATAAAAGAAATGTGAACATGAATAGAAATTTTGCAAAACAAAAAAAAAATATTTTAAAATATATACAAATATATTAAATAATAATAAATCCATGTATCATAAAGAGGAGAATATGATAAAAAAAAAAAAAATTAAACTCATGTTTAAGAATGAGAACATAAATTTATAATATAAGAGTTAATAATTAATATTTATTTATATTATTATTATATTTACTTTAATACGTTTTTATCCATTTTATTTATTATTCTAATATTTCTCATACCATTAATTGCCTCTTTTTTCTTTTCATAAGCGTAAAGATAATAGTATTATTGCAATATAGGCATAAATAAAATCATTTTTTTGAATGATTAATAACAAAAGGTAGTATTGTTTTTAAAAGCCTTCAATAACAGAATTTTTATGTGAAAAGCTACAATGATTTTAATATTAAGAATATCTAAAGAGACAAAAATGATTAAAAAAATTCTCATAAATGCATTAAATTATAAAAAAATTGAACATTTTAAATACAAAATATATTCATTTAATAAAAATATATATTTAGTTTACAAACAAATTTTAAAAAATATAAGTTTTTAAATATTATGTGATAATAGGTCAAGCATGATTTTTGAAAGTTGATGAGTGAATCATTAGAGATTTGAACCACAATTTATCACTTTGTGAAGGACTAGCATCTTTTGCGAAACCCAACGCTTGTTCCTAAGACGAAAAAAATATTAAGATATTACTAATATTACTACTTTTCGTTATGTTTAATCCTTGATAAGTTGGAAGAGTTATATAATATTTATGAAAAATATATATCAATTTGTCTGCAGGAAAATTACGTATATTTAATTATGAAATTTTATCAAATTTCTTATTTAACTAATGTTAAAGAAAAATTAATTTTTTTAATAATATTTGTGAACGCTAAGCCGACACTTATTTGTACATAACATCAAATTTGGCCTTTATCATAACCTTTTAGCTGACGCTAAATATGTTATAGTGAATGCCTTCATGATTGTTAGAGATATGAAATGAAAAAAATGTGGTCCAAGCAACATGCATGATTGTATAAAGGAATGAGCACAAACTTTCAAGTAGCCACACCCTTAAAAAGAAGATGCACTTACGATCTGATGTTTAAGAATATACAGGAATATGCATGGGTTGATGCCAAAGGCATGCATGCATATAGAGCATTATTGAATAGTTCTAAGACATCTTTAATTTATGTCTCCCTCATTTTGGTTAGAGCCAACAGCGAACATTCGCTAATATTTTGAGATTAGCATTTTCCGAGATCATAGATTGTTTTTAACATTAATCATTTCTTTTGCATGTGGATCTTTCGTTGTTTTGGTAATTGTTATGTTTTTCCTTTTCACTTTGTGGAATTAGATTTATCTGAAGTTCACCCTACCACTCCGTGTTTTATCCTTCCCTAATCTAATAGAAGCTTCCTAAAAGAAATGGTGAAATTATAAAATCCTTCTTATTATAACATGAAATTATGGCTATTAAAGTGTTTAATATCTTTATCTATCTATCTAGTTTTATATTTTGTCAAGAATTTATGCTTTTCACTAGGTTGTAAAATTGTTTACAATAGCCCGTGTCCCAGCAGAAGCAAACATGGTCAAAAGCTTTTATATTTTTGGGTCATGGGTTATCTTTTCATCTATATTATTGTCTACATAAAAATTACTCTATATTACTTATTCTGGCCCAATATAAAAATTACTAAAACGTTGTTCAGCCCATTCTTTCATTTTTTGGGTCCAATGAGATTCTTCTGTTTCTGATAAAATTTTTAGATGGGTATGGATGTTGACGAGTGTAAGCCATCCGGGGCTGTCTCAGGGCTTTCTTCATCGTTTTACACATTATAGAATGTGGAACAAAATATATGCGAGTCCATCAAACTGTTGTTACGAAAAAATGTAGCCCACATAACGCTCTATTACTTCAGTAAAGGTCTAACTTCAACCCAAGAACCAAAAAAATAAAAGGTAGAAAGTCTTATTATATATATATATATATATGTGTGTGTGTGTGTTTTTTTATTGCACTTCTTTTATGGACTACTCAGAAGAGGTTTTACCGAATTTATTATGCAAGTGACTTATGACTATTCTGTAAGTTTTTAAAAAAAAATTAATTTTATGAAAATTTTCAAATTAAATTATTTTTAATTAATTTTTTTAAAAATTTACTATTGCAAATAAATTTTCACATTAAAATGTTTTATTAAATACGTGTTTATTTTGAGTTATTTATTTAATCATGTCCTTGTACCAATTAACAAGCAACATTTTTTCTTTTGGTCCTCCCAAATGGTTTAATACTTTACAACAGTGTAAAACAAATGTGATAACGAGTAAGCATTACTCCTCATTTTTATACTTATAATTAACAACTTTAAATTTGTTCATACCTCATCGTTGGTACTTATTTATTTCTTTATTTATCGTATATTGTATTTTCCTTTATATTTTTTTATTTATTTTGTTTCCTTCATGTCTCTCTCATCCCTCAAGTGTCTATATACCCACTCACTCGTCAAATGATTTTTTCCCTATAATCGAACAATCACAAATTTAACTTCTTCCTTTTTTCTATTTCATTTTGAGTCATATTATTTTGATGCACTTTTTACATCATACTTTTATTAATTAATTTTTCCCTTAAATTTGTTTATATCGCATCACTAATTTTATTACATATATTTTTTCTTTATTTTCTATCTCTCTCTTAATTGCAAAGGGAATATTGCTTCTTAATTCCAATTAAAAAAATGGTTGATACATTTTAATACAATTCCAGATACTCGTATCTTACTGGATAAATATTAAAATAGGGGGAAAAAAAAGACGAGATACTTCACATAAAACAAGGATGAGTTGCTTTGAATACAATTTTCATGATTAAGAACAATTCGTACCAAAGATCACTTCTGTTGTGCAGAAAAGTTGCAGAAAACACTTTACAAATAGATTATTGCTCTTTTATCTATTTTACAAAGAACTAAAAAAGCGTTCCTCTCCTTATGAAGTGAAGTGATATATATATATATATATATATATAAACATGAAAAGAATCATAACCTATCCCCACTAACCAAGGAGTTTGGTGGAATATCATGCATGATGCTTCCAGTCTAACAGAAGAGAGAAGTTGTTCTTACCATAAATGAAAGACAAAGGCTTTTCTATCGGTTGGAGAAAGGGTTAATCTTAATAACCAGGCCAGGAAAAACATCATCTGGGTCTTGGATATGTGGATTCTCTTCAACTATATATGGATCTCCACATCTTTCACTAATTGTTTGCAAAGTCTCTCCCTCACGAACCACATATATCTCATCACACGCCTTGTTGCTATTCCTCTGCAGCATCATTTGAACCCCGAACTCGCTTGTGCTTGACTCGCAGCAACTCAAGACTAGTATTAGTGCCACAAATAGAACACAATACCAAGATACCTTCTTTGCCATTATTGTTGAAGAACACACACAAGCCATGCTTAAATTGCTTAACAATCAACAATTTATTCACGTCTATTTTACTTGTGTCTTAATTGCAACTATCGACTTCTTGAAGCTTTAGCTTTCAAACAATATTTTTAAAAACCATCCTCTCAATAACTAATCTTTGGCTCTAACTATTTTTATAAATTAATTAAGAGTTTACTCTTGCGGGTTGTTGAAATGGTTCCTTCAGCGAAGTAGGTTACTACCAACTTTTGAACTAAAAAAGTAGTTTATCTGCTTTAGTTAATAAATCTGTTTCATTGTTTAAACATCAAATAATTCACATTTTATGCAATAGATACAATTATATACATGTCTCATATTTCTTTTGTTTCTACTTTATATACACGCATTTTAATTATTAACGTTTTTGGGTTTTCACAGTCACAATATAAAATGTGTATGACTAGAAATTAGTACAATCACCCACTTGTCTTCCAAACTTAATACAAAAATAATTTAAGAATTAGACGTCACCTATAATTTTCAATCATATAAAAGTGCACACAATTGACCTGAGAAACGGTAACGCTCATAAAATCAAGGAGTTTAAACTACTCCAGAAAGTTCCAGATGATCTGCAAGATACAAACTTCGTAATTATAATGGTTTTGTTGAACGGAACGAGCGACCGAGCGTTTAGAAAAATTGATGTTAGAGCTAATTATTTTTTATTCTTCTTTATAACTTATCACTTAACAATTAAAGGCTACCTTACGTCTATTTTATTATCTCATAATTTCTGTTCATTTTGAGTATTGCGTTCTAATCTGGTCGTGAAATGTTGGTGGGTGGTTGGTTTCCTCCGCGCCACTCTGATCAAAATCGCTGCCTTATCTTTGGATCGGTTAAATAAATATTAAAAGAGAATCTTTTGCTTAATAAGATATAAGCTAGAATTTTCAATTTGTGTATGACATTGACAATAAATCTAACAAAAGAAATAGTATACAAGATGGATATATATAAACCAGACGGAGATAAAAGGAGCCAGGGTTCGAATTCCCTTTCGAGCATGAAATATATAGGTTTAATTTTAATTTTAGTCCTGTATGGTTAATGTGTAATTATAAAGTTTTAATCATTTTTGATATAATGGTTAAATCATGCAGGCAACTTGATATTGACTGTGACTTGTCAAGTAGAACCAAAATTGTAATTTAAAGCTTATTCTGATTGCGATTTGACAAACATAATTAACACGATAATATTTAGGTTTTAATCCAAAAACAAAAGAGAAATTATCAGATAACTAAAGTGTCATTAATCATAAAAAGCTGTCTCATCTAAACCATGGAATTTAATCTCATATTTATTAAATGACTAAAAGTTTCCAAAATTATTAAGGACGTATGATACATTGATACTCAAAATTTAATATTATGAGAGTGATGCCATTACGGGAGTGCTAGCAATAGTTTATACGGAGTCTATATTTGCTTATCACGTAAACACTTGAGCTGAAAATGACACTTGTTTGATTAAATTTAAGGAGCGTTTGACCTACTTTTTTCAAATTTCATTTTCTGAAGTTTAATATTTTCCAATCAACTTAAAAAAGTCCTATTTCTTGAGCTTTTGTTCAGTAAAAAAGTTGCTTTTACTTTTAGGAAGTTCAATTAAAAATGTTTTTAGTCATATAACATTGAAACTTAAGAAGAGATGTAATTAGCAGGGGATGAGGGGGAATATCAAGCCAGCACAAAAACTGGGTTACAGCTTTTGCAGCCATAACATGAGCGCTAACTTGTTCACCTCCGAAAATCCAGAAGATACGCCACGTTGAAAATTTCAAATTGTCTTATTAAAATAACATGTATTGAAATAGAGAGAAAAGCCAAAAAAAAAAAAGGATTAAATGATACAGGCTTTTGTATTCAATTTCAATAAATTTAACAGCTTATAAAAATAAATTTATTCCAATACCCCCTTAAATTTTTATTATTTAACTTGATGTCTTAAGCATTTATGACTTGAACTTTAATGTGATAAATTATTATTAAATTAATATTTAATTATATTATTTATTCAAATGTATTTTTATGAAGAATTTTCATGGTTCGAAATTCACGGAAGGAATTTTAGATGCCCATACAGCTTATATTCTTTCTTTTTTACAAAAGGAGTTATATTCTCGTACTCGAGTATTATGTTAGTGTCATGGAAGCAGAAAAAAAAATTATGATAGTTTCCTAAACAAAGGCATCCGATTCGTCAAATTCTTTAGAATCTTGGATACCCATATGAAAATGATGGCATAGCCAAACAACTCCCAACATCATTTCATCTCCATCCATCTGAACTGAGATGCTAAAGGAATTATGAATTTTCTTGCCATTGAGAGCAGAAGTCTTTAGTTAGATGTTGAAACCGAAATTAATTGTATAAAACCAGAGTTGAAAGCTGCATACGAGTTCCGTAGTAGGAAAAGTAAAGAATGATTGGTTTCTTAAAGAGAAGTGGCGAAATCTTTACGTAAAGAGAATTTCATTGGTACATGAACTCTTTTAAGATTAAATGGGGGTAGAGCTCTCGGGTTGAAGATGAGAAGGGGAAACATCGCGAACCCTTTGATACCCAAATATCTAGTTGACATTGAGTGAAATAAAGAAAATGACATTATACATAATTTTGCAATTAAGAAGCTATCGTGCTATCACTTTGACATCTGTCAGAAGGGTAGTACAAATGCCTATACTTCAAGGTTTCATCAGCAACTCCCTGATATAATTAAGAACTCCCTCAACATTCACAGTCCACGCAACTGAAACAGGAGAATAACCCGTCCATGGGTTGTTCGTATTCCATCTGTATGAAATGAAAACAATTATGTTGAGCATAAAATTATTAACACAAAAAAAGAATGAATGATTATAGTTTTGAATTTGGACAAACTTTTTCAATCCTTGGTCCAAAAGTGTATGCCCAACACAGATGCCTTGTGTCTCTACCCTCACTACCCCCTTCTTATATGTGAAAAGATCTGGACGCACAACTGCCACGAAACTGACAGGATCGTGGAGGAAAATTCCTGAAAGAAGAACTCAAATTATCATTCCCATGCCAACTTTACTAGGTGACTATAGATGTAGAAGAATGACCCATGATGTCAAAACAGTGTGTAAAATTACCGTAGACACCGTCAGATTTTACATGCCAATCCCTGTAGAATTTGCACATGTCACTCAAGAGAGAAGCATACTTTCCTTTAGATCCCTTCAGTTCAAGGAGATCAGCATCTGAAACCAAAATGCAATGTTCAACTTCTAGAATAATAACAAATAGCTCAGGATAGCCCAGAAGTCGTAGTAAACTGGTTTTACAATCTCACCAGTGAATTTGACTTGAGTTGTAATGTTTATTCCAACAACAACAATATTTGCTCCAGACGTAAACACAGTATCTGCGGCTTCTGGGTCTCCATAGATCTGCAAGCAGAATAATCATTTGGACTATGATTGATATGCGATGAAATCAAATTATTGAGATTAGACAAAAATGGAATCCATTTATTTGTAGGACAACTAAGTCCTAGAAAATAATATCCGTGTGATCTAGAGTATGGTGTGGAGTTATGGACAGAGTATAGTCTTCGAGAAGCCAAAAAGAGGCTTTCTCTTCTTGAAATTAGATTGTTGGATCACACCAAAGGAACTCGTCAACTATTAGCAATCACTATCATTGATTGCAGCCCGCACCCACAATCAACAGAAATAATAGCAGCACACTATTTAAGTAGAACAGTTGCAAGCTTATTTTACTCGGTGGGTCAAGCAAATAATGGACAATTAGGAAATATATAATTTCAGGAAATTTTAACAAGGAAATTAGGAAATATATGCATTAGTTGATAACTAAAGTACTGTATACATATTTCTAATGTCATCTTTTGGGACAAAAGAGAGGCGAAACCGCCAAGTCAAGGAGCACAATATTGGATATGCAAATTTTTTGCTATGCACGTTTTTTCAAACATACGAAACTTACAAAACATCAAAGGAAAAAGCCCGAGGCAGATTAGTATTTGTATGTTTTTCTTATTTCAGAAAACATAACAAACAAAGATCACCACTTACATTTGCTTCTGCAGCAGGATTCACATTCCCCAAGGCAAAGAATGAACCACCAAGGATAACTATTCTCTTCACCTTGCTTGCAAACGAAGAATCTCTTTTGATTGCCTAATAATGGAATTTACGCTATCAGACCAACAAATGTAAGCAACTACAACTTGAAGTTACGAGAGCAAGGACCACAGAGCACAAGACAGCGATTTACAACTTACCAAAGCTAAGTTTGTCAGTGGTCCAAGTGCAAGCACAGAAACTTCACCAGGATATTCAGATACCTTCTCCACCAAAAACTCACTAGCACACTTTTCAATTTTCTTACTTTTAGGTGGGGGTAGGAACGTGTTCCCCAGTCCATCTTCACCATGAACAAAATCAGCGACACGAGGCTTTCCACCCTTCTTCAAGAAAATAAAACAAAATTAACACCAGAAAGACAGAGCAAAATCAAAAGGAAATAAAAAGGAGGGCTTGAGGCAGAGCAGAAAATGAAGCAAAGAAGGGTTGCAAAGCCCACAATCCAATCAAAACTAAATTCGATTGAATTAACATCAAGATATTTACCTTCAATGGCTCAGAGCTTCCTTGTGCAACTGGAATATTTTCACGGCCTGCGATCTCACACTATCCTTTTTGCATATTAAAAACACAATCAAAAACACATTTCCAAAAACACAAAGGACGTGAATTTTTCCCGAACAGAAAATCACCCACCAAGAGATCAATTTTGAGAATAAACACATACCAAAAGCAACGCATTTCGTGTGGCAACTTCAGTAGTAGTATTACCAAAGACAGATGTCAAGCCCAGGACCTCCACCTCTGGACTCTGAAACGCCATCAAAATTGCCATGCTATCATCTGCAAATCAAAAATTTTCCATTCCTATCAAATTCATAAAAACCACCATTCACAAAACTTTCACTCTCTGGAAAAATATACAAATCAAGCAACACTATGTATCATCAAAATACGAAATTTCTGAGATCAATTTACATAAAAATCACCTCATCTCCAACATAAAATATTGGAAAATCAAAATCAAATCAAAACTTCAAATTCACGAGTCAAATTTCATATACAATTCAGTTTGTTTTTTTTTAAATAAACGAAATGATTAATTAAAAGCGAGAGTTGAAACAAACCGATCCCAGGGTCGGTATCGATAATGAGTTTTTCAGCGTTCCTGAGTACACCGTTGACGCCTCCGTGGGCGTTGTTGACTATAGAGGCCATGGTTGGATCGAAGGAGAGCTAGGGATTCAGCGAATTGCGAAGCAAAGGGCGAAGGAAGAAGAATAAGAAGAGTTGGGAGATGTGAATGTATTTATATACGTATGTATGTATGTGCGTATTTGATGGAGCGTACACACATACATACGCAGGGAAGTGGGAAGGAATATGCAGGGAAAGGTCGATGAAGTTGAAGATGATGCAGAGAGAGAGAGAGAGAGAGAGGGAGGAGAAAGAATGAGAAATGGGATAATATAATGGCTGGCGTGGGCTGCAATGGAGCCTTTCTCGCCTATGTAATCCTATGCAATTAGAGAGATACACGTGGCGCATCCAAATTGCATTTTTGAATATCCTTTTTTCGCATCACCAGTCGCAATTCGCAGTGCAAAAAGGTGAAAAGCTTAGAAAGTAACATTCTCTCGTTGAAATTTGACGCGAAGAAATGTTATTATCGTATAAATAACGACATCCACGTACCTAACCAGAGATATAAAAAACATAACAAATAAATAAATAAATAAATATATATTTGCTAATTTTTAAGTGTCATATTTGATTGAGTAATAACGCAAAAAAGTAGTGATTTATCGTAAGGACATTGTACCTTTAATTAACAGAAACTCATCTTGAAATTAGTGTTGGAGAAAAGGTTCGAACCTTTTAAGCTCATTTTGTTCTCTTTTATTATGGTACATTGTACTTGGAATAATTTAAAAGCGGATTTCCATATGCTCTATTTTTATTGTTTTTTTGGTACACCATATGCTCTATTTAGAAACAGATAACCCTTTGCTGCATATACAAATACATACATTATTATTATATATTTTATGAATGAGACACGTTACACGTTCTAGTTGTCTTAAGAAAAGTTTCTCCCCACGACCCCACCTTTTCTGTAGGCTCGCTAATATTTTACAAAACTAACAAGTTAGCTTTTTGCGTTTTATATGGCAACTTTTGTAAATAAAAATAATTAAAAACCAACATATTACCCCCTCCATTCTAAAATTATAATTTTTTAGATTATTATCATTTTAAAAATGTAAGACTTGGTCAATTATTTTATTCATATCCTCATTTAATAATTTTATAAATAATTATTTAGTAGTTATGTATATTTTATTTTAAATTTTTTATATAAATATTTATTATTTATAAAAAAATAAATTCAAAATTAATGTAAATGCTCTTCTCATTGAAAATTTTAGACACTTATTATTTATAATTTATCTATGATATATAATTTTGATAGATGATTTTTCTATCATAATAGAAAGATTTTACTGTATTAAAAAAAGACTAAATTAGAGAAATAATTTTTTTTTTAAATTAAACAAATTAATAGAAAACTAAATATTAAAAGTATATTCATAAATAATAAGAAACAATTATTCTCCTTGTTCCCAGCTAAGGATGACATGGAAGATAAGATATACAGCCAATGTGTGATGCGTGCTGTGTTATAAAATTGAACATATTTTATTTTAAAACGACGGATATATTGTCCGCTTCTAATGCCACGTTTAAATTACGTATGATAAAAATCACCATGTTCAACTCGTCGTGGTGGTCCATGTGCGATCTCACTCATTAAATTTTTCATCATATTGTTCAAAATTATTTTTAATTTAATTCATAAATAAATTTTTTTATAAAAAATATATAATTATTATATTAAAATTATAAAAATATAATAAATATTTAGCTTTCTAATAAAATTTTACTATTATTAAATTTTATCTTCGATCCTAAAAGTTGGAGTTAACAAAATCCATTGAAAGATGTCGCATATGTCCGCTAAAAACAGCTAGATACCCATTCCCACGCAAGTGCCGTTTCTCTATGCTGGGATGCTTCCTCCCAATATTATAAACATAAAACCTTAAATAAAATATAATAAAAAATGCATCCAATTTTTTAAAAGCAGAAATAACTCTCATCCAGCAGGAATAATCAACAAAAGGGAACATGGAAAAAAGTTTGATCTGACTTAAGATGAGGAGATGGCTGTAGATATTCCGATTGTGCGTGAGACTGTAATGACAATTTTGATGTTAAGGGAAAACATCATTATGAGCTCAAAGTGACGATCACAAGATCGTGGTCATTTTAATAATGTTCTCAAATTATTATGGTCTAGCGGATTCCATCAAAAAAGAAAAAATAAAGTTCAAAAAATCTTATATTACTATAAAAGAATGAGATATTTACCTAACAGTTTTCGATCGCTACATAAAGAACTTGTTTTAATAGTTTCCATAGGTGGATTCTTTCTTTGTTTTTTTAAGGATCTTTCTCATGGTTGTGGCTTGTGAAATCACATTGTGCAGACATGTAGCATGTCTATAAATTAAAACACAGCTCAAGCATATGATGTCTAATCTTCTTAATCAATCATAACTACATTCACCATGTGCATGCACATGACATATTTCCCTTATCTGCACCCTACTTATTCTTGAAGCACAGTACCAACAACAAATGAATGTGTGGCCAAACTGCAAATGAAGAGACAAGAGTCCAACAATTGTTTTTCGGTCAAGGGAATCCCACATCTGTTATTATTGATATGCAAAATCAAGTTTTGCTATTACATAAATGTAGACTTCAAAAGTTAAACGGTGATGTTTGAAAAGTTAAAAAAAACCATGTAAAAATGTACAAAACACATAGTATTGAAATAGATCTACGTTTGAGTGATGAATGTGACAGAACTAAACACGCTAGCTAGCAGTATTATCATCAATTTATGTTTAATGTACGATTCCTAGTATGGTTTGCTCAACTCCTTTCATAACTATGGAATGTAGCTATTCTTGACATGAGTTTTATGCCAATGAAATATTAAAGGAGTTATGGATCATGATTACTAATACCATATCTTCATATTTGCATAGATTTTGATTTACTCAATTATGAAGGCCTAATTTTGATCGAGTACAATTTTTTAAATTAATAAAATTATAAATAATGAATTTTTTTTTATTATTATAAGAGATGCACAAATTAAAAGAGAGGCAGCTAGTAAGATAGTGTTTTTCTCTGTTTATTTTGTTTTGAATTTTTAAAAAAATGGAAAGATAAAAAGTATATGTTAAAAATTATATAAGCTTTTGCATTCTTGAAAGAAAAAAAAAAAAAAAAACTTCAAGTCCCATGCATATATATCAAAATAGTTTCACTTTCTCAAATTCCCTTTCTACCGTGCAAAGGAGTTGGTTTCCATAAGTTTAAGGCACCCAAGAAGATGACAATGGACTTAATACTAATTGGTAAAACGTGGGTGTGTAGGAGTTTTCTTATCCCAAATTAAATTTTGTCATATTTGTAATTGTTTGGTTGTATATTTTTTTAATTTTTGCTAAGATGTCTTGTAAGAATTAGGAGAAAAGTCAAAATACTTTTTGTAAGATTACTCAAGTAGTCTTTTTTAATTGGCTTTTGAGAATTTGACCTACTTTTTAATAGTTTTATTTTATTCTTACTTTTAGTTTACTTCTTTTCTTATTATTTTAATAGAACAGAAAAAATATTACATGTTTTAAAAAATAAAAAATAGTGTAAGTAGTTTTTTTAGGGTTGATAATAAAAATTAAAAAGTTCCAAAAGATATATAATTAAAAAAATTATCAACCCACAATTGGTTTATAGAAAAAGTTATGTAGCTTTAATTTTTCTACTGCACCAAAAATAATAAGAGTGGGTTATTTAACTTGTCACTTCCAAATTAATTACTTAATTTTTTATTTATATTTTTAATTTTTGTTTTTTAGTGTTTTTTTTTTTTTTACTTTTACCGAGTAAAACGGATATTCTTGAGTTATTTAAATTTATACAATTAACTAAGAGTACTGGCTTAAAGTATATGTATTAAGAGTGTTAAGATATTCAAATTTTTTGTATAAATAAATCCTTTAACTTGGTTTTGCTTCCCAATTTTTTGTAAGTTTTTCAATTTTTCTTAAAATAAATAAAAATTAGTGACAATTCTAATTGTGACACTGATTTTTCTTCGTTATATAAGATTACAAAACAATATAAATCATAATTTTATATATCCGCCTAAAGATAACATTCTTACTTTTTTAACTTTTTTTTTTTTATCTCATGAAAGTGTATTACTTTCTCAGTTCATGTTAAGTTCTACTTTTTCGCCCTCTTTTTTAATTTATCATAATAAATTATTATATAAGCGACACAACTTAGATATATATGATAATATGGCCCGAATATTTAAAGTAAAAGATAAGTAGTTAAACAAGGTAATTAACCAAGTTCTCTCTCCAAATTAACGGTGCAATATCAATAATTAATCCGTATATGTTGTACGTTAATTTGTATTTCTGTAACTACTAATGCACGGCATTTGACAAAAGACTTGAAACATGAAGCACTACTTTAGCACGACACTGGCCTAACCTTCAACAAAAAAGCCATCATTGACATCTAAGAATCAACTCTACAAGAAAATTAAAAGCTGCTTACATATTAGTGGCATCTAAATTAGAAAAGTAAAAGATATACTACGAATTACGTGCGTTGTAATCAGAAAGAAATGATGAAGCTATATTACTTGTGATTTTCCTCAAATATTTATATCCCAAGAGAAAGAAAAATCGCAGGTTAAAGTCAAGCTTGTATTTTTAGAATACCCAACAGTTCAATGTTACAAGAAGCATTTGTTTAGTTTGACCCCAAAAAAATATATAATAAGATCAAATCCCAGGTATTTTAATTACAGACTTGCTACATTCATTACTTCTTGAATTTAGACCCTCGAGTGTCTTCTTTCAAGAAATTAAAGCTTTTTATTTTTTTCTTGTATTCTTATCTTTAATCTAAATAGTTGATGTTTACCGTGGAGTTAGATATAGGATAATTTTTAAAATAAAGAAAATAAAAAATTTGAAATATTTTATAATGAGTGAAATTATGATTTAAATAGAAGATTTGAGATTTTTTTATTTTATTAAATTTGATGTTTCAGATAGAGTTTTGAGCAAACCAAAATTTATTTAATTATTTCATTCGTGAATATTTTTAATAAAAAATAATTTAAGAATTTTAAGTAGTACAAAATTAACAAAGAAAATAAATTTTCTTAATTTAAAAATTTTAAAAACTCAAGTTATTAAAAAAAATAATCTGAAGCAACTAAAATAATACACATTGCAAACTAAAATGAAAAATAGTACAATTAGCTCTTTTTCTTAACGTTTAGATGTAAAACACGTGAAAGAAGTGACATAATCATCTAAAAGTAAACCAAAGTATTGGGTGTCAAACAATCCTTGTGAAGGAAAAAAAGGATTTGAGAAATTCTAATTCATTGTAGATAAGGCCCAACTGTTGAAAAGTTGTTCGTTACAAAGCCTCAGTCCAAGTTGGGGAGTGTAATCGTCCCCAGCTTGAACAGCCTGGCCCAATACCTACGCTATGAAAGCCCAATGGGGATAACAAATTAATAATTTTTTAATAATAATTTTTACAAATTAATAATACTCATACTTTTATTCCTAAAAATAATAAACAATTTTTTAAAAAACAAACACAACATAAGCTTTTTTTCCCTTACTCAACCTCTTTCATGAATTCTTTTATTTTCTTTCTCTTTTAACTTTTTATTCTATCCATCACCAAATAACAAATACAATAATAAAAAAAAAAGTTATGATTTAACACGATTACTTTTATTATGCTATCTTTCAATATGCATTGAAAATAACCTTCAAGAACCAACTTGAGAAACACGAGTTCGAAAACATGCAAATTACAGAAAGAAATGCTATTTGTAAAAAGAGAAAAGATATAGACTCGAATATTATTTTCATTTAAAATTTGTCGTCGTTGTTTCTCATTTCTTCTCCTCTCAAGTGTTGATTAGTTTCCCAATTGGAACAACAACTAACATTGCAGCATTGAAAATTCTACAACTACAAGATTGTATTTTTCCCATTTCAAGTGCAAAATGTCATCACCCTCGAGAATCATTGCCAGATGGTGTGCTTTCATCGTAAATCATTTGGTATTCAGTATCTAGATTATCATCCTCGGTGGTAGGCGCAGGAACAGAATCCTTTTCTCTGATTAAGAAAAAATGGAAATAAATAGTAATACTACCAATTTAAAGGCAATTATAGATAATGCTTACAAACAATATCCAAATACAAAAATAAAGTGCAAACATTTTTAATTGCAAGTAAGCATTCTCATGCACAAATACACAAATTCACTAAAAGGCCTATGCCAATGTAATAATTAAAAAAATAGCTTCATGCTATTTATAATACCATAGTAAGCTAAAATTAAAGTTAATATTGCACGTTTAATTTCGTGTTTACAAGACGTGAATTTACGTTTACTAAAATGTTATTAATTGCAATTTTTTCTTTAGATTCACGTTTACTGATTTTTTAATGTAAATTCAAACACACTAAATTTATTATTTTTTCTCCCTATGCTTGCATACTTATCTCTCCTTAATGGTTAAAATGTTATTGATAATGTTTTTCATGAAGATCATTAACAACACAAAAACATATTTTTCTTCGTATAATTTTTCAAACATGACAAGTTTTCCCATCCAAAATATTGTTACTAGTTGATATCTTGATATTGGGTTGGTTATTATTTATTAACCACTACATTGCGTCATTTCTCAGTTGATATAGTAATAATCAGTGTTGATATTCCTATTATGCAGACAAGTATTGGAATCTTTCACCCGTAAACTAATAGTCAAATCTTAACTTTCCTAAGGGAAAATCATGATGGTAGGAATAGAAAAACAGAGTTAAATACGGAAAAGATCTTAGATTTGGTACATACACTAGAGAGTAAATGACGAGACCGATACCAACAATAGCGAAAGCGAGGAAATACAACCAATCCACCTGTGAACATTTTGTCACATTGTTTTGAGTAGTAAGAAAATCAGTTCTATAAGGCACTTGCAAGTGAGAAATGAATGTTGACTTAAACTCAACGCCTAATTTGTCAATTTTGGAAAATAATACCTTTTGGTGATAAAGAAAGACTCTAAAAACCACTGCCCACATATCAGATGTTAGAAGAGAAAGATTGAACATTGTTGCTCCACTCATCTGCATGTTATTTAATGATTAAGGGAAAAAAATTATTTTTTTAACCCCTTATAATCAATCTACCCTCTATGCAAATATCTCTACTTCATTCAGGAAAAGGAATTGTATCAAACATGTCCATGAGAAGGAAACTAACCTTTAAAACAAAAGGAGCTATTGAGTAAAACATGAAGCTTGATAGAGCATAGCCAAGAAAAGAAAGTACCTAAGGAAAAATTTTAAACATATATTTTTAAAACTCAACTATGCAAGCATACCTTTTTGGTGTAATATTGCTAACAATAAGAAATGATGTCAAATTCGATAGATATGTAATAACAATACGCATGCATGATGAAATCAACTTTTTTTGTTATTCATATTGCCATTTGTGAATGTTCTTATTTATTTTTATCAAGTTGGAGACTCATATGGAAAAAATTCATATTTTCTCACTCATGTTCTGTGCTATCGATGTTAAAATTCTGAAATATTAGTTCAAATTTTTGTTTTCTATTTTGGGAGGAGGGCATTATGGATACGACTAGAGAACAACAGAAGGTAAACCACAGTAATATCTTAACTATGTACGTGAAAGGAATACTTACAATTTCAACAGACCATTTCACAGATGCTAGAGTCTTCAATTCTATAACAGATCTATAAGATCAAGGAATGAAGGAACTTCTTGAAATTCGAAAGACAAATACAAACTTTATTTGCATTAGACTTCCTTAAAAGTCCTAATTCAAATATTTAGAAGATATATATACAAACATCATAGGCCAGTAACAAAAACTAAAAAGGATACACTTCAACAAGGCTTATTAAGAATCCAAAAACACCAAGCATGGAAACCATTTCAACAAGGTCTTTTCTCTTAACGAAAAATTCCTGCATTTAGTAAGAAGGAAACCAAGCAAATTGAACCCAAATTGTAATTAATTTTGGGCTATCGAAAGCCGAACTATTATTAAATAGAGGTCAACAGTTCACGTACTTCACCAACATTGCTAGTTCCATAAAAAAATGTCCCTACAATCACAAGTACATCACCCAAGATAGGTCTTGATCCATCTGAAAATTTGATTTCGACACAGTAATTATCTTGTTAGGAAAACTTAGCTTGAATATCAATACCCTCAAATTATTCTAAATACCATTAATATCACCTCCTCCGCCAACCCAAGAGTCAGAAAGCAGTACTAAACAGAGGCCTAGCACACACATGCTTGCGCCACTTAATTGCCAAAGGGAATATCGTGTGCCTAGGAAGATCCATGTGAGAATAATGGCCCAAGGTATTGTCCAACAATCCAGTAATGTTACACTAGTAATGGAGGTATATTGATATGCCTTGTTAACTGCGAACAAAGACAAAAAGGATAGGGAAAAATCAGAAATCAAATATATGCACTACTTTTTAATTGCATAACTGTACGGAAACATTTTAACTTGCTTTTTTAGTACATAGAGAAAAGAAATTCAAATAATACTTTTGGGATTGGTGTTAGACCCAGTGGAACCTGTATAGAATTTACAACGTGCAACCTGCTTTTTATAATCTTGGCCACAAAAAATAGATGGCACTAACATTTACTCATTACATGTCACCCCTGAACTTATCATCTATACTCACCCCTCATGCTTTTGTTTTTCTTTTCTCCTTATTAGTTACTTAAATTCAATCTCAAGATTTAATATTAACATTTTCTGTTTTTATCATGCATCCCAAAAATTATTAAAAGAAACCAAATGTGTGAACCCCTGTTCAAGTTTATGAAATTAAAAATTTTAATTCCTTACTTTTAAAAAATTATTTTCATTTTTAATTTTACAAAAATATTTATTATATTTTATACAAAATGAAAATATAAAATAAATTAAAAATAATAAATTTCTATAAAGTCGTGATTAAAGAAAAAAGTTTATTATTTCAAAAACTAGAGCCACTTATGCTTATATATAATCTTAATAACTAATGGGGTAGCTTCTATTTCTGTTTTGCTGTATGGATAATACATGCATGTAAAGATAATATAAAAATCTCTATCTCATAATTCCATAACCAAGGAAAAATATATAAAATTATAGAGGCAAAGATCAATACTACTAACCTAAATAATTCCCCTGAACATCAGCAAAAGCTAATGGCACGTACCAATACCAAGAAATCTGCACGACACACAAAGATACATGAAGATCTGAAAAAACCCAAATTCAATTCACTTACATAAGTTTAAACCTGTACGCACACACACTAACCAACGAAAAGGAGATCCATTTGTATACAAATACCAGAGGTTTATGACGCCTGTAAAGCAATATGCTTCCAAAAACCAAAGCTAAAGATGCATAGGTAAACAGGCTCTGTGTTAGAGGCGCATCAACACCTAATGTATTCATTATTCAGTCAAACATATCAACATCATGTGAAAGTGTTACAAACTTATAGATGATTAAAAACCAAAAGAATGATGAAAAAAACAACAAAAATAAGAATACCAAGTACTTGGGTTATGATAGAAGTAGTGAGACTCATGAACACTGTGGATAAAGAAACTAGTTGACCCAACAAGAGTAGGCGAAGGACTTTAAAAGTTGAAGAGGTTCTCGAACACCTTCTCATTGCAAGCCAATCCATTGTTGAAAGCCTTCAAATTTTTCTTTCTTGTTTAATTTTATAGGTTGACAACGGAGTAACGTGAACTAAAAATGGCGGGTTTTGATCGTTATTTAAGAAATGAAAAGGTTGCAGAAGGGTTGTGCGTGCATTATTATCATTTCAGTGTTTGAAGTTTGGATGTACCTGCAGCTACCGTTCTTAAGCTTACTTGAATGGTGCGTGGGAGCTATGCGGAGGAAAAACGTGAACACGTTTATCTTTTGTCAGTCACTTACTTATTTTAATCAATATACATTATAATAACAATATTTTAATCAATATACATTATAATCAATATACACGTTTAACCTCACTTCTTATACATTTATTTTATTAAAATTATAAAAATATTTTTAATAATATTTACTATTACTAATTGCTTATTTAACAAAACACTTTGACAACAAAATCCTCTTAAAGTGAATTTGTAGGTAAAATAATTAATATGTTGTAATTTTTTTTATTTTAGTATAATGTGATTTAAATTTATGCAAATTTGAAAATAACTAAAATTTAAATTTTAATTAAAATATATTGTGATGGAATTATGATTATTATTAAAAGATAGTCAATTTTAATCATGAAAAATAAAATAAAATGATTGATATTTCTTTTTGAGATTGAGAATGTCACCAATGATGATCCGCATAGTGAAAGAGTGGAAGTGTTTTTCTTCGAAGGCATAGAAAAAGAGAATAGGGAATTTTAATATATGGGATAAGCTGAGTCATATTAATTTAATATTAACCTGAAGAAGAAGGAGGAATGGGTCCAAGGAGGTGCCACGGCTTCTCCCCAAACACGCTTCCACTTCTTGTTTTTGATACGACAACATTCATAGAAAAAGAAAATCCCAAATTCCAATTCATGCATTTCCACGCCCGTCTAGTTTCATTGGACGATAAATAACAAATAATTAGTGTTCCTTCTTGAGAAACGATTGTCTTCAACCTTCGCTCTAGTGTCTTTCTGACGATTGCTGATGTAGGAGGGTACCTGTAAAAGGCTCTCCGATGTTGAAGTTAGGATTCGGCTCAGAGCAATAAATGATATTCAATAATAAAGAGTCAACCCTTTACCTGCTCTTTCTACCTTTCTTTTATAGACACTGTAATGGGCTAATGGGCCTGCATCAACTCTGACTTTTAACTCTTTTCATGGTTTAGATAAAATTCTAATTATCATTTATCTTTGAAACTTAGAGGTACTGATTTAGACTAGGTATTCAGTTTCCTTTCTTCTATATGTAGGGTCCATCAATTTTCCTATCCCGTACACTAGTCCTCCAAGCCCGAAGAGGTACGATCTGAGGGCTGTAAATTAGAGGTACGGTCGGTCGAGGAGGGATTTTCGCATAGTATCACCAAGCAAAGGATGGTATTCGATTTGATGAACGGAAGGGAATACCGAAGGAGGTATTCGGTCCGATCAGTGATCCAGAATACCTGGGGGGTATTTGGTTCAATCAGTGATCAAGAATACCTGGGGGGTATTCGGTTCAATCAGTGATCAAGAATACCTAGGGGGTATTCGGTTCAATCAGTGATAAGAATACCAGGAGGGGTATTCGGTTCAATCATTGATCAAGAATACCTGGGGGGTATTCGGTTACCTAGGGGGTATTCGGTTTTTTAATAAAGTCAATGTAATCCAAGGAATTTAATAAATGAATAATAATAAATGTTCATATAATACAAAATGGAAACGAATTCTTCTAGAATGTCAGGTACTTTTTTAGGGTTTCCTCGATATGTGTGCGTGAAACGAAAGGGGAGTCGATCCTCACCGCTCGATCTAGGACGAATCTGTCGGTTGGAGAGGGATGTGACCTTTCGTATTCCGAGGGCCCTCTATAAATATGCGGTGGTCCAGGTGTTTTGTTCTCTACTTTGTCTCTATACCGAGAAGTATATGCTGTTGCTCCAAACCGAAGGGTATTCAATCTTTCTTTTTCAAACCGACTTCTGTGAGGTACGCTTCATTCTTTCCCTTTTTTATCATGGCCGGATCCTTAGAATGGGAAGACTCGTTGTCCGAGTCGTCCACGCCGAGTAGTGTTGATAGTCAACATGCCGGGAAAACCGGAGGGGGGTAGCACTTGGTTCAGGACCTAGTAGGGACGATGAAGGCGTAGAAATTTGCGTTAGGGAGTGCAATGACGAAGCCGAATCGTCAGAGTCCACCAATTCTGATTCTTCTGAACCCCTACCGAGCATGAGCCCCCCTAGGGAGAGACCAGTACTTCCCCCTTGTACTATTCCCGGATACGAGTGGGTGCACGGTGAGGTAGCTGCCTACTTTTCTCGGTATAGGAGAAATAAAGATCTCCAATCTTTTGTTGACCATGTGGACATTTCATTGTGGGAGCCGTCCGATCCCTATCCTATATTCATTAATCCTTGTCGCGGGGACGAAACCGAAGACCCTGAGCTTGTTTTTCGAGGGGGTGCCGATATGGCCGACACCTTCTTCATGTACGAGTATATGTTTAGGGAGCTGAGTATAAAATTGCCTTTTAATGATTTTCAACTGGGGGTGTTGCGAGTTTTAAATGTAGCACCGACATAACTCCACCCGAATGGGTGGGCGGCTATCCAGGCTTTTAGAGTACTTTGTAAATTTCATTATATTGAACCTAGCGTAGGATTGTTTCTTCATTTTTTTTGTACTCGTCCATCGGACCTTGCCAGATGGGTATCGTTAATAAGGCAACCAGATTTGCCTTTGTTCAAGCCTTATGCCTCGTCTTTTAAGGGTTTTAAAACTGGTTTCTTCAAAGTAACCGTCTATCCTGTAGGTAAAAATTTTTTCTTTGATAGTGAAAATAATCCTCTTTTTCCTTTCCATTGGACCCGGGTGCCTCGCTGGTACGACTGGATTCCCGAGGATATGTTGTCGGCTAGGGAGTTAGCGGCATTGGAATATTTAAAGTCTCTTCCCCGAGACCTTCCTGCCCGACATATACTTTTAGTATTAAAATCTCCTCAACCTCGCCTAGACATGGATGGTATGTTACGTGATTGTGGTTTTTATTTTTGGGTTAAACGATATTAATTTGACCGGCTGCTTTTTATTGTAGGTTTAATGGCTCAACGGGGGGTTCATGTGCCGACATATCGGAAAACTTTGAAAGCTAGGGCCCCTGAGAACACGCCCACCGAAGAGCACCGACATCCTCAACTGGACCAGATTCCTGTTGCGACCGAGCCGCAACCTCCTCCCCGAGACCTTGTTATTGCCGAAAACCAACCGAAAAAACGAAAAGACAAGGGGAAGGAGAAAGAGAAGGGCAAAGAGGCGAAGAGAGAGAAGAAAAGAAAGCACTCTCATTCAGGAAGGCCGAGTGGCTCGGATGGTAGCCGTCATCAGGGCCGGGGTGAGCTGGCCTCTGGCGCTGCCAGTTCCTCTAATGGCGTCTTCCCTTCTTTCTTTCTGACCGACGCCTTTTTCAACAATGGTGTTCATGCTGGCCGAGCAGTTGCGCCTGACCTGCTGTCGGATGCAGGAAAGGAGGCGGTTAGCAATCTTGAGATTGAGTCCGTGTGGAAATACTTCTCGAAGTTTCAAATCCGAGCTATGATGATGCTCCGACGATTGGCTCTGGAGCCCACACGGGAGCTGAGAAAGGTTCAAAACGAGTATGCTGCCGCCCAACAAACCCTTGCAGAAAATGAGGAGATTCGGCAAAATCTGGCCGAAACCAATAAAGCTTTGGAAGCTGAGGTTATTCAATATAAAGAACATTATTATATAGTGGAAAACCGGCTCCAAGCTGCTGAACAAGCATTGAAGGTGAGGGAAGAGGAGATGGAGGCTTGGAGGGTAAAGTCTGTAGGATTGGAGGAGTCCTTGAGGGCCAAATCTGCTGAAATGGAGGAGGCTGTGGCTGCTGAGAGGCACAAGGCGGATGATGAAATGAAAGCTTTTACCGACAAGTGTTCAGCTCAAGTGGCTATTGAACACGAGTCGGGTTTTAATCATGCCGTTCGGCAGTGTTATGGTTTTTGCCAAGTGCCTCCTAACTTCCAGTTCGATCTTACTAGAGATTTTTTCGGCGGTCGGTTCCTAGCATATAATGACGTGGATGAAGATTTAGAGCCTGATGCCGAAGCCCCTCCAAGAAGAAATATAAGCGACGATGCTACAGCCCCTGATGTAGAGGCGGCCGGTCCTGATACCTCTCGCCCAGAGAATTAGTTTAATTTCTATTCTATTCATGGGCCAAAGTGCTCCATTTTTTGTAATCTTTTTAACAGAAATAGAAATTCTCACTGGTGTTCACTTTTTGCTAAAGAAGTTGACCATTTTTCCTTCTACATAAAAGTATTTATTCTAAATAGCTTCTTCGTTAAACCGAGCAGGGGTAGATAAATAATTTTAATCGACTAGGTGCCATTTAAAATATCATTAAAGTTCCATTCTTATTCGAGTAAGGGTAATTGATCCGGGAAAGTTCAACCTTGAATGGAAATATAACTGATTCACCCTAACCGAGTGGAGGTAGTTTGCAGGAAAAAATTCATTTTTTAACCGAGCGCGGTATTCGGGACGTAGAATAGTTAATTCATCCTTAACCGAGTGGGGTACTCGGGAGGGAATTAATTCATCCTCAGCCAAGTCATACTTGGGAGGAAAATAGCTGATTCGTCCTTAACCGAGTGGGGGTACTCGGGAGGGAATTAATTCATCCTTAGCCAAGTCATACTTGGGAGGGAAATAGTAGATTCGTCCTTAACCGAGTGGGGGTACTCGGGAGGGAATTAATTCATCCTTGACCGAGTGGAGTACTCGGAAGGGAAATAGCTGATTCGTCCTTAACCGAGTGGGGGTACTCGGGAGGGAATTAATTCATCCTTAGCCAAGTCATACTTGGGAGGGAAATAGTAGATTCGTCCTTAACCGAGTGGGAGTACTCGGAAGGGAAATAGCTGATTCGTCCTTAACCGAGTGGGGGTACTCGGGAGGGAATTAATTCGTCCTTGACCGAGTGGGGTACTCGGAAGGGAAACAATTCAACCTTGGCCAAGTGAAACTTGGGAGGGAATGGTGCTTGAAAGGTATGTAATGCGTAAAAAACCGTATAGGTGAAGAAAGAGAAATTTTATTGATTAGGTGCCTCGTTAAAAACCTTCTCAGGAAAACCCCTTTTCACTTTCTTTTAAGAGGATAAAATCTGGGATAGGAAAAGAGTGCACCTGTGCACGTATTACAAGGTTTTAGCTATAATAATGCTTTAAATGAGTGACATTCCAGGTTCTTGGTATTAATTTTCCTGCCAGGGTTTCCAATTTGTATGCTCCATTATTTAATCTTGCTGCTACCCGAAAGGGGCCTTCCCAGTTGGCTGCCAACTTCCCTTCTTGTCGATCCTTGCGCGCGTCCCCGGTTACTCGCCATACCAGGTCGTTTTTGTAGAATTGTCGAGGACTTATTTTGGAGTTGAATTTTCTAGCCATCATTCTTTTACTAGCCTCAGTCATGATGGCAGCGTGGTCACGGATCTCATCTATCAAGTCCAGGTTGACGGCCAGAGCCTCTTCATTGGCCGATTCCTTGAAATTCTCTCTCCTGAATGACGGCTCTCCAATTTCTACCGGTACCATGGCATCAGTACCATAGGTAAGCCGAAAGGGGGTTTCTTTTGTTGTGGTCTGCGGCGTGCACCGATAGGCCCATAAAATCTCAGGCAGCTTCTCTGCCCATTCTCCCTTTGCCGAACCCAACCTCCTTTTTAATTCATGCAATATCACTTTGTTGGCAGCCTCGACTTGGCCATTCGTCTGTGGGTGTTCAACAGATGTAACCCTATGTTTGATATGCAGGCCTGCCAAGAACTCGTTGAATTGCCGATTTGCAAACCGAAGCCCATTATCTGTAATTAGTGCATGAGGGAGACCGAACCGTGTTATGATGTTTTTCCAAGTGAATTTTTGTACGTTATGGGCCGTGATTGATGCTAGGGGTTCGGCCTCAATCCATTTGGTAAAGTAGTCCACGGCGACGAGGAGGAATTTACATTGCCCTTTTGCTAAGGGAAATGGACCGAGGAGGTCCATTCCCCAAATAGCGAAGGGCCAAGGAGCGCTAATGTGCCGAAGGGTATCGGCGTGTTGGCGCAGGTGAGGGCCGTGTTGTTGACAGGGAATGCATCTTTTTACAAACAACTGACAGTCTTGAGTTATTGTTGGCCAGTAATATCCGGCCCTGAGCACTTTGGCTGCCATAGTTCGTCCGCCCGAATGGGTTCCACAGATACCTTCATGGATTTCTCTCATCACGTACTTAGCTTGGTCGTCTTCTAGGCATTTAAGCATGGGGGTGGAAATTCCTCTTCGATACAATTCTTTGCCGAGAAGAAGGTATTTGGCTGCATGTGCTTTAATTTTCCTAGCTGCTGCTGCGTCCTGCGGGAGACTGCCATCAGTGAGGTATTGGGCCAGGGGGGTCATCCAATTATGAGATGAATTTTCTATGTCCATGCATTCTTGCTTGGTGATACTAGGTTGGAGGATTTGTTGGTGAACCATGCTCTGCAGTTGCCCTGGTTTCCGTTGGCTAGCCAGCCTAGCTAGCCTGTCGGCTCGTGCGTTCATGTTTCGGGGTGTGTACCGAATGCATACCTCCTCAAACTCGGTTTTTATTCTCTTGACCTCCTGGTAATATTTAAGCATGACCGAGTCCCTGATCTGATAGGTATCATTCACTTGTTCGGTTACAACTTTTGAATCACTCCAAGCAGTAATGCGTTTAACCCCCATTTCCCTGGCTAGTCTGAGACCGGCGAGTAAAGCTTCATATTCGGCTTGATTGTTGGATGCCTTAAATCCGAACCAGATAGACTGTTCAATGGCGAACGCATTCGGTCCTTCAAGAATGACCCCCGCTCCACTGCCTAATTGATTTGATGATCCATCAACATGCACATTCCACATGTCCGAAATAGTATCATGTTGTGTAGTGAACTCATTGATGAAGTCGGCTAACACTTGGGCTTTAAGGGGGCGTCGGTTCTCGAAATGGATATCAAACTGAGATAATTCAATTGTCCATGCTACCAACCGACCAGCTAATTCTGGTTTCCTCAATATTTTGGCCATCAGACAATCTGTACGTACCACCATCCGATGGCTCTGAAAGTAGTGCCTTAACCGACGAGCTGTATGGACCAGGGCAAGTACCACTTTCTCCATTAACTGGTACCGAGATTCAGGACCTTGGAGTGTCCTGGTAACAAAATATACGGGGTTCGGTTCAGGTGTTTCTTGAAGTAGAACCAAACTGACGGTGTGATCGGATACAGCTAAATAAACAATCATTTCCTGATTTGGTGTCGGTTTAATCAACACAGGTGGTGCCGCCAGCATATGCTTGTATTGTACAAAGGCGTCCTCACACTCCTTGGACCAAGCAAATTTTTGAGATTTTTTTAACAATTCGATGAAAGGCCTAGACCTTTCTGCCATTACTGGCAAGAATCTAGCAAGGGCTGCGATCCGCCCGGTGAGTCATTGCACGTCCCTGACACTGCGAGGACTGGCCATGTCAATGATGGCTCTACATTTGTCGGGGTTTGCCTCAATCCCCCTTTCCGACAACATGAAGCCCAAAAATTTACCGCCAGCTACACCAAACGTACATTTTTCAGGATTGAATCACATACCATGCTTTCTGGCTTCTCCGAATACCTCATCTAAGTGGTCAAGATGTTGCTTCAATGCGAGGGATTTAATCACCATGTCGTCTACATACACCTCCATGCATTTACCCACTTGTTTTTCAAAAATTTTGTTCATGAGTCGCTAGTATGTTGCTCCTGCATTCTTCAGACCGAACGACATCACTCGATAACAAAAATTTGCAGAATTTGTGATGAACGCTGTTTTTTCCTCATCCAGGGGGTACATTCGTATTTGATTATACCCAGAATAAGCATCCAAAAAGCTCAGTATTTTGTGACCGGCTGCGCCATCGACTAAGGTATCAATGTTTGGTAGTGGGTATGCGTCCTTTGGGCATGCTTTATTGAGGTCCGTGAAGTCCGTGCACATTCGCCATTTGCCACTGGCTTTTTTAACCATGACAATGTTGGCTAACCATGTTGAATACCTGACCTCTCGGATAAAGCCAACTTGTATTAGTTTACTGGTTTCTTCTTTTACTGCCTTTGCTTTATCACCACCAATTTTTCTCCTCTTTTGAGCTACCGGCTTGGCTCCTTTATAGACCGATAAGTGGTGACAAAGAAATGTTGGATCAATGCCAGGCATATCTGAGGCTGTCCAAGCAAACAAATCTGCGTTATTTACTAGCATCTTTTGGAGGACGGCTTTTTCTTGTTCGTTCAAACCGATCCCTAAATACGCAACTTGTTCTGGCTTTGCTCCTAGTTGGAAGGATTGTTTGTTTTCATTGGGCTCGACACGATATTCCGCATCCATTCTAGGATCTAGTTCAACATCCAACTCTTCTTCCAACCGAGGGAATACAATGTTGACATCCCGGTTATTCCCATGAAATGGTTTAAGCGTAAACTTGCAAAGTAACATTCCCTGGCTGTTTTTTGATCAGCATGGACGGTAACAATTCGGCCTCTTTCAGACAGAAATTTCATGGCCAAGTGCGGAGTGGACACTATGGCCTTCAATTTGTTCAGGGATGGTCTGCCGAGTAGTATATTACAAGATAAGTGACTCTTATGCGTTTGCCCTCATGTTCTGATCCAAACGTGGTGTACAAGTCAATACATCCCTTGGTCTCTACTCGTTCCCCAGAAAACTCAACCAATGGTTCATGGTATTCCTTGAGCTCTTGTTCTGCGATGCCTAATTGCTTGAATGTATTCCAGTATAGGATATCGGCCGAGCTCCCCTGGTCGATTAGTGTTTTTCGAACAGTGCAGTTAAGAATGTCTACACTAATTACCATGGGATCATCCTGCACCGGATCGACTCCCTGAAAGTCGTCGTCAGTGAACGTAATAGGCGGGATCCGAATTCTGCTGCCCAATGAAACATTATTGACCGAACGGACATGCCGAAGATGCCTTTTTCTAGCCGAATGGGTAGGTCCTCCACCAGCAAACCCTCCGGCTATGGTGTTAATGACCCTTTTCGGATACTTTTCTTCAAATCTTCTAGCGGGGGGCTCTCTGGACCTGCTCCTGTGTCGTTCAATTTTTTTGTGGTCGAATCTCTTTGGTGAATCAGGGTGACGATCTCTTCCTCTGTTAGATTGCTTTGTGGGATCTGTCTGTACAAAATCTTTTAGGTATCCACCTTTAATCAATTCTTCAATTTTATCTCTTAGTGCCGTACACTCTTCAGTAGTGTGACCCCTGTTCTGATGGTATCGGCAAGACTTGTTTTTATCTGCCCGATGTGGAGTGTTAGCGCGTCTAGGCATTCTCAATATTTCTGTGGCCAACGCTTGATCAAGTATTCTGGCCTGATTAGTGTTAAGCGTCGTGTAGGACGGATACTTCGGTCGCCGAGGTGGTCGCTCAAGTTCATTTCCTCTGTCGTTCCCCCGCCTTGCTTTAAAGGCTTCCTTTCCTTCTATATCTTTTGAGTTAGATCCTTGGTCCATCCGTACCTGGCTCCGATATTCGGATAATTCTTCCATTTGCATGTACTTCGCAGCCCGATTCCTTAACTCATCTAGGTCGATCGGGGGCTTTTTGCAGAGGCTATTAACAAAGGGTCCCGGCTTTAATGCTGTTGTGAGGTGGTGCATAACTACTGCTGGTTCCAAGTTATGAATTGAGAGAGTCACTTTGCCAAAGCGTTCCATGAACGCTCTAAGTGATTCTCCTTTCTCTTGGCGAATATTGACTAGGGCCAAGGATATTAGGGGATGGGGCCGGCTTGTGGCGAACTGCAAGTTGAAACGCCTTGTGAGAGTTGTAAACGAGTCGATGGAGAGAGGGGGGAGTCGGGTGAACCAACTGAGCGCAGGTCCTCGGAGTGAAGTAGGAAAAATTCTGCACCATAAGGCATCGCTTTCTGTGTACAGACCGACCTGCGTTGTAAAGATATCCACGTGTTCTCTGGGGTCGGATGTGCCATCGTATTTGTCTATTGCCAACCCTCTCCAATTATCGGGCAGCTTGGCTTCCAGAATGCGGTGAATGAACGGGCTCCGGTTCACAAGGTCGTCCCGGTCATCTCTGGTTGCCGATTGATAGACTTGCCTTGATTTGTCTTGCAGTGCTGAGGATTCCCCTTGATCTTGGATGAAAGGCGTCGTTTGGGAAGGGATGTGTGTCTTTATTTCTTCCCTTAAGCCAGCATTTTCCCTCCTTAGGGCCGAGAGCTCCAGTGCATCTCTTTGGCGTTCCTTCTTCATCTCCATCATTTCTGCCTTAAGCTGCCTCAGTGCAGCTAGAATGCTTTCCTCCGTACCTCCCTGCATCACCACTTCAGGTACTGGTTCCTCTGGCGTGATGTCCTCCATTTGTTGCCGAGAGGTTCCTTCTTGCTGGCTTCTCGTCATTACCATGCTTAATCCTGATGAATGAAGTCAATTCTGTCCCACGGTGGGCGCCAAAATGTTCCTTCTTGAGAAACGACTGTCTTCAACCTTCGCTCTGGTGTCCTTCTGACGATTGCTGATGTAGGAGGGTACCTGCAAAAGGCACTCCGATGTTGAAGTTAGGATTCGGCTCAGAGCAATAAATGATATTCAATAATAAAGAGTCAACCCTTTACCTGCTCTTTCTACCTTTCTTTTATAGACACTGTAATGGGCTAATGGGCCTACGTCAACTCTAACTTTTAACTCTTTTCATGGTTTAGATAAAATTCTAATTATCATTTATCTTTGAAACTTAGAAGTACTGATTTAGACTAGGTATTCAGTTTCCTTTCTTCTATATGTAGGGTCCATCAATTTCCCTATCCCGTACAATTAGCATTTAACACGTTCAGCTTAGACCCTTAATCATCTGTGCCGTCACAGCCAGCCTGTCTGTTTTTCTATCCTCATATTATATTAACCCAAATCATTAATTAATAAATAAACAACCATACCTAATTTTCTCCTCCTAATTAAAATATCTTCTTAAAGATGACCAATTGAAAATGATTAATAACAATTTGTCTCGTTTCGCCGTTACTTCCTCTTTTTCTCCCTTATATCATTTCCCAGTTCTCACTCTGTTAATTATTCTCCGTTAAGATTTCTTCTCATCTCGTTCTTATCCCAAACTCATAACCACTCCTTCTTATAAATCACGTACTAATTTCGCCCTTTTCCATCCCAGACACCCTTTCATTTTTCCTCGTCTTTGAAACAAAGAATCAGAATTTCTTGCACCTTTTTCATATTTTCGCTGTACAAACTAAATTCCCCTATTTTCGGCTCTTCTTTGTTGAGTTTGCAATCTCATAAATTTTTATTTATACCTAATTTTTTTTGTCACTTCCAATTCCAAAAAATTAACACAAGATTCATCTATACAATTATTCCTCGATTTTTCTCGGAATCCAAGCACGTGAAATATTCATCTTCTTGCCGTTATCTTCGTTGTTCTATAGCTTTTCTCTCAGATCCAGACATGGCGGAAGAGCACCGATGCCAAGCGCCCGAAGGACACAGGCTCTGCGCCAACAACTGCGGCTTCTTCGGCAGCCCAGCCACCATGGATCTCTGTTCCAAATGCTACAGAGATATCCGTTTGAAGGAACAAGAGCAAGCCAAAACCAAATCCACCATCGAAGCCGCTCTATCCTCTTCCGTCGCGGCCTCTGCGGTCGCGCAATCCGCTGTTGAATCTCTCCCTCAACCTCCGGCGTTGGCATCGCCGGCGGCCTCGCCCGATCCATCGGACTCTGCTCCAGCGGTTCAGACGAACCGGTGCGGCACGTGTCGGAAGCGCGTGGGGTTGACCGGGTTCAAGTGCAGGTGTGGAACGACGTTTTGTGGGACCCATAGGTATCCGGAGAAACACGCGTGTGGCTTCGATTTCAAGGCGGTGGGAAGAGAAGAGATCGCACGAGCGAATCCCGTGATCAAAGCGGAAAAGCTAGAAAAGATTTAAATTAATCAGAGCCGTTGGATTGGATGAGTTGATCAGGAGCGTCCGTTGTGGACACTTGATACGCGTCGAGCGATCATGCATAAAAAATCTATCTATTATTATGGGACCACACTGGAAAAGGTTGAATAAGTCATGCTTACGTGGCTTTGCTTTGTATTCATAAAAGAAAAAGAAAAAAGGAATTTTCCTTTGGTGGATGATGGAACAGAAATTGTGGGTGCACCCTCGTTCAGATATTGAAGGGTGGTTGAAACGCGTTTCTGGTGCTTTCACTTTTTGTAAAATGGGAAATTATCGATTTTTGTTTGAAAAATAGTAGGTCAGAATGGACCCCTCCAATATAATTTTAAAAATTTTTAGTCCAATGCTTCACTCGCTGTGTTATTAAATAATTTACTCAATTTTACATCACAAAAGTACTCAACTTGTCATATTATATTGTAGCAAAAAATTGCGTCGGTATAAATGTGAGGATTAACCAAAATAAATCATTTATGTGATGTATAGTTAGTGTGCCGATGGCTTAAATAAAATTAAAACTATTATATTTGGATCTACTTCTTTACAATACGCGGGATTGAGGGTTGTTTAATAATTTTTACACTTGCTAAATTCGATTTACAAAATACATTTTTTTATAATTAATCTATTTATTTTAACAGATTTAAATAAATCAAGGTAATGATGAAATTATATATTATGTTGCGAGGCATGCTTTAATAATAGGTGATTGGATAGATAAGTGGCTTCCTTTTTTGTTCGCAAGATCGCGAGTTGCTTACATGTTGCATTCTTCCCTTTTTTGGGTCTTGAAGTTTCTTCCAGTTGGTTTTTTATCAATCACAGAGAATTCATTAAAATGGGCCTACTTTTTACTTTTGGGTCATAAGCCCAATACTGTCTTAAGTCTTTTTTACACTTCAACTACAGTCACTGATGTTTATTGGACCAAAATATAGTCATGCAATTTGGAGTACTAAACAACGGCCCAAAGTAGAAATTTTTTTCCTGTGCACCTAAGAAAAATTAGTACAATGACCATAAAATTAGTGCACCAATCCACCGTGAGAAAGATCTCTTTCTTTCTTGACCCTTAACCATGAGAAAGCCCTAAATATCATAACATGCTAGCCCTGTTGGGGGCCTTTATCCTCCTTTTTTGTGAGCATTTTTTCTTCTTTATTGACATCTTTTATGTACACTAGGTGAATCATTTTTTTCCCTTTTCATTTGATCATAACCTCGTCTTTTCATTGTTTTTTTTTTTTTCATCACATTTCTTCTTTACAACCTACTAAAGTTGTTAGATAAGTATGGCCACTGCAGTTTAGTCCTTATCATTATTTTCACAAGAAAACTCATTCAAATAATTCATTAGAACTTTCTATGCTTGCGCAACAATTTTTGTCATTGTCATATATGCACAACTTCTACTATCACTAAATTTTCTATTCTGACCAAATTTCTTCTTCGTGGCAATGCAAACTTACTCAACCCAATATTTTAATTTTGTAGTTGTTGAATTCACAAGTCACCCAATGGAGGCGCAGAAACATAAATCAACGTCGAACATAACCAAACAAATTAAGAGCCAATATATAGTGGAGTTTCATTTCCTTCTCGAGACAATGATAAGTACATGATTATAATATCAACAGTTAGCACCAAAAAGTAAATTAAAACAAGAGATTCAAGTGTTCTGTTTATTATTATTCTGAATTATAATCTAACTAACAAATTAATGGAAGCATGCTTATTCACATCGCAAGTTGGTGAAGGATCCAATTTTTGACAGCAGCGATTCAGATCAGCAACCTGACACTTGTTTTATTTTCCACCAAGTATGATGAACAGAACATGCAATAGTGTTTCATCAATAACAGAATCAAGCTGTTCGGCGAGAAGCCACGCTATCCACATTACTCGAGCAATTCTTACTTGGATGCAGATCAATTAATACAAGATCAACCAATATACAACTAATAAAAATATTCATTGTCATCCTAGCTAATATAAGATACTTAATAAGTAGTGATCTTTTCTTTATTTGTAGGATTAATTACGGCTTAATTACAACTCTTCGTGAGGAGTAACAACTTGTTGGTTTGGTGTATTGGAGCATCCTTTCGAGCTGCTTAAACTCTCTATCACAATGCTATCAGCTACCACTGCATCACTGTCATTGTTGCGGTACCATGACCAACGTGCATGTGTTTCATTTACCATTCGCAACCTTCCATGACCAAAGCTTGGCTCGCGAAACAATGAGAGTGGATTTGGAGGGTTCTTAAACCTATTCTCAACAGTGCAACAATTCAACAGCCAATAATATTAACATATCAACGCCGCAAGAAACATAATAGAAAAAAAAATTAAAACTGCCAGTTACGATAATAGAAGTGATTTTAGTGTTATTCTTTTATTTTGATCAGCGAAATGCACTTTTGATAATACAATAAGTTTTTTTTTTTTTTTTAAATAAAAGTATATAAATTAAAATTATTAGTTGAGAATGAGAAAAGGTCAAAATATTTAGTAAACACCTTAAGAGATGTTCACACTTAGAGATAAAAAAAATAAAAACGAAAGTGATAAACATAAGAATGTAATAATATGATAAAAAGAGAATGAAAAAAACAAGGAAGCATGTTAAATCAGCAATAACACTTTTTGAGTGATTATAAATTAGAATTAAGATGTTAAATAGTGTGTAACAATGTAACACTCACTTTAACGCAAGTCCCTCGCGGTTTCCTCCGTCCCCAATTGTCACATACATCGGACCGCACGAATCAGCCTTGTTGTCGTAAATTCGAGTCTGCAATAAATTTAAGGGTAAATAAACAAATTTCAACCTGATAATTTAAAAGTGAGACTATGACTAATCAAATTAATTAAAAATCTTAAAGAGCACGAACATACGAAGCGTTCATATGCATGAACATGGCCAGCAAAAACCAAGTCAACGCGGGCATTATAAAGTAACTCCTCCATGGCTTGTCTCATGGATTCACCTTCACCTTGGTGTGCCTCATTAGTATTATACCAAGGTGCATGCAACAGCGCAATCACCCAAGGATTCTTCACCCTATCAATGTTGGCTAAGTCAGATTGAAGCCACGTGTATTGCTCTGATTGGGCATCAAAATCAGTGTAGGAACCAAGCATGATGACGTGGGTGCCAGCAACCTCGAAGGAGTAATAGAGGTTTGAAGTGGAACCACTTTCTTGGAAGGGCATGGGCCAGCGAGTGTTGTAGGCTTCGAACCCTTTCGGGTAGATAATAGGGAAAATCTCAATCTCGTGGTTTCCTTCGGTAACCATCCATGGCCTTTTGCTAGCATATGGTTCCACCAAACGACCGAAGGAATCCCACAAAGGTTGTTGGGAATCGGCATAGGAAAGATCTCCAGGTAACAAGAACACGTCGTAGTCGCTGCTGTCAACATGTTTCAAGGTTGATGCTGTCCATTCAGTTTGTCCCAAGTCCCCTGCATATATACAATAGTGTATAACATGCATGCATTACAAATATTTAATCTATATATTGACCGATTCCGATATAGGTTTTTATTTTATTTGTGAAATCTCTAGCTGGAATTAGTGGAGGCAAAGCTCGGCTTTAAATTACATCAATATTTTTTGTTTTCCTAATTTTCTGTGTTATTAAGAAATTTCTGTGTGAGAGAGAATATAGCGAATAATATGATAGCAAAAGATAGAATGAGGAAGATGAAAAATAAATATTAAAAAAAAGGGATATAAAAGTATAAGAGGTAAAAAAAAAAAAAAAAAACTCTTCTCCACCACATTCATAGAATTTAAAAAGTAGAAAACAGAAGAATAAAAAAAACTATAGCTGAAGCAAAAGAGAAATTATAAAAAGAGAAATGTCCTTTGAGACAACTTGGTTAATAAAAACTCTCATAGTCTAACGTTCTATTTTTTTTAATAGTTTTTAACGTATATTTAAGAATACATAACAAATTACATAATGTTATTAAATATAATACATTAATAATATTAAATATTATAATTTTTTAGAAAAATTTACTATTTATTAAGCTTTTAATGATGTGCTACTGCAAAAATGGTTTTTTAAATACTAATAAAGAAGAATTCAGGAAATTGAAGATTGATTCATCCCAGTTATCTAAAGGGTTTTTAATGTATTAAAAAATTGAGTTAAAATGTCGTTAAATCTTTTAAGAAAACATCATCAAGTATCCATAAAATACCGTTTAATAAAAAAATATATAATTTTCATTAAAAAATTACTAACTGATCCTCTCATACTTTTCATTAACATATTTTTTGTCATTAAATTTATATTGCGATAACATAACTGAAAAAGAAATTATGGTGCAATGATTGATCGCAGATATTTTTAGGTAAGTTTGAGAAGTGCCTAACAAGTGGTGTACGTTTAAAGCACCCTTTAATCCTAAAGGCCTTATCCTGTCCCACGGCATGTTTGCGTTGGCTTGAAGAACTCATCAACACCCTCTGTAGCTGATCTGATCTAAGTAATATAACTAATTTAACTCATCAACACCAAAAAGAAACAAATCAAAACAACAACTTACCAACGATGACAAATTCAATGGGCAAATTGGAAGGAGGTGTCTTCAAGGAATACTCGGGTCCCGACCCACTACACCTGTAGAAGTAAGTGGTATTGGGCGGCAAAGGCCCAATCACAACGCTGTGGATCTTCCCTGAGCTATAGAAAAAATATTGGTACATGCCATTTTCCCCCATTGCTCTTTCACTGTATTCTCCTTCCTTTGTTCCATACTCCACCACTGATTCTCCCTTCTTATCTTCGGTTATCCATGACACCCTCATCTTGTCTTTGCCCACCAACGAAATGTGCACCTATATCATACACATTAATTAAGACATATAGATAAATTTATAATAAGGTATAATGAAATGAGCTAACTTTATATATGAACCTGTTGGGGGTCCGAATCGGAGCGTTGTTGTGGTGTGATGATGAGTTGACCAGCGGGTTGGCGAATGAAATTGTTGTCCTGAGATAGCAACGGTTGTGGGAACAAGAGGATGCAAAGTGTGTGTAGGAGGATTGGGATTTGAATAAGAGACTTGCTACCTTTTCCCATCGTGTTCTTGTTTTGGCTTCCACTTGTTGATTGCTCCAATTTGTGGTTGCTGAAGGAGTTGTATAATGGGGTTGCGGAACAGAGATAGGATGAGATTGAATACATTTAAAATAGCAACTTTTTCAGTTGAATTTGCGGAAGGGCTACAAGGTGTTCCAATGGCTTTGGTTAAGATCTGTGGAAATTTAATTTAATTTAATTAATATCTTACAGCAACCATTCCCCTTCTTGCTTGCTTAGTTCTTTCTCTCTCGGCCTTGTCAAATTCAGGCCTCATTATACAATTTGGAATCGTGTTTGCTCATACAAATTGATCCATCACATTCTTAAATTATTTAAACATCTAAAATTTGATAATATATATATATATATATATATATATATAGCAAAAAAAATTAATTCACACTTTAAATATAAAAGAAAAAATATCTTGGTTTAATTAATGAGACACTAAAGATCAAATTCTAAATCACATGGTTAAAAAGATGCTTACGTATCAGCGTCATGAACTAATCATTCAAAGAGAGAGATCTTGAAGAAGACGAGAGAGTAAGAAATTAATGAGATTATAGATTTTTAATAATACAAAGTTTCCCTTTTTTCCCTCTAACATATGTATGATAGCTTCTCATGCTGAAAGATAAAAGTTCGAAGCAAAAGGAGGAAAATAATAATTAAAAAGAAAACAGTAGTATGTTGGTAGCCAATCCATTCAGCGATTATGCAGAGGAACAGCATTCGACGGTCCTAGGCTTTTGGGCAGCAACAGAAACTGGGAAAGCGACTTTATTTTACCTCATTCATCTGCTAAATATGTTGTTTATTGGCAATCGTAGTGTGAATTAATAAAAAATTAATTAGTAAAAACTCACGAGTTATAATTTATTAATTTAAATAAAAAAATTTAAATTAATTATAAAAATTAAATAAATAATTTAAATTAAATATAAAAACTTTTAAACTTACACCCATATAAAAAATTCTCCTCCTGCAAACAATGATGACTTCACGATTTTCAAAGTTAGCTTGCACTTGCCGACACGAAATTTCCAGAATATATTGAGAATATGCTGCCATGAAAAATTAAAGAAAAGGTTGCAATTGATTTGAAACGAACCGTACCAATTTGAATAAAAAAAATACAACGAGGCTTATTAGGGGGAGTCAAAATCTACAAGGCTTCGTTTGGATTCAAGAATTTTTTAAAATTAAAGAAGTAATTTAATAAAAAATATATAAATTTTTCTTGTTTGCAGGAAATGCTGTTAATGGAAGGAAAGAAGAAAAAATTGATAGATTTCATTAAAATTTCTTTAACCCGCCACTGCCGTGAAAGTGTGATATAGTAGGTGAGGAAGGGACAGGGGCAGGAGCCACGGTCTTCTTTATATTATTTATTTATCTAAATTATTAAATGGAGATTTTTTTTTATCATCAGATAATGATTTTATTTATTTATTTATTTTATTCTTTATTTCATTTTTTAGTATATTTAACATAGTTATATTAATTGAAATTCAAACTCAAAAATACAAGTTAAGCTGAATCAATTTTTTAAAAATGAATATAAGTGTTTGAGATAAGGAAAAATTTTTAAGTTAAAAAACCATGTTGAAGGAAGCTACATTTCGATAAAATTTTAAGGGTCAGGAAGGAACTTAAAAATATAAGTCTAAACTTAAGAAGTATTGGAAAGTTGGCCAAGACTTTTTTGTTTTATAACAAAAAGGACACATTTCGAACTATTTTAGAGATTTTTGTCACTTCATTGATTTTCCTTTAAAACTGCTCGAAAAATAGAATTGACAAGAAAATATTCTAAGTCCACAAAACTGATAGCTTTTTCGAGGAGTTTCCAAGTTCCTGACTCCTAAAATTGACTTGAAAGGTTAAGTTTAAAAGCAATTACCAACATTGGACAAAGGTTCAACTATGCAAGAGAAAAGATCGTGGGTGATAACGGTTATCGACAGCACGATCACAAGCAATCGTGGATAATGGACATAACAGTTGAAGGCAGTAATTAAGAAGTGCCCACAAAAGGAGGAAAACCGTGGTGATCTTCTTGCCTATAAATACCCCTAAAGTGTCATTTTACGAGGGACGACTTTTTGCACCCAAACACCACACCTAAAACTCTCTGCACGCTGAAACTCTGCACCGCGACATACACTAGCTACAAGGAGACTCACGGTGGCCGCTATCCGCTGTTGTGAGGAGTTGTACGTTTATATTCACGCACATTTACATTCTTGCACATTTATCTTTCTGCATTTTAATTCTATTTCTGCAATTTGTTTCCTATTTCGCACTTTTCTGTAAAGATCCTTTACGTTTGATTCAATTCTGCACGTTTACTATCCCCTATTATTGCTTAATACTCTTTTTACACCGTTAATTTGAGCATCACGTTAACAACACACAAGAGGACCTAATTCAGTTCCCAGATTGTTCTTGAATTATTTGTTTACAAAACTGTCATTTTTCACCGTAAACAATAAGCAAACTTAGTTTTTTCTATAAAACGAAAAAAGAAGATGAAAAAATACATTAATCTTTTTTAGATTATCAAATTTCTGTTGATTTACTTTTTCTGAATTATAAGAATATTTGTCTACGAAATTCAATCACAAATGAAGCCATGATATAGACAAACTACTAATTAAGAAGCAAAATCAAGTTAACGACAATTTCATGCATAAGTATGACAATGCCACACATTCATATCGGATTATTTGCCTCTCCGTCGTTTTCTCTAGAAATCTCAGCGAATTTAACAATGGCTGGTAGAAAAAAATAAATATATTTAATCTCTTTCGTGTTAGGGTGGTGGAAAACCATGAAAAACTCACTTTAATTTGTTTATTTTTTCTACACTCAAATTACTTATATATATATATATATTTTAATGCATAAACCATGTATTGAGAAACAATAAGTTTAAATGAAATTCTTCATGTTAAAATTATATTTTTAAAATAATATCTGAATTTGTAAAGTAATTATAAAAAACGTGAAAGTAATACACATGTATATAATACTATAAATAAATAAACAATATAATAAAAATTGAAAATATTATTAATGCTTTAACAACTCGTTAATTTTTAAATTTGTATAAAAATAAAATATTAGAAAATAAAACACTTAAATATTTTATATTATTCTTGTTATATATTATTTTATACTAAATATTGTAAAATAATCAAATAAATATAAAATATAAAAACTATTTATGAAACTAGATCTAAAAAATATTATACTTTTCCTGAAAAAGGAACTGAATTTACATATCTAGAAAATTAATTAAATATAAACAAACAAAGATAGTTTAGTAACTATTTATTAAAGCTTTCCAAAACCTCAAAATATAAGAAAATGAGTTTAATTTCAATAATTTTTTTCTGCAATGATTTTTATATTATTTAAATTAAAAATATGAAAAATTATAAATTAATTAAATGTCTATATCTTAAATATAAACTGCATTTTTGAAACTAGATTAAAAAAATATTGAATATGAAGTATTTTTCTAAAAAAGTTTGTTGTATTGTTTAAAATTGACTTTTATATATAGCAAAATTGACTTTTCATTTAAAGAATTATTATTCTTTATAAATAATTATATTTCATACCTGTTTGGTATACGAGTTTATAAAGTAAATACTATTTTATTTATATTATTAAATATTTAAAATATATTGATATTAATCTTAAGAGTTTAATTTTGATGCTTTATCATGTGAAAAAAATTACTCCATCAACCGATTAAAATACTTCATAGATTACTTTTTAAAGAAATTATTACGAAATTTAATAATTCATGATTAGATAATATTATAAAGTACTTTTCACATTAACATTTCATTTTTATTAAATTATAATAATAAATATTTTTAAAATTATATTTAATAAATAAGTTATTATAAATTAATTTAAAAAAGAAAAATTATCAATTTAGTATTTGAAAAGTGATTTGGTGTTTATTTGAGTATTAAAAAAACTATGATATCAGACAACGGAGCAAGTCCTTTCAACAATATTAAATAAGTAATTTTTTAGGTTAGAATTTGAAGTATAAATAATTTGTATGTTTTTAAAATTTTAAACACTTAAAACCACACATATTTAAGATTGAGTTGATATTCAGTACAATTATGCGATATCTACTCGTTCATTCACTGGGCTTTTGCAATTTGCATGTCCCCATAATTCCAATTGTAAACTTTATATTTATCGTCACATTAGAAACGTAAGTCAGTGGAAGCAGCTCTGCCAATCCACATCGCTGTCACTAAACTTCTTTCTCTCAGAATGCTTTCTTGTAAGTTTTCGTGCGAATTATTAATTATAATCAAATGAGAAAGCTTGTTTGTCAATTTGCTCTCTGATTTTAATCATGGTTTAATTATTTAATAGGGAACTATGAAAATCAATTTATTATTAATTTAATTTATGTGCCTTATTAGTGTAAATTTTTTTATAATATCAATCTAATTTTTATATTAATTATTGTAAAATTTTAAAACTCTTATTAATATAATAATTAACGATTACACAACAGTGTAAATTTATTTAAATTATTTTCATCTACTTAATTAAAATTTATATTTGTTATTACTAAATTACATTTTATGGATATTTTTAACAATGTTCTTTCTTTAAAAGAAAAATATTAACAACAATTCATTAATTTCAAGAATCTAAAAATGATAACATGTTATTAGAAAATCAAGTATTTATACCTTAAATGTATAATAAATAATTTTTTCTAAAAATATAATTATTTTTATAAATTTAAAATAAATAAATATCTATTTTATTTCTTTAAATTATAAATATTAATTTTTTATTTTTCTTTATAAATTTTTTACTTTAGTTTCTTACCTATAAAACAACATTAGTTTTATGGTGCATTTAAAAGAGTTCATGACAATATTTCATTACTTTTAAAAAATCTTTATAACTTGTATGATCAAGTTTTTTATATAATTTATTAAAATATTTTTAAACTTATACTAATGAGTAAAATAAATATTTTCTCAATTCAAAGTTGATTCTAAGAAAAAATATTAATAAAATGATTTTTTAAATTATAAAGTTTGTTCAATTGAATGAGAAAAGACTTCAGTCATAGTGTCAAATTTAAACTCTACACGAAATTCAATTTTCCACATTAGGCAAAGCATTATATTTACTTTGCTATAAAAAAATATATTATATTTATTTTCTCTTTTTTTAAGAGAAGAAGACCGACAATAATATATAAAATATAATATTAACAATGATCTAAATAATCTACGGTTCAAGACCGTGGTCTTAATATATTTTTAATAATTAGTATAAAAATATAATAATTTTTATTTTATAAGTTAAAAATAAATTTTATATATTTTTAATTTTTTAGAAGTTTTTTGGTTTTATTTTAAAATAACAAATTAGTTTTAATTTATTATAAATATATATATTAAAAATTATACAAAAGTTTAGCCAAATGGGTAACCTTGGATGCATTGGCGGAGTTTACAGACACGTCCACATCCACTTCCACGTCCAAGACACCTTACATTTATTGGTTCACTGTACAAACTGTGAAGTATGAACGCAACGAAAACGGTTCCCGTGTACTCCCTTTTTAATAATTAATTAATTATTAAAATATTTAATATTTATTACACATTTAAGTTTCTTCACCAATTTTGTTAATCTAATTAACTTGACTAATCCAGCTCAATTCAAATATGAAAATTAACGGGTGGATAAATGGATTAATTTAAATAAAAATATTTGAACTTAATAAAATATGAGTTGAATCGTAAATTTGTAATGTTAAAATATAATTAAACTTTACTTTATTTTAATTTTTCATTGTTTTATCTGAATTGAAGTATTAAAGATTGATAAGTAATTTCTTAGCTTTTAAATATTTTGTATTGTTTTAAATATAAAATAAACATTGAACTTTATAGTTTTAAAATTATAAGATATTATTAAAGTTTATATTTTTTATTTTGTATTATTTAAAATTTTTATTTTCAATAAATATTAAATTATTAATATTGTATTATATTTTATAAATAATTTATCATTTAATTTCAATAAAAATAATTTTTTATTTTTTCGTGAAAACCTACTCTATCCAATCCATAATTCATTTAAAATCCAAATTTTGGTATGAACTTGTCATTGTTTATATAAAACCCGGTTCACAAAGGAGTTAATGGCCGGGGGAGGTGGACCATATTCAATCACTTATAAATATAATGTCACTCTGATTCTGATCTGACACCTCACACTTCTTCTTCTTCCTCCTTCAACTTCAACATTATCCGTTGTAGTTGTACAAGCAGGAAATCCGGTTCAGTAATTTCATAGCTTTGAATGCACATTAGCACCCAAATCGAGAACGATGGTTGTGCAAACGCGTGTGTCGGGGTTCTTGCTCTTGCTCATCATCGGAATCTTCGAAATCGATGCCGTTTGTAGTTACATTCGACCACCACCTCGTCAAACACTCTCTATTCCTCATGCCGATCAAGACCCCGACACGCCACAACAGGTACTTCGTCAACTTCACAATTTTAAGGTTTTATTTTCGTTACGAATAATTTATTATGCATTTGCTCGTTAGCGTAATGACAAAACCTGCTGGGTTTGAGGTTTGAATTTTCTATTCACTAATACTACTACGATACCTTAATCACATTTTTAATTCGCTTGATGACTTTGTATTGTGAAAATTGGAGCATGACCTGAATAAATTCACATTTGTCCCACCCAGCCTATTGGATGGGACACAGGTTCAATGAATATTTTCATCGTCTACATCAATATTTCTTGGTTCTCTGTGTGTGTACATACGTGTTGGTTAATTATTAGGTGAAGAAGACGGCAATGTTTGATTACCAAAATGAGGGAGACGTGTTGGCTTGAGGGGGTAGGAAGCCAATAATACTGTGTGCGGTCGTGGGGAGAGTGGGTTTGCTTGTGACTCTGCCTCGCTGCCCAAATGTCTTGGCAGCACTCTTTATTTGGTTTCTCAAGATGAAGAATAAAACAAACTTTTGAGAATACACTCTTCATACTGTACACTTTTTTAAATGTATTCTCCTTTAATTGACTAAGCTTCATCAAAATTACTAAAATTTACACATTTTTTCATAAATTTCAATTTGTATTAATTTGCATATTGTTAGCACTTTTTTAATGAATAATACTTCATAACTAAATTCAGTTGTTTTTTGAAAAAGTTTTCTGGTCTTTCTTAAATGTGTATTCAGTCTTTTATAAAATGTTTTCTTCAATTTTTTTTATAAGACATAATATTTAATAAATTTTTATTTTCATTATAAAAATGATTTTTTTATCTGCATTAATTCTTAATTTTTTTATATATTTTAATTTATTTTTAAATTTATATTAATAAATCACTTATTCATTACTTGGTATTGTTAAAATAAAATATACATTTATAATACGTAACTATTTATATTGACCATGATGTATTAATTATTTATTTCTCATAAAATAATTATAAAAAAATATATGGTATGTAAGGTGTTTTTTTTAGTTTAAAACTTAAAAAAATTTAAATGAAAAACAATTATAAGGAATCAAGTACTGTGATAAAACAAAAACTAATATTATTTTTTATGTTATTTTTCACTCTATATCATGGATGTTTTGTTAATTATTTATTGTATCTCATATTATTTGTTAGTTTCTCTTTTTTTTAATAATTTATTGATTTTCTGTCATTTATTATTATCGTTTTATAATTAATACAAAATATTTTTTAATAATTTTACTCCTAAAATAATTAATGTGTATAAGGTAATAAATAATAAATAAAATATTATTTTTATGATAAATAAGGTATAATAACAAATTAAGTAATACTTACTTTTATAAAATTTAAAATATCAAATTTTTTTAATTCCTTTGTAAAACTTTAAACGTGAAAGGAAACAAACAATGAAAGTACTTTAAAGCATTAGTTTATCTTGAAGTTTTTCTCTTAAAAAAATTAATATATCATTAATTATTTTTTCAACAATATTCTTATTTATTGATACCTCACCTAATTAATAAATAATTATATTTTGATTTTTTAAACAATGGTATTTGAGAAAAAAACATTATTATTATATTTTATGTAATTAGTTATTTATTTAACAAAAGATGTAACAGAAAAGGTAATTATGATGCAAGAAAAGGAAATTGATTTTACTGAATTCTTTAACAATTGAACACCATATCTTGTTAATGTTCACTTTTAGCCAAAAAAAATTATATTTCTTATAAATTTTAAATTGATATGGTAAATTAATTTTTCCTAGTTAACATATCTGATAAAAAAGTGGTGGCTTTTATTTTATGATAAAGAGCTTTATATATCTTATATGAGGGCATAATTATTGGACACAAAATAGAATTTGTGGACGCAATTTTATTGTATTAAAGAGTGTGTTAGCACTTCTAATATCATACATATATAAGATCACGAGACTTGAAATACATTTGATCCATCGTCTTGCTGGGTATAGGAAAAGATTCATATTATTTCTAATGTGGACATTGGTTGAAACTTTCAGGTACATATTTCCCAAGTGGGCCAAAACAAGATGAGGATATCGTGGATCACAGATAGCCCAACCCCTGCAAAGGTTGAGTACGGTCCATCACCTTCGGCTAACGCTTTCTCTGCCACTGGGAATACCTCTTCCTACAAATTTGTTACCTACGAGTCTGGTGAAATTCACGACGTTGTAATCGGTCCCCTCAACCCCAACACTGTCTATCACTACCGCTTGGGATGCTCACCCTCTTCCCAAACCTACCAATTCAAGACTCCACCCTGTCAATTTCCTATCAAGTTTGCCATAGTTGGTATGTCCTCTCTCATGTTCTAATCAACCAATACCATATATTAATGTAATTTCTGTGAAAATTTGTTCTTTTCTCCTACACTACAACAACTCGTAATATTCTATAAAAATTCATAGAAAGAGACACAAGTTAAACTATCCATTTATATTATTAAATAATCCCATCCTTTTGTAATCATATTAAATAGAGGGACTAATCAAAATAGCTTCATCATTCTTAAGTGGTTTGATAAAAAATTGTCTATTTTTAAAATGACATGTTTTAATTAATGTGTTATACATATGCAGGAGACCTTGGACAAACAGATTGGACTAGGTCGACCTTGGAGCATATAGGTAAGTCAAACTACGACATGTTGCTACTACCAGGGGACATATCCTACGCTGACTTAATACAACCTCTATGGGACTACTTTGGTCGTCTTGTGGAGCCATTAGCTAGTGAACGTCCTTGGATGTTGACCCAAGGCAACCATGAAATTGAGAAGATTCCGGTGATCCACTCTGAGCCATTCACAGCTTACAATGCCAGGTGGCGAATGCCATTCGAAGAGAGTGGCTCAGACTCTAACCTCTACTATTCTTTTGATGTTGCTGGCGTTCATGTTATCATGTTGGGATCCTACACTGACTTTGCTCCTGATTCTTCTCAATACAAATGGCTTCAAGGGGACTTGAAAAAGGTTAACAGGGGAAAAACTCCTTGGGTGGTGGTGCTCGTTCACGCCCCTTGGTACAACTCCAACACTGCTCATCAGGGTGAACCTGAATCTGTTTCCATGAAGGCTTACATGGAAGATTTGCTCTATCAAGCGCGTGTTGATGTTGTTCTTGCAGGACATGTTCATGCCTATGAGCGCTTCGTGAGTATCAATAATTAGTATTTGTTGTCACAACAATTCTAAATCCTTTTTATTTTTTATCTTACATTTTTTCTTAATTATTAAAAAATATTAAAAATATTTTTGTGTTAATATAATAAGTGTATGTACTTTTTTTTATTCAATCACTATTTAATACAGCAAAATCATTGTTAAACATGTGTTACGTACCTTACCTATTTGCTTGTTTGCTCAGACTCGGGTTTATAAAGACAAAGGTGACAAATGTGGTTCGGTGCATATCACAATCGGGGATGGGGGTAACCGTGAAGGCCTCGCTACCAAGTAATTAGCTTTTTCTTTTGTTTGAACAATCTTAATTTTGAAACAAAAATTAAGCTGTATAAAAGCTTTGAATAATAAATCACGATTTTTAACTTCTAATTAATTCTTTGGTGTTTGTGGCGACAGGTACATAGACCCCAAGCCAGAGATATCAATATTCAGGGAGGCTAGCTTTGGACACGGTTTATTAGAGGTGGTTAATGCATCGCATGCACGGTGGACATGGCATAGGAATGATGATGATGAAGCGGTTGCTAGTGACTCTGTTTGGTTTACAAGCCTCTCCTCTAATCCTTCTTGTAAACTGTAATGCTCCTATATATATATATACCCTGCATGCAAACGCAAGAGGATAGTTGAAGTAGTTATTTTCGTTTGTTATTGTTGATCATCTTGAAGAAATAACGTTATATATGGGTTCCAAAAAAATTCATAATCACTTGCAGTAATTAGGCATTGCTAGCTCATAATAAAGGTGATTGTTTATGTCATCATTCGGTTTTAATTCTTTTTCCTGGGTAAAGCAGAAAAAAGAAAAATTGCACACATTCCACCTTTTAATGAAAAATACCAATAAAAGATTGACCGTTTATTCATCATTCATCCAAGAGATCTCCAAGACTCCGACCATTAACCAACAACCATATATTCAAGTAATAAGGTCAATCAAAGAAGGAATCAATCCGCCAATTTACTCGTCCTCAAGGAAACATCGTATTGCGTTCTATATTTATTCCTAAATAAAAGCATTTGAAGCTAAAAGAAATTTGATTAAGAGTTTCCCTAGTTGATACAAATAATTTAAGAGTTTTGTTAACTTAAACGTCTAATGAGAATAAACAACTAATAATAGTAAAATTTTATTAAAAAATTTTTTATTATATTTTTATAATTTAATATAATAATTGTGTATTTTTTTATAAGATTAAAGTTAATAAAACTTATAATTTAATACAAAATTATATAAAATAAAAAGATTTGATCAGTCAAGTTCACGGATAACCATACACTTAGACGAAAGAAAGTAAACATCCAGCATAGCTAGAATAATACATATTTTTCAACCAAAATCAATATGTTAGCTAAAGGTGAATCAAGATTACAAATGGCAAGTGTAAGACGTGTATGCAAGACACTGCTTTTAGCAATTAATCTGTCTCGTTGATGTCGCAATTTTCCAGAATTTATAGGAATAATGCCGTAATAGAAGAAGAATAGAACCAATCGGCAATAATGTGTATAAAGAAGTTGGATTGCATTTATAGGAAAAAAATGTGCTAATGTTAGTCAATATTAAGTTTTAACGTTAATTAATTGATAAGATAAATGTGCGGATTAGCTTAAGTGAACACTTAATGATTGCACTAAAGTTAGTTAATGACCAGGTTTAAAAAAATATCTTTTAAAGATGAGATCAAGGAAGGTTAATCAAGTACTAAAATCAAATCAAATACCTATGAGTGAGGAAGCTTCTAAAAAACAAAGTAATTCTTTAATTTAAAATTAAAGTTATTCTTTTACTGTTTTTCATAAGAAAAAAGCTATATAACTTATTAATGGGTTTTTTTTTATCAATTAGTAAATTTATATAATAAATAAAAAGTAAAGATTTTTTATAGTTTCTAAAAAAGTACTCTAAATGATATTTAACTTATTAAAGATTAGTTACTAATATTTATTTTTACTCTTAACATTTTAAATAATTTATATTCACAGAAAATAATCTTAATTTTTTAAATTTTGTTTAATGCATTTTAACCAGCTACACAACTAGTTTTTATCAAAATCATCTAGTTAAATGTTATAAATTTTAACTACAAACTATAAATTTTGTTAAATTATTAATAATAAACTTTTAACTAAGTTTATAATCTTAATATTAGCATACATGTAGGTGGAGCATATCCAGGGACTTAAATTAAAAAGGCACAATTTAGTTCGATAACAATAAACAGAGTTTTTGTATTAGCGTGTATGTTTGTCTCTAATTTTTACAAATTTTAGAAAATAAAATACTCAACTCATACAATTTCAATGACTTATTTAGAGTAAAAATATGAAATTAACATGAAGTGAAAGTTTAGTTATTACATAAAGAAAACCTTTGCATATTTTAGCTGTGAGGAAGGCATTGATGTGAAGGGTGTGGCGTGAAAGATTAAACAAAATTCCTCACGCTCGGCGACCCTTGATGAAGTGATAGAAATGCATAATTGTAATTGATGAGTGGGAGTAACACACATTTATGAAGGAAAATGAAAACGATTCCTAACTCTCACACCCCTCAATCAAATCATGAGAGCACAAGTTTTCCTTAAATTATTGAAAGTGGGTTGATTCAAACATGGTAGGAGAAAAGCAAAACCACTTTTTAAGAGTTACTCGAATAGATTGCATAGATAAGCATTATTATTATTATTGGGGCTTTCCCATCATTTTACAACAACTTTTCTTTGATTCACTCACTCATATGTTCACGCTAGTAATTTTCTCTGACTGTGCCATTGTTATCTCAATTTGAACACGCTTCAACATTTGATGGGATAGGAACTCATGAGGCTACAAGTTTGGTCGAGTAGAGCACGTAACAAATATATGGATGATACAAATTTAATCAAATAATCAAATATCAATACACTCAACTTTTCTTTTAGGCTAAGTTGTAGTTCCATCCAATTCGCCGAACTAAATTGTTCAGAGCACGAGGAAGTGCTCGTAAAATTATTGCTTTTACTTTTGGTTTCACAAAACAACAAAATTGATTATTATATGAATAATTAATTGTTAATATTTTAATTAATTAATTGCTTCGATTAATTGATAATGTGATTGACTTAATATTTATATCTTGCAATGGAGTCATGATTTCGGAAAAAATTCTTAAATTTGAAAGTGTGTTATATTGTTAGAAGAACTAGTCGGATGTCCGTGTTATGCACGTGTTACTTGCTTTTAATGATTGTATATGTTTAAATTTATTTAATTTTAAAAGTTTCTTTTTTTATATTAATAATAATTATTAAATATTTTAATTTAATTTATTAAAGGATAACACTATGAAAAGGTTGATTATTTTAAAAAATAATTAATTATTTTAAAAAGTTGATTGTATAACATTTCAAGAGCAAATATTTGGTTTCAAGGGAAAGAAAAAAAAATGCAAAAAGGGAAGGAGAAGAAAGAAAAATGTAAATTATTATATATATATATATATATATATATATATATATATATATATAGGGTAATAGCAGGGGAAGGGAAGAAAAAACAATCATCATCTTAATTGATTTGTAAGGATAGAAAAAGAGAAAGAAAAATACTTTATTGGTATACCTTTATAATAATAAATAGATAAATAGATTAAAATATAAATATTTTCATAATTTATTATATTAATACTTCTTAACTAATTAAATTTATATTAAAATAATAAAAAATAACATTTTAAATTATATTTTCACAAAATAAAAAATTAACATAATAAAAATAATTGAAACTGCTTATATACAATTCATTCAAATGAACCACTATTAAAGGATATCATTGTTTATGAGAAAAAAAAAAAGGATATCATTGTTTAAGTCAGATTTGAAGCAGAATATAAAATATTCAAATTTATGATGATGAGGATTTATTGAGAAAAACAATACAAAATTACTTGTTGATAAAATGGTTTTAATTTAAGTGTACTTTCTCTCATTTTCAAATCTGCCTACTTTTAAGGGAAGTAAAACTTTAGTTAGGAGAAGAAAGTTTAGATAATATAAATGGAATTTTAGATTGAATTTGTGGATTACTGTCAAATTATGTCTTTAACTGATTGTAACTAATGATTTTTTACTGTACAAATATTATTAAATTAAAATAAAATTTAAAGATATAACATGTCATTATTTTAAAATTTTAAAAATTAAAAATTAATTATTAATGATATTTTATCACCATTAAAATTTAAAAAACTAAAGAGATAAAAATAAAATAAAATAAAATAATTAATTTTTTAATTAATATTTACTTCAAAATTAAATCTCAATATAAAAGAAATTAAGAAACGTATTGATAAAAATTCTAAAATATCATCGTTTAATAGAGTTTTTAAAAAATTCTTATTTAGAAATTATGATGCGGTTTTTTGGCTAATTATATAAAGGTATATTCATATATTTAATTAAAATAAAATAAAAAATAGACAATAACTTAATTATGTTTTAAATGAATTTTTTGTTATTGTTGAAAAAATTTGAAGTAAAATTTTCAATCTTAGAAGTTGGGATGAAATTTTTAATTTTGTTTAAAATTATTAATAAATAAATAATTATTTATTTTTATATGTATGGTTTTGGCTTTTCATGTTCTCAATAATTTTTTCATTTTTCATGTATTAAAGAATTTTAATAATTAAGTTAGTATATGCCATTTTCCTACATTTCTACTTTTAAAATTTTATTATTTACTTATATTTTTATGACTTAATTTATATATGATTTAATATGAATTATATAAAATATATTATTATCTATCTGTGAAATTTTTTATTAAGTATTATTTTTCACTTATTTGTAATTTTTATTATCTTTGAGTATTTCATGTACAATGCTCAAATTCGCCTTTTACTTTTTATAGGTTAAATATTATAATTTAATAGAAATAATAAGTTATAAGAATTATTAAATATTTTTCAAAATCATATGAGGACCTTAATAAAAAGTTATATTATATATAAATAAATTATAATTAAGCTATTATAATTTATATAATACATTGCACGAGCATCGCATGAAAACAAACACTGATTTCTTTCAGATTATTATAAACTGAAAGGTGGGCATATATTTTTTTTAATTATTATTATTATTTAATTGATTTTAAGTAATTAAAACAATACATTTTTTTTATTAAAAACTAATTATTTTTTAAAAATATAAATGAAATTGTTTATTTTGAAATAGTTAATTAAAATAATATCATAAAATTGTGGAGAAGAAAGGACAAAAGAGTGATTTCAAAGGCAGCCCATGGATTGTAAGAACATAAACTGATGCAATCTAAGCTGAAAACAAGAATGAGAAATGAACGAGCAGCACGAGGGCTAACCAATGACCTTGCCGGTTAACAGTTTCAGTCGAAGAAGGAAATAAGAGACATCCAAAAAACTACCTGTCAACCATGATGTTTCACGTTATGCCTGGCCCCAGTTCACATCTATATTCCTGTTCCTCTCACCGAATTATTTCAAACTCATATCCTGAATTTGGGAAGAAAATGGGTCCTTTAATTATGATACTGCCTTTCTCTATAATTATTATCATT